AGGAATGCACAACCACTCTGGCTAATTTAAATGTAAATAACCATCTTGACCTCATATATGGTATATACATACACACATCTGAGGGAAGCTAGGAGGAGGGCACATAATCAGAGGGAAATGGAAAAAATAATACAACAGGGGAACCCATCAGCTGCACTGGACATTGATGGAATTGAACTAAGCAACTCAAGGGCAGTGATGGGAGGGAGGGAATGAAAGGGAAAGAGGGAACAGGTAACACTAAGCAAAAGGAAAGAAATGTACATATCACCCAATGTGGAAGAAATAGTTGCATTGTCAAAGCTTATGGAATTCACAAACTTTATAGACCAAGATAATGACAATTTGCCTTGTGAAGGTTAAAATGTGTTTGTGACTTTAAGTATCATTATCATACAATACTGTAAAATTTGTGAAATTTATGCAATCACATAATTTCAATAAAATTATTTTTAAAAATGTAAATAAACACATTACCCTTGTTAAGGTAGAACTACAATCCATTTTTTCCCCCTGATCTGGAGCCTCAAACTTCTTTTACTTTCACAGCCTTCTTTCTATTCTGAAGCCCCCTTACCCACCTGACTTTATCACTAAGATTTGGCTGTGTAAATAAAACCCCCACAAAAGTAAAATTTTTAAAATTCCCAGTTAAAAAAGTCCCTATTTGAGCACTGAGAAACAGTAAAATATAAGATCACATTTATACATACATGTAATAGTGCTGGAGAAGCAAGAAAGGTCAAACTAGTCCTACTTCCACTTGCAAGGAAGGATATGCAATCCTCTGAGCTTTAAGATCATGAGATCCACTTGACCACAGTTCCTTTCACTTCTCAAAGCTGGATAAGAAACCAAGTACCAAGTAGGACAATATCACTAGCCAATTCTTCATTTCTGACTTCTCTCCCATCAGAGACCACACACTGATCTGCTGGGTTTGATGGAGACCACACCGAGGACTCACCAAGTGCCAGGCACAGTGCTGGGTACCACACACACATTATGCCAGCTTCATTCTCTCTGCAGCAGCCCTTTGGAGCCTCAAGAGGGTGAAGAACTTGGCCCAGATCACAACCAACCAAGGGGAAGGCTGGGACACCCAGTATGACTGCAGAGCTCCCGCTCTTAAGCATCGCGCTAGGCGGCTGAAAGCACGTAACTAGCATAGCTGAAAGGCGTGAGACGCACCCCCGACCCCCCGGGGGGCGCTGGGCAGCCCGGGTCCCAAGTAGCTCTTACTTCTCGATCTCCAGCGCTGCCACCTTCCGTTTCTCGTAGAGCTTGTCATTGAGGGCACGCACGATATTGGGAGTGAGCGGCGCGAAGTCCTTCTCGGGGTTCATAGTGGCAGCTCGGGGTACGCCCCCGAGCCTCGCGACTCCTCCTTAGCCCCCGGCAGCAGGGACCGCGCCAGGGCCAGAGAAGTCTGCGGCTCCGAGCTGCCCCCGGCGCCGGCTCATGGGCCACGCCACCCTGGGCCCACCTGCCTCGCTCCGCTGCCGCCGCGCACGGTCTCAGAATCCGGGTCTGGATCCCGCTTTTTCACCCCTGACCTCAGCCGCCTAACGGCTCACGCGACTAGCTCCCGCCCGGAACCGGCAGCGTTCACTGGGCAGCCGCCATGTTACTCCAGTCACATGACACCGCAACAACTTCCGCCTTCCGCTGTGAGGACCCGCCCACCTCCAGCCACGCCCCCACGCGTAAGCCGCAGGTGGATTGGACACACCCATCAAGCCCCACCCATACCCCCCCCCCCCTGCTCCGCTCCAGGTACCCTCAGTGCTGTGTGTAGGTTCGGTACATACTGTAGTGGGTTTCTGTAGACGTTCGTGGGACCGTAGGGGTTCTTGGAGCCCGACTCAGCGTATACTTGAGTATACGCAAGTATTTCTCACCGTCATTTTCTCTGTATTCTAACCACTAGTAATACTTAACATTTTCTAAAATAAATTCACTTTCAAAACCTTAAATCTCACTTTCTGCCATGTCTCCCACCCCTGCCCCCATCATGGGGGCATTTTTAATGACATTAAAATAAATTTCCCAGTTAAGAGTGCTTCTCTCTGTCCATCCCTAAAATTCTGGATACCACAAGCAGCAGTTACACCACTACTTGTAAACTAGGGTATGTTTCCAAAGTTCTGACAGCCAGGAAACCTGGGATATAGACAACAGTCCAGATCTGTTGAGTGCAGGTGTCTAGAGGATCCCATTGGAAAGTAGCCCCTTACGATCCTTTCACAGTAAATGGGTAGCTCTGTAGTAAAATCAGGGGAAAGGACAATTTGTGGTGGTAGTTTGCTTGAACATACAGTAACAGGGAGATGCTCCAAAATTCTTCATTGTGAATAAGACTTACAAGGGGCTAGACCACCATGGAGCCCAAATGATTATTAAATACGAATGGCCTTGGATACCTATGGTACTCTTCTTTAATGAGTTGAAAGTATGCACATAAAACGATCTTGAAAGTGGAGCATTGTTTTCAATTCATAGACTAGAAACAGAATGAATAAGGGATTATGGAAGACAGATATCTAGAATGAACCCAAAAATTCTCATCCCTTTACATATATGTCCTGTACAAAATCCTCCCCTTGAATGTGAACAAGTTCTTGTGAGTACAATAAAAATTATATTATATTCTCTATATATAGAACATGTAATATTCTATATTATATTCTGTGGCAGAAGGCATTTTGTAGATGTAATCAAGATTGCTAATCAATTGATGTTGAGAGGGGAGGTTATATAGGTGTCACCTGAACTAATCACCTGACCTAATCCTTGGTTAGAAATTTGGCTGGGAATATGCCTTAGTGGTAGAGTGCTTGGCTAGCATGCATGAAGCCCTGGATTCGATTCCTTAGTACCAGATAAACAGAAAAAGCTGGAAGTGGAGCGGTCGGTGGCTTTAGTGGTAGAGTGCTAGCAAAAGAAGCTCAGGGACAGTGCCCAGGCCCTGAATTCAAGCCCCAGGACTGGCCAGAAAAAAAAATCTCTAGACAGACTTGATGTGGGAGGGAGGCTCTCCTGCTGACTCGGAAGAGTAAAATGGTCATGTTGTGAACACATGATGGTAAGTACAGTAGTCTCTAATTTCGGAGAGCAGTCACCTGTCAGCGATTGACAAGAACGTGGTGATTTCAGGCAACAGTATCAAGGAAATGAATTTCGCCAACACACTGAAGATCTTGGAAGCAGATCTTGCCCTAATGGAGACTCCAAACAAGGATGCAGTGGTCCTTGAGTTCAGCCTTGTGGGTTCCTGAACTGAGAACCCACTTGCCCATTCTGGATTCCTAACTAATAGAAATTGAGATGATAAATGTACTATTTGATGTTGCCAGGTTGATGGTTAATTTGCTACACAGCCATAGAAAACAAAAACAGGGCTAATCAAAAACTCAGTAAACCATGGAAAAATTTTATCTAGAAAAAAATCTATAAAATGCCTTCTTTCTTACTGGTGGCATATGCATAGGTGGAAAAACCTGTGAATTCATCTATTTGATGAAGGAAGGTGCATCTACAATATGAAAACTTCCTAATACACAGATTCATCTCTAGGGGATGTATTGCTTAGTAATTTTCTCCTCTTACCTTGAACATGTACTGCCAAGGACATTTGCAAATGTCTTGCAGAGTTTATGCATTTATGATTTGGTGATGGTTGACGCAAAACAAAATTAACGTGGATGATATGGTTCAATTTCTTCAATATGTACTTACTTCTATTGCATTCATATCTAATATAATATTTCATCTATTTCTTTGATTTCTGATTTGGCTTTTTTCTTAAAGGTGAATGCAATTTCCCAAGGGTCATAATATGATCTGGTTTTTAATAACTGCAGCAGTGCAGATTTTTTTTAACCAGAAGGAATTCTTTTATCTTGAAATTACTTTCTGGATCAGGTTGCTAAGAAACCAGTTTCTTATTCAAAGTGCAAACCTGTGCTTGGACCTACCTTTAGGCCAGAAGTTCCTAGAAAGAATTGGCTTCTTTTCTCTGATTTCTTGGAGACAGCCACTGATTAAGGCTAGTTATGCACAAGATTGGCAGTGATCCTGAGAATAAAGCCCCAGGGCTAGCCTCGCCTACCTACTCTGCATGATTTCACCCTGGTGTACAGTCTGGCTGCTCCTGCCATGCTCTTCTAGACTAGTTGACAACTAAGATGCCTGGTTGCATGCTTACAAGATGCAGATACAAGTCGTCTGCATCTGTGTAGTAGCTGTTATGATCAATTATGTAACTGTTCTGTAATAACTATTAATTATAGCTACTACCAAATTATGTGAAAGTTATTATACAACTTGGATGCTGATGACATTGTAAGAAATTGTACCCCAGTCAAAGCAGTTTCTCCAACAGCAATGTAATTTTAGCTGGAGTTTTAGGGCAACATGGTTAAAGTTATAAGCAGCCTGGGGAGGCTACTCGTGGGTGTTCTTGCAGGCTCTCATCAATGTCATAATAATGTTACAATCTCTGACTTGAGGTATGTTGCCCCCCAAACTCAGTGGTCAGACTTAGTGTGCCGAGTGGTCAGACTTAGCATGCCACATTTAGCAAGAGTTCTGTGAAACAGCACCAGGGAGCCTTGCACATGGTTTTCTGTGTATCCTGACTTTTTTTTTTGTCTATGTGCCAGTACTGGAGCTTGAACTCAGGACCTGGCATTGTCCATTAGCTTTTTCACTCAAGACTAGTTCTCTACCACTTGAACCATAGCTCCACTTGTTTTTTGGTGGTTAATTGAAGAGTCTCACAGACTGTTGTATCTTGTAGATCTGCTGTGTACAGCTGTTTTTGATATGCTGGTTTAATATGGGATATATTTCATATATGCAGTAGATAAACATATAATACAGAAAGAACTGTCACTGTAATTAAATGAGGACAAAACAGTTCCTTTAGAATACTATTTTATTCTCTCTTCAGTGGATGTGACTCTTAGCAGTGAGAAGTTTTTAGTAACCTCAGGGATCATCTAAGGGGTGATCCCCTTCAGGTAATAAACCCATTTAATTCCACTATCACCGCTTTCCCCCTGAGAACACATCACAATCAGTTTGGTGGTGATAGGGGTTTTGCTGCCTGAAGTGTTTCCCTCAAAGTAGACTGTGATGTTGTTGATCTTCTTGGGCCGCACAGAGTCTGAAGCACGGATGGCAAAGGCTGGATTCTCCACAATGAAGGAGAAATTCGCTGTATGCAGGAAGACGTTCTTGAAGGGGATCACTATGTTGTACCCAGCACGGATCACATAGGGGCCCTGAGGCTTGGGAGGCAGAGCTACTCCAAAGAGGGGGATGGTATACTCGCCACCTATAAGTGACGACAGGATCAGGAAGCCCTTGGTCTCACCCAGGTGGCTGGGTTCAAAGAAGACTTCCACGCTGACTTCAGTGCCGCCCTGGGATCCTGGGGCTGCACTAATGACTCTTTCCGTGTGGAAGTCTGGACTGTCTGTCTGAAAAGAGAGCAAATGAACTTTACTCACACAGGATTCTAAAGAGCATCCCAGCAGCTCAAGTCCATCCCAGTACTTTAGATCCTGGTCATGCAATAACTTATGATTTTATCAGTTGGGGAAGGTTATGAAGTTGAGTCATTATAACCTATACATCTGAGGCTCTTGCAGGGTAGGTATTATTCATTATTATCCCAACATTGTTCCCAAGAAGTGGAGGCAGAGATGTCAGCAATGTGCTTTGAGACACACACTAGATTCCTGTGGTTGGGCAGACATCAGGGCTGCTCTTTCACACCGGTTCTTCTTTCCCTTTTTGCACAGGGAGGATAGAACATTCTGGTTCCTCATGAATAAGGCAGAGCTAGTTCTACACAATAAGGCATTGCATTGCCTGTTCAAGTCCCATCAGGGCCTTTTTACCCCTCTGGTGCTCTGACAGGAAATGCTTGAGATGGTGGTTGTTCTTCACCTGGATTCCTAAATGGTTGTGAAGACCAGAGTCTTCACCAGCAAGAATTAGACTTTTGTTCTTTCCAGCTACCGAGCTCTGAGGCTTGTCACTACAATGTAGACTCTCTTAAATGATGTGACAGTCAAGAAGACTATCCCTCCTGACTATAGCCACAGCACCTCTGATTTTTGCTAGAAACATGGTCATCCAATTGAAAAGCTACTTTTCCTAATTCCCCTTTTTGATAGACATGGCCTGTGAAGTTTTGTTCAGTGAAATATCCAGCAAAGTGATGCGTCTAACCCCCTGATCTGTCTCCCTTGTAACTGCTAGAGACATAGATGGCATGGCAAGTCATCTCAACCCATGTGGGCCAAAACAGTTCTCTGCAGAGAGGATACCAGGACTGGAACCTGGGTGCCCGATGGCACAGGGCTGCCATTTCACCTCACACTGCTAGTATCTACATTGTTGCCTGTAGGCGGAAGGAATAACTTTCCATTTTGACTTTCCTACTGGTTTTTGCTTTAGTAGTTAAAGCTAAGTCCCAGTTGATATAATAGCAAATGTATTACTAATGTATATACTGTGGTTAAGTACTAAGAAAAAGAAAGCTTTATATACATATATGAAAGTCCTGTGGGGTTGGGAGTTGCTAGCTGTAGTTTGAATGTCCCCACCAAAATTCACATTGAAATTTAATCCTCATTGTGAGGGCTTGAGATGTAGAATCAGGGGGACCTATAAGAGGTCACTGGGTCATGAGGGCAGCCCTCCTGAATGGGTTAAATTCCTTCATGGATTAGTGGATTAGTGGATTAGTGGGCTACGGGTTTATCTTTGCCAGTTATCAAAACCAGTTTGGCGGGGCTGGGAAGGTGGCTCAGTGGTACAGTGCTTGTCATGCATGCATGAGGCCCTAAGTTCGATTCCTCATAAATAGAAAAAGCTGGAAGTGGTGCTGTGGCTCAAGTGGTAGAGCGTGAGCCATGAGCTGAAGAGCTGAGGGACAGTGCCCAAGCCCAGAGTTCAGGCCCCACAACTGATAAAAAAACAAACAAACAAAAAAACCCCAAAAACCAAAACAAAAAAACCAGGTTAGCTTTCTACCTCAGCTGTACACCTTCTGCCACATGATGGCCTGTACTTTCTGGGGGCTTTGAAGAGAATACTTACCAGCAGGAGGCCCCTGCCAGATACAGCCCCTCAACTTCAGACAACACAGCTTCTGAAACTGTGAGCTGAATAAACCTTTATTCTTGACAGATAGTGGTATAAACTTACAGCAATGGAAAATGGACTAAAACAGGGCTCTTACTTTCATTTGTAGCTTAGAAAGTTAATCCACTCATATGATAAGTGGTAAAACTAAAACTATAACTTATGACCACCATGTAATACTATCTTTCCCTGATCCCCTGAGTGTGATGTAGGAAGGAAGCAAAATTTCTACCCCAGCCCACTTGAGAAAGTAAAAGTCAGTAAGGAAGAATCCAGGCCTGGTATGGTTTGTTTTTAGTTGGAAATTTCTAGGCAAGAATCAGGCCTCCAAAGCAAGGTTCACTATGACAATGAAGCCACTATATTCTCTGTGTTTCATCTCTCTGCAACTTCATAGGTCATCTTCTTATTACTATTACTACTACTACTACTACTGTTGTTGTTGTTGTTGTTGTCAGTTGTGGGGTTTGAATTTAGGGCCTGGGTGCTATCCTTGAGTTCTTTTGCTCAGGGATGGAGTTCTACCACTTTGAGCCACAGTTCCACTTCTAGGTTTTGAGTGGTTAATTAGAAATAAGAATTTAAGCCAGGTGCTGGTGGCTCACCTCTGTAATCCTAGCTACTCAGGAGGTAAGATCTGAGGATCACAGTTCAAAGACAGCCTGGGCAGGAAAAGTCTGTGAGACTCTTATCCCCAATTAAGCACCAGAAAACCAGAAGTGGTGCTGTGGCTCAAGTGGTAGAGTGCTAACCTTGAGCTGAAGAGCTGAAGGACAGCACCCAGGCCCAGAGTTCAAGCCCCATGACTGACAAAACAAAACAAAACAAAAAACAAAGAAATAAGAATTTAACAGGCACTTTTCTGCCCAGGTTGGCTTTGAATTGTGATCCTCAGATCTCAGCAAAGGATTATAGGCATGAGTCACTGGTATCCAGATCTCTGTTTTGAATCCCTACTCTGGCAAGGGAAGGGCCTGCTTACCCTGCAGTAGTACTCTGTCTTCTGCCGTGTATAATTGGTGAACTTGGCAAAAACACTTTGGCTGCTTCCAAGAACAGTCTGGAAGTGGACAGGCTTCTCAGGAACTGCTGGCAAAGCCTTCATAACAAGCTCATACTGATAAGAACCCAAATCACTGTTGTGCAAAGTAAGTTTTCCATAGGTTTCTCCAGCTTTCAGAGGTTGGAATTCAAATGAGAATACTCCCTGGAAGAGAAGATGAGGCTCTGGTCATGTTGGAAGTCTGACCATCTCCTGCTCATCTAGTGACATACCCAAGGTCTCACAGCACGCTGGCGGCAGGCTTGGGGCATCATGTACAAGCATGCACATAGATCCCAAGCTAGTGGACCCTTGTCCGAGCCATTTCACTCTCACTTTCCTGCACCCTTTCTAGCATTCTCTAGTTCAAGTATTTCTGTGTCTGGAATCTCTTTGAATTAAAGAAACAGGTACTGGATTCTCTCTGAAAAAGCAAATTTATGGAGATAGTGGTTTTAGTAGAAAGAGTAAAGGCCAGAGCTAAGCTCAGAAAAGTTTATTCAAGGTAATCTTTTTCCTCCCTTCATCATTACCCATTACAAAACGAAACAAGGACTAGAGTGTGGCCTATTGTGGCAAACAGGGAAATTGAGTTAAATGCACCATTGGTAATGGATTGGTTAATTAACTGAAGCTGTGACTCAGTGGTAGCATGTTTGAACTCATAGTTCAAACCTCAGCCCTACTCCCCAAATGCTAGTCAAATCTAGTAAAATATGTGAATTCAATAATATATGAAGTAAAAGTTGCACTAACCATCCCCAATAATTCCTTCTTTTTTTGTTTTTGTTTTTTGTTTTGCCAGTCCTGGGGCTTGGACTCAGGGCCTGGGCACTGTCCCTAAACTTCTTTTGTTCAATGCTAGCATTCTACCCTTGAGCCACAGCACCACTTCCAGCTTCTTTCTATTTATGTGGCAGAGGAACCTAGGGCTTCATTCACGCTAGGCAAGCACTCTGCCACTGAGCCACATTCCCAGCCCAGGTTTCCTTCTTTGGTAGAATATTACATAGCTATAAAAAAGAGTGAAGTTGTAAAAAAAAGCTATAAAAAGAAGGAGTTATAAACACTGCAATGAAAGGTATGGATATTGTTAGTGGAAGAAATGAAGTTCTAAAAATGTATATGAAGTATAAGCTCCGTTTTTTGTCTTTTCTTTTTTGGTACTAGGGATCAAACCCAGGACTTGCTAGGTAAGCACTTGGCCACTAAGCTACATCTCAGCCCAATAAATTTTTGTGGAGAATTCTATCTATATAAATATAGAAAGGAGATTGCAAAGATACATTACCAAATTGTAATAGGTAGTTATATCCAAGTAGGGGAAATGGAATTATGGGAGTTTTGTCTTTCTATTTTGTATACTTCTGTAGGGCTGAAATTCTGTTTTACTAGTATATAACTAGTTTTTATTGCAGATATTGGAATAAAAATAAGAATCAGCGGGGCTGGGAAGTTGGCTAAGTGGTAGAGCGCTTGCCTTGCCTGAGACCCTGGGTTCGATTCCTCAGCACCACATAAGCAAAAAGAAAAAAGCCGGAAGTGATGCTGTGGCTCAAGTGGTTGAGCGCTAGCCTTGAGCTGAAGAGCTGAGGGACAGCGCCCAGGCCCAGAGTTCAGGCCCCACTACTGGACCCCCCCAAAAAAAGACATCAGCAATGTCATAGATGTTTAACAGAAAAGAATATGATATAAAATTTTAGATGAATTTTAAACACAATTACAACTTAGATGAGTGGAGAGATGGACAAATAAATATTAACTACAAGAAGATATAGAAAATCTATAGTCCTAAAACTATGAAAGAAATTTAACCAACAATCATGGACTGGGATGACAGGTGTGGAACGCCACTTCAGTTTCTGTTGAGATGGAACCTTTTAGACTTTTCTTCCCTGGGCTGGTCTGGAACCACAGTCCTCCTGACTTTAGCCTTCCATGTAACTAGAATGACAGATGGGAGCCATGGGCTCCTGGCCTTTACTTTCCTTATACTACATGTATCTAGGCTACTCTGTGTGTGTGTGTGTGTGTGTGTGTGTGTGTGTGTGTAAGATGCTGGGATGTGAATCCAGGATCCCATGTATGTCAGGCAAGTACTCTACCCCTAGCTATTCCCCTGATCCTACACTTCTTTTGTAATTAGAAAAATAAGAAAAACAAGCTAGGTGCTGGTGACTTAGGCCCTGTAATCCTAGTTATTCAGGAGGCTGAGATCTGAGGATTGTGGTTTGAAACCACCTTGGGCAGAAAAATCGCTTTGAGACTCTTATCTCCAGTTAACCAGTCAAAACCTGGATGTGGTGCTGTGGCTCAAGTGGTAGAGTAATAGCCTTGAGCACCAATAGGCTTAGGGACAGGTCCCAGGTCCTGAGTTCAAGCCCCACAACCGAGAAGAGAAAAGAAAAGAAAAACATTTTCAGCTTGAACATGACAAATAAACAATAGAGACAAGGACCAGTAAAGAAGCTCATTTTAGCTGGGTGAGGCTGAGATCTGAGGATAATGGTTCAAAGCCAGTCTGGGCAGGAGGGTTTGTGAGACTCTTATTTCCAATTAACCACCAGAAAACTGGAAGAGGTGCTATGATTCAAAGTGGTAGAGTTCTAGCCTTGAGCAAAACTGCTCAGGGACAGCACCCAGACCCTGAATTCAAGCCTATGACAAAAAAAAAAAAAAAGCAGGCCATGTCACCTGTGCAAACCCAAGCTAAGGGCTACTAGTTCGTGTGAGGAGTTTGACAGTAGAGGAAGGGAAGAGGAGAGCAACTGCCCACGCCTTCCTGCTCACTGCCAGGGCTGGCTTCTCCCCGGTGGATGTAGACCCTGAGGTCCAATGGCAGAAGTATCTGTCAGGGAACCCTGACCACCCCATACCTCAGAGTTGGCAGGGACGACAAACTGGGAGGGCAGGCTGATGTCAGGCACCCTGCAGTCCGTGGAGAAGGTCACTGAGTAGGGCAAGGGGTTCTCCATCTTAATGGAGGCTGATGTGCTCTGGCGGATGGGGCTGGCCATCTCAATGGTTTTGATGGTGCCTGAAGGGATGACTCTAAAACTCACCACGTAGAACAAGAACTCATTGGTTGTCTCATTCCGGAAGATCACCTGCATTCACAAGGAAAATGGGATGAATCAGGACAGAAGAAGAGTTGGTTAGGGGTCCCCTGCCTTTGCTCAGGGGCTCCTGTTTTCTCTTAGCCTTGCCAAAATAGGCCCAGGAAGAAAAGGTAGCCGGTTTGATCCCTCCTAGCCAGCCTTTCTCTTCAGGCATTCCAGCCCAGCTCCTTCCAGTTAAGAGATGATTAAGGAGCCTGGGTTGGCTTTAGAAGAGGCTGGAGCAGGTTGTTTCATTATACACACACTCTCAGTAGCGATGGCTGGCCAGAGTTGCAGAACCAGCAAGACTTCAAGAAATTCAAGTTGAGTCTGGTGCTTGTGGCTCATGCCTGCAATCCTAGCCATTTAGGAGGCTGAGATCTGAGGAGCATTGTTCAAAGCAAGCCCAAAGCCAGCCCAAGAGTCTGTGAGACTCTTATCTTCAATTAACTAGCAAAAATTCAGAAGTAGATATATGGCTCAAGTGGTGGAGGGCCAGCCTTAAGCAAAAACAAACAAGCAAACAAAAAAAAACCTCAAAACTGAGGGACAGTGCCATTAGCTTGGGTGATTCTATCGTCCATCTTCAGCTCCCTCCTCTTCCATGAACTACAAGTCCATACATGCTCCTTTTCTTCAGAGCCCTTGCCTATCTTAATATGGAATTATACATTCATAGTGCAGTAATTTGAGTAGTGTCCATTTTCCCCCATTGGGCTGTGTATTCCATGAGAACAGAGACTGACTGTTTTGGCCACTGCCATATTGACAGAACTTATTACAGAACATGACACGTGAGCTCAATAGATATTTGCTAAACAAATGAATGAGCTGGGGCAGATAGCTCATGGATGAAACATTCCAGTGACTGGGGAGACATCTGCTATTCCTTAACAATTAGCCACCTCAGGGCCAGACCTCCAGGCTTTCTGTGTGATGCATTTAATGTGGAGATACCTTTGCAGTGTACAGCCCTTCCTTGTGGGAAAAGAAGTTCAGTTTGTAGTCTTTCTTGGAGCCAGACAGCACATCAATGTAATCCAGGCCCTTCATGGTAATGCTTAGGTCGGGCTTCTCTGGTTTCACCATTTCCACAACGACCCGGAATCTTGGGGCAGCACGAGAGCACATAAAGAGAGGAGAGAGCCAAAGAAACTGTTTGTCCAAAGGGAAGAAGGAATGGCAGTGTGTTTACTCATGATTTTATGGGAAGTGTGTGCTTCTAGTCTACACTCTACCACTAACAGTAACAGTAGCTGCCATTCATTGTCCACTTATCCCAGTAAGTGCTGTGAATGTGCTACAGACAATCATTTTCATGTCCACAGGAGGTTCAGATCACTAACATCTGCATTTTACCAATGGGGAAATAGCCAAAGAAGGACGATAACATGGTCAGGTCACATGACTAGTGATTGGCAAAACTGGGATTCAAACTCAGTTCTGAGTCTCTACGCCCTTTACAAAACACAGGTGGCCTTCAGGAAGTTATGGCTTTTCTCCTAGTCTCAAGTTCTCTATGAAAGGAAAGGACCACGCTAGTGGGTCTGCAGCTTCTCTAGCCCCCAAATTCCATTCTATTCCTACAAAGAAGGAAGACCCAATCTTCTTTCTTTGGCCAGTAGTTTAGGTAATAAGTTAGAGCACTCATTAATAACAAAGATGATCATCATGATGTCAATAACAGCTAACACTTATTGGACATTTATTTTGTGCCAAGAATTTTTCTAGTGTTTTTTTTTTTTTTTTAAGAAGAAATAGACCTACACAGAAGGAGCTAGAAGTTCAGGAAATGCTTGGCACATCAAGAACATTGTTTCTTGATTTCTTGAGCACCTTCAATGTTATCTATGAGTACCAAGCAGGGAAGAACCAGGACGGATGGTGGGAGTTGTTCCTTTATCCCCCTAACTGGACCCTTTTTCCCACTCCCTCACCTCTGGGTCTTGTTCAGCCAGTTCGTGATCGGCAGAAGCTCTGTGTAGGGTGTCTTACACGGCACTTCTCGGGAGATGGTGGCTACAGCTTTGGGGAGTTCAGCAGTTCCATGCAAAGCATACAGCCAGCCCGTCCCATCTGGGAGGGGGAAGAAGAGGGTGCCCTGAGGAGAAGAAGAAAAGTGAGCAGAATTTATTAGGCATCCATCAGGTATGGTGGGGTTACAAGATTAATGGAGCTTCTTCAAGTAAGCATAACACTTTTGGATAGCAGCTCAGCAATAGATTCTAAAAGTTATAAAAGTATTTGTAAGGCTGGGTAGGGTGGTATACACTTGCAATCCCAGCATTTGAGAGGCTGAGACAGGAGGATTACAAGTTCAAGGCAAACCTGGTTAATAGCAAGATCCTGTCCCACTCCCAAAAAGTTCATAAATATTTGAACCAAGTAAACCCACTGAAGAAAAAAAAAATCTCTCCAGAGGCAAAGTTTTGGAGAACGCCTTATAATATTGGTGGAAATTTGGAGATAAATTAGCTAATAATAGCAGAATGTTAAAAATTATGGAATGCTCACTCAGTGAAATCTTAGGCTCTCATTACAATGGTTATCCCAAAAGCTATGCAGCTAAGCGGAAACTTGCTCATGATAGAATGTAAAGTGAAAAGAAACTGAATACAGGAGTGGTGTGCTGAGACCGCAGTGATGGATTGCTCTGGGTGAGGGTTGGGAGTAAAGAGAAGAATATTTCATTCATGTGGAAGATTGTAGCTGCTTTTCTTTTCTGATTTTTTTTAACAATTGCCATGGAATTTTTGCAATTACATGAACAGTTAACTGTTTGAAGCGTGGTGGAGGACTTCATTTTAGAACACAGCCTTAGCTAGGCTCTGGTGGCTCACACCTGTCATCCTAGCTACTCAGGAGGCTGAGATCTGAGGATCTCACTTCAAAGCCAGCCTGGGAAGGAAAAGTCTGTGAGACTCTTATCTCCAATAAACCACCAGAAAACTGGAAGTGGTGCTGTGGCTCAAGTGGTAGAATGCTAGCTAGTGAGCTGAAGACCTGAGGGACAGTGCCCAGAGTTCAAGCCCCATGACCGACAAAAGAAAAAAGAAAAAAATAACAACAGAGCCTTTGGCTTTCCCAAGAATCACCTATTACTACATGATACATAGGCAAGAAGGGAAGTCAATTATTAAATCAAATTAAATTAACTTATTTAGTGCCAATACTGGGGCTTGAACTCAGGGTCTTGCACTCTGACTCAGTCTTTTTCTACTCATGGATGATGCTTTACCACATGAGCCATACTGCTTGCTCTGGCTTGCTGGTTAATGTGAGAGTAGTTGAACGGCCCTGAATCATAATTCTCAGATCTCAGCCTCCTGAGTAGTTAGGATTATAGACATGAGTCACTAGTGCCCAACTGGAAAGCCAAATCTTGAGCATCTACACTATCTTCACTGTTCCATCATGACCTGGGTACCCTTTCTTCTCCTTCCTAACATTCTCTGAGTTCTGGGCTCACTGTGCCTTCCTTCTGCTATGCCAGGAATCCAGTGAGCGGCCTCAACCTACCTGGTGCTTGCGGTTCTCCACGTTCATGGTGCGGGGTCTATATGTGATCTCATAGGGCTTGTTTTGCTGATGGGCCTCCAGGGTGACAAACTCAGGCCCTTCCCAATGCTCGCCTTCAAAGATGGGGTGCAGATTCCAGGTCTGGTTGGTGCGGTTTGACAACATGATGGTCTGTGTGTGTTTGGAGCGGACTTGGCAGGTGAAATTCACCACCTAGAAGAAAGCTGGCCTGTTACCTTCCATGGTACTTCCCCTGACCTGTCTTCAGGGTCCAGATGCACAGCATGTATATGAGTGAAGACCGATTTTTTTTTGTTGTTGTTGGTTGTGGGGCCTGAACTCTGGGCCTGGGCTCTGTCCCTCCGCGCTTTAGCTCAAGGCTAGCACTCTACCACTTGAGTCACAGCACCACTTCTGGCTTTTTCTGCTTATGTAGTGCTGAGGAATTGAACCCTGGGCCTCATGAATGTGAGGCAAGCATTCTACCATTGAGCCACCTTCCCAGCCCCATGAAGACCAATTTTAACAGTGCTTCCCAGAGTGAGCTTATGTTGATAAGTTTCCTCTTTGTTCATTAATTCAGTCAACAAATATTAATTGGACAAACTGGCATTTCAATGAAAATATGTTGACAGCAAATTAATACTTGAAAATGTGTTCCACATTATCAATCATTAGGAAAATGTATATCCAAAACCTCAATGAGATATTACTACATATCCAGTGGAATGTCCAAAAATGTAAAAAAACCCAACTACATAAAGGGTTGACAAGGACATGGAACAAGTAGAACTGTCAGATGTTATTGGTGAGGTTGTAAAAGGACATAGTCACATTTAGAAAATACTTAGGAATTTTGCAAGTAGATATATCCTGTGGTCCAGCCATCCACATCAAACATTTGCACAAGAGAACTCAAAATGTATGCTCTTGTGGAGACTTGCTCATACATTTTCTGGTATATTGTATGATTCTGTCCATGTAAAGATCTTGAGATAACAAAATTATACAGGAAGATGGGTACCATTTTTGTTGTTAGGAAGACTAGTAGGTCTTACAACAGAATTTGATTTAGAAGTCATGCTAATGTAGACTTCCTTGAGAATGCAATGATTGAGTTGAGAATCGACGAAAGAACAAGAATTAGCTAAATAAAGAAGGGAATACAAAGTCCCTATGGTGGAAGGAGCCAGTCAGAAAGTCTGATGTGTGCTCTGATGAGCGCATTCTCTCACTGGACTACTTTCCACCACTGGTCCCTCACCGAGCAACATGTATTTACCTCTTTTATTGCAGGTGGTCCTACACAGACCCCAGATAGGGTGAGGTACAGAGGACTGCCTCCCTGGATGAAGCAGAGCAGGTTTTTACAGAGACTCTCCTTTCCCATCTCAGTGGGATGGTAGGTCACTTCGAAAGAAACCTCCATGCCTGCAGTGATGTAACCTTCATCTGGCTTGATGGAGAAATGAGGCTTACATTTTCTGATATCCCATTTAAACCTTTTCCAAGACAAAAGACAACAAGGAAGATAGCGGTTAAAATTTTTGTCTGGAAAGAAAGCCTTACTCTGAGCTGTTAGCTGCATAGTTTCCCTCCTCACTTACCCCCTAGGCCCTAAGGAGAAAGATATGCTAGACAGAGTGGAAGCAGTTGGAGACATAGGCCAAGGTCACTGGGTAAGGAGATTTGGCTCTCTCTCAGAGGTGAGACAGGGTAGAAAGTGTCTGTCTTCTTATTCAGGACTGTCACATTTGAGAAATGTGCAGAGACATGCACACAGGTGTTCACAGGATCACACAGCTAGTAAGGGGCTAGGATAAATTCCTGAGACTATGGCCTCAACCACTCCCTGCTCTGCCTCTCTGTTCAGATCCAGACAAGTGGTGACTCTCCCTTCATGTGAGAGAGACACTTATACTTAGTGGTACTGGAATCTGATGCCCAGACACGGGTCTGGGCACTTGGTGTGGGCAGGAGACAGAAGATGGAGGGTGCAGACCAGTCTCTTCAGTGCAGGCTTGCCACAGTGTTCCTCAGGGTCACATTCACCCCGAGTCTGTGTGATAAATACCCTCTTTGGGTGCACAATGTACAGATCTGCACTGCTGGGTCAATATTCATGAGGGAAGGGCCTGGGAAGATGAGCTGTTACAGATACAGCTGGATGCCTAGCCCATATTTTCTACTTCCTGGCTGTATGATCCTGGGCAAATCACCCAGCCTCTTCGAGCCTCCCTTCATCTATGTCATGGTGACACTGTAGTAACTACTCCAGAAGATCCGAGGCTAATTAATAGGGGATTGCATGTGAGAATGATCAGCATTGTGCTAGGTGCTAGTGCTCATGCCTGTAATCCTAGCTACTTAGGAGTCAGAGATGGATTGGATTGTGGTTCCAAGCCAGCCCAGGCTAAAAATATCATGAGACTCCCATTTCATTAGAAAAAGCTGGTCATGGTGGTACATTCCTGTGACTCCAGTTATGGTGGGGAGTGCAAATAGGAAGATTGTAGTTTAGGATGGCCCAGACAAAAAGCAATTCCCATTTCAAAAATAACCAGAGTACAAAATGTCAGAGGCATGGCTCAAGCAGAAGAGTGAAGCCTAAAACCCTTAGCTCAAACCTTAGTATCACTAAGAAAGAGGGTGGAGAGAGACACACAGAGAGAGACAGAGAGAGACATACACACAGAGAGAATACTCAGCATTGTACATATGGTAAATTCTTGCTACATGTGTGATTTTAGGAAAGGCTATTCAATTTTGGTTCCCTTACCTGTAAAACTAGCTCAGTGGTAGTACTGAATTCCCAGGGCTGTTGTTGGGAATGAGAGGGATGAGACCTGTGACAGGACTGTGGAAATGTCCTCTGTCATATTAGCTTCAGTAGTCACCTCAGCAATAGTCACTTTGGTCAGACCACTGCTGTTACATCTTGTCCCACCCACAGTAGACAAAGGGGTATACATAGAAGGGAGTTGATAGAAATAGGAAGTGTCAGGTATGTTATCTCACAAATAAAATCAAGCCAGGTGCTGGTAGCTTATACTTATAATCCTAGCTGCTCACCAGGCTGAGATCTGAGGATCACAATTTGAAGCCAGCCCATGCAAGAAAGTTCATGAGACTCCTATCTCCAATGAACTACCGAAAACTGGAAGTGGAGCTGTGGCTCAAAGTGGTAGAACACTAGCTTTGAGCACAAAAACTCAGGGGTAGTACCCAGGCCCTGAGTTCAAGTCCCACAATGGAAAAAAAAATCAAATCAAATCAGGAAACAAAAGCAGTGTTTGCACATGCAAAATGACAGCTGGCAATCCAGGGATAGAGATGTCAGCTTTGGGTGGGCCGCATGCTCTCCTACCTTGCGCCCACGTCACCAGTATTAAACATAAGGATGCGGCGTGTAGCTTGTGTCTGGTACACGACTGGTCCAAAGGGAAGATGTTCCTGGTCCAGGGAGATCTCCAAAGCCTGGCAGCAGCCGGTGAGAAGGAAGAGGGGGTACAGAATCCCCAAGAATTCCACAAATACCTCCTCAGAGAAGGGAGGCACACGCTTCTTGGGGGAAAAGGTGATTTCCACTTTGCAGATTTCTTTGGGCTTCAAGGTGATGTTTTGGAAAGGCACCAAGTTGATGACCTGGCCAAAACAAACAAACAAACTGGGCTCAGCAACTAAGGGCAGGGAAGCTCCGGGGGCTTTGAGTTCCTGAGGTCTAGCTGCTGGGGCTCTCAGTTGAAAGCATAACAAATCTCACATCTGTTTTAACCAGCTATGACATCTTTGGGAATGTACTTAAACCCTTTGTGACTTGCTCTCTGGTGAAGGTCAAGACCATGTATATAGAATATGGGGTACACGATAGGCATTTGATTCTCTTTTCCTGCTCCCTTTCAGCTTGTCTTAGGCATTTCATTCTTCTTTTCTTTCCTTCTGGTACAGGAAATGGTAGCAGGAAACAGGAATCTCTGGGCTCATGTGTTTCTCAAGAATCATCCCCTGGGATTGTCATAATGCAAATTCCAGGCTCCTCCTGCCCAGGTCCACTGAGTCAGTGTCCCTGAGATGGCATCCTATCTGCATTTTCAAAAGTTCTTCAGAGATTCTAAAGTTTGAGAACCAGTGCATAAATTTGCATTTCCCTTAGTCCTGGGAGAAAGTGAATTGAAATCTACCTTAAGAAAGTTTGTTCCTGGCAGGCACCACTGGCTCACGCCTGTAATCCTAGCTATTCAGGAGGCTTATCTCTGAGGATCACAGTTTGAAGCAGGAAGCTCCATGAGACTCTTATCTTCAATAAACTACTTGGAAAAAGCTGAAAATGGTGCTGTGGCTCAAGTGGTAGAGTGCTTGAGCACAGAGAGGCTCAGAGATAGCGCCTAGGCCCTGAGTTCAAGCCCCAGGACCAGCCCCCCCCCCCCCCCCCCCGCCAAAAAAAAAGAAAGAAAAAGAAAAAGAAAAAGTTTGTTCTGGTCAGAGCAGTGGACAGTCACCCACAAGGGGACTGCAGTGAGGGGTAGAGAATCTTCAGCAGAAAAATAACCCTAGGGATTTCTCACATGATGATGTTAGGAATGATTCTCAGGGTGACAGGTCCAAACAGGTCATTCAGATGGCTTTGGTCTAGCCACATAAGAAGCAGAATTTGTATGGGCAAACTCTTAGGGGCTCTAACCCACTGGGATCAAGGACTTTAAACTGGATTACTGAGGAGAAGGAAGCATATGGCTGGTGCAGTAGACAGTGTAGGCTGATGTACCCACTGGGTTTCTTGTCATGACTAGCTTTGTGGCCTCATTTTCTGCATCCTGAAATCCCTAAATGATCAATAGTACCACTTCCACATTGGTCCACATCTGGTTTCTCAGGAGCTCTGATACTTTGGAGTGCATATGCCTCTGCTCCCCATAGATACCCCTCCCCACTTATCTGCTGTTCATCTTAATGTGCAGTCCAGGCCTCTCTGCACTGTAGGGTCTTCCACAGCCCTTGAGCCCACCCTGCTCTGAGCAGTGTTGCTTCCAATTCACATCCTGCTTCTCTAGTTTCCATGTTGTCCTGGGACTGTTTATGAATCTGTGATCCTAAAAGACTACGAACTCCACCAGACAATGTTTGTGTCGTAGTTGCATTTAGATTTTCTGCATTGAGCATGTATTTATTGAGTAAATGTAAGAATGAAGTGAGTGAAGGAACATGAAAGCCCTCAGTCTGAATCACATGTTGTCCATTTCTGAAGGGCCAACCAAATACTGATAACAGCAAGCAGGATAGTAGCCTAGCCTGGAAGCTGGAAACTTCTGTATCCAAGGACCTTGCAGGATGTGGAATTAGCAATGAGAACGGTAATAAGCATCATGCTCATTGATGAGAGTGTAGAGTGGGATGGCCTTTCTGGGGGCAGATTGGCGATGCTTATGCATACACACTTTCCTTTTTTTTTTTTTGTCAGCCTTGGGGCTTGAACTCAGGATCTGGGCTCTCTTTCCCTGAGCTTTTTTTGGTCACAGCTAGCACTCTACCACAGCTCAACTTCTGGTTTTCTGGAGATGAGTCTCATGGACTTTCCTGCCTGGGATGACTTTGAACTGTGATCTTCAGATCTCAGCCTCCTAAGTAGTTAGGAGGCGTGAGCCACTGGTGCCCAGCTCACACTCTCCTTTTCATCCTGTTTCCCTTTTTGTTAAGCAGTGTCATTGATGTGTGTAGAAACTTAGCTACACAGATATTGTAAGGTTGTTTGTAATGTGAAAAATTAGAAATTAGACAAATTTCTGCTTTTGAATTAGCAAACTTTGAGGATTGATCCATGTGTACAGTGAAGGTGTAAACTAACAAATGACATGGATAGGGTAAATGATCTGAGATAGTATACACAAACCTCTTAGAATAGTCTAGTACATTCTAGGTACACAATGGCATGTGAGCTGTTAAGTGTTGCCAGCCTGGTCATTTTTATTGTTAGGAAGCATGAAGAAGACCTTGGGACCTCACCTAGCCCCACCTGAGAACTGACCTTGGGTTCCTGAAGTTCTGGAGTAGAGAACAGGGCTGATTGGTTAAATGTGATTTGGGCCAGGCTGTTGTTCATGATGGTAATAGTTTTCTTTACAACTTGTCCTGGCAGGACAGCTCCTAACTTCACAATCTTATTGGCTGGATCTATGACCAAAACCTGTGGGTCAAGAAACAGAGTTAGGAAGAAGGGCTTGTTAGTTAATAAGAAAAATAAATAGGATGCATTTTTCCAGTGAGGCAAGAGTAATTCCTTCCTTTCAGTGACTTAACTTTATAAATTTTCCCTTTCCTTCCCTTCCCCCCTCCTTCCCTCCCTCCCTCCCTCCCTTCCTTCCTTCTTTCCTTCTTCCTCTCCCTACCTTCTCCCCTCCTCTCTCTACCTTGTCCCCTCCTCTCTCTACCTTCTCTTCTCCTCTCTTCCTTTTTTCTTTTCATTCATATGCCATACTGTGGCTTGAACTTAAGGTCTGAGTTTTTTGCTCAAGGCTACTACTTTACCATTTCACCACAACTCCACCTCTAGCTTTTGGTGTTAATTGGAGATAAGAGTATCATAGGCATTCCTGCCCAGGATGGCTTTGAACTATGATCCCCTCAGATCTCCGCTTCCTGAGTAGCAAGGATTATAAGCATGAGTCACGGGTGCTTAGCAAAATTCTCTCCTTTTTGTGATTAGGGATACAATCTCAGTGGGACTGATTGACCTCCAATGGTACAATTCCAGGAGCAGAGACATGAAAGAGGAGGAAAGGTATGCTCAGGTGGGCAAAAGAGGCTAGGAAAGGGCAGAAGAAAGGAGTCAGTCAAGCCCTAGTGCCTTTCCCCCCTTCCCCCCCCCCCCCACCGCCTCTCTTTCTCTTACTTTCATTTCTGCACCTTTCCCTTTGATCTCAACTATTTGTTGAGAAAGTCCATTGATTTCAAAGGGGATGAGTTCTCGGTAGTTGATATTTTCTCTGGGATAAAAGATGATTGGAACCTCCAGTGTCATTCCTGGTTTTATCACATCCACATGGAAGTCTACCTCCAGGTAGTTGGTGTTGGTGTATAAACAGTCTATGCTGGGGAAAAATCAATGGGAAGGGATGTAATCTGAGAAGGTTGACCTAGAGGGACTGATAGGTCCTCTATGATTCTCTACAGACTGGGGACCAACAAATTCCCTGTGCTATTGTCCTAGAATCAGGAAAATCCTCCTCCTCCTCCTCATCATCATCATCCTCATCTCATCACAATAACAGCCGCAGAAGCTAGCAATGAATGAGCATTTTCTATGTCCTAGAGACTGTTCTAAGTACTTGACCTTGGTTCTACATTTCTAATTTAATCCTTCTCATAATCCAATACAGAAGAAACTGTTACAATTCCCCATTTTAGGCAAGCAGATAGAGTGTTTAAAAATTTTTCCCAGGGCTGGGAAGGTGGCTCAGTGGTAGAGTGCTTGCCTCACATGCATGAGGCCCTGAGTTTGATTCCTTAGCACCACATAAGCAGAAAAAAAGAGCTAGAAGTGGTGCTGAGGCTCAAGTGGTAGAGCACTAGCCTTTAGCTGAAGATCTGAGGACAGTGCCTAGGCCCAGAGTTCAGGCCCCATGACCGACAAAAAAATAAAATAAATAAATCACAGAAAAAGCCAGAAGTGGTCCAGTGGCTCAAGTGGTAGAGTGCAAAGGAGCTCAGGGAATGGGACAGCACACAAACCCAGAGTTCAGGCCTTAGGACCAGCAAAAAAAAAATTCCCCAAGGTCATACAATATAGGAAGAGCTGAACCTTGACCTTAGATTTGTGCTATTCACAAATTAAATTTTAATTAATTTAAAATTAGATTAAGATCAAATAAAAATTCAGTTACTTGAAATGTTCTAGGTACATTGCCTAGTTAATATCTAGCTATGGGCCACCAAAACAATTAATCTTGTCAGCTTGATTGAGCTGAGAGATAATTAGGAGATCAGTAAAGTACAGAAATGGCTGTGTTTGTAAGGGCATTCTGACCTAATCAATAGTTTAATCAAATGGATTAAACATTTGAATAGACTATTGTGAGATGGTGAAACTATGGAGGTAGAGCCTGGTTGAAGAAAGTAGGTCACTAGGGGTGTGTGCTTGGGGGATATATCTTGTCCTTGCCCCTTCTTGCTACTGTGTCACCTGGTTCTCGTCTGCCATGATGTGAGCTGCTCTGACATGCTCTATCTACCATGACGGACTGAAACTTCTGAAACCATAAGCAACATAAATCTGTGTATGCAAATGCAGCTGTTATATTTAATGCACCTTGTGTAAAAATTGAACTATACAACTTGAGGGTAGGGATGAGAGGGGAAAAATGGAGGAGAATGATGGATGGAGTGACATTAATCAAGATGCAGTGTACTCATAACCTGACTTTGGAACTATAACCTCTTTGTACAACTACTTTATAATAAAATAAAATAAAACCGTTGCTTCTGTTATGTTTTTTTGTTCTAGCAATGATAAAACTAGCACAAGCACCACATTAGACAGATAATTTTTTTTTATCATTATAGAAAGTTCTCTATAGTTCTGATATAAAGACTGAGTTGCTCTGCCAGATTTCTGGGCCCAATGATAGTCTATGTCATTTGGTCTGGAACATTCTACAAGGATGGTATAGAGATGCTGAATTTGAATCAGAACTTAGTACAGAGATGCTATTTACTGTAGAGAAATGTACTTTTTTAATGCTCCAAACATAACTGTAGAGAAACTCAATTTTTAAACTCTCCAAACAGTATCTCCAACATATGTATTGCATGAGAAAAATGAATGGAAGCTATAAGAAGTCCCCTTTTGACATCCTCCATTTGACATTGTCTTCTGCATTTTAGGAAGAGAACTGTTAACAAGTAGCTGCTCATGGATATCCAAGTGTTAGTGGTGGGACTAGGAACCCAAAATTCATGCCCATTGATGTCTGATTCCTTCCAACCTCACCTATACAGAGTCTGAGGGAACCACAAGGAGCTATAGAATCATATGAATGCTCTGGAAAGTCTTCTTACCTCATGGCTGTTTCTTCCTTGTTGGTGATGACCAGCATCTGTATGTATGGGGGCATCCCAGCTTGGTAGATAAAGCATGTTCCAAAGTTATAGCTGGTAAAGGAGAAATGGACCGCTGGACTCACAGCACAGCCTATGATGCTGCATGTGAATGTTGGGCCATGGTTGATCTGTGGGGAAGAAGTATATGATTAGCAGAGTAGGAGGAGAAGGTACTTGCATCCAGGGGGGATAGAGGGAAATGACTGGTATTTAAAAGAACTCAGGCTCCATCTCCAGAGATTCAAATTCAGCAGGTTAGGGTTTATGAAAAGCTCTGAGTACAACCCAGATTTTTTTTAAAGCAATTGTCCCACAAGGAAAAGCTAGACATATCAAGTAAATGCCTTGGGAACAAAAGCTCTCTGAATCATCTGGGTGCTATAATCCTAACACTCAGGAGGGTGAGGCCAGAGGATCTGAAGTTTGAGGCCAGCCTGGGTTATATAACAACCTAACTCAAAAAAAAAAAAAAAAAAAAAAAGAAAAAGAAAACCTAAGAGTTAGGGATGTGGTACAATGGTAGGGCACTTACTTACCATGTACAAGGCCACAGATTTGAGAAGTTTTTTTTAAGTGCTCAGTCAGGTCAAATAAAGGAAATGCCTATGAGTGGCTTTGCTGTGAAGGGAGGTTTCTTTGAACTTCTAGATACGGCAGATAACTTACAGTGAGCTTTTAGGAAGTTCCAAACTGTTCTTCTACCTCTATAAGCCTTTTTATTACAGACCTGTTGAAGTTTTCAAAACAACTGCAGAGCTGGGGAAAATGATCTGGCATAGGACAAATTAAACCATCATGAAGATCACTTTTCTTAGTGATATTTAGTCATTTTTCTTGAATAAATACTCCAACAACTGTTGCAGGTTAATGGTTGATTTGCATAGTTCTGAAAACATTGATCTTGCCAATTTATTTTTTTAATTTAATTTTTTTTTGGTCAGTCATGGGGCTTGAACACAGGACCTAGGTGCTTAGGGCCTGAGCTCTTTTGCTCAAGGCTAGCACCACTTCCGGCTTTTGAGTAGTTAATTGGAGATAAGAGTCTCATGGGTCAAGCTTCAAAGCCAACTGGGCAGAAAAGTCTGTGAGACTCTTATCTCCAATTGTATCTCCATAAAAAGCCAAAAGGAGCTGTGGTTTAAGTGGTAGAACACTAGCCTTGAGCATAAAAGCTCAGGGACAGGGCTGGGAAGGTGGCGCAGTGGAAGAGTGCTTGCTGTGCATACATGAGGTCCTGGGTTCAATTCCTCAGCATCACATAAGCAGAAATAGCCAAGAAGTGGTACTGTGGATCAAGTGGTAGAGTGCTAGCCTTGAGCTGGAGAGCTGAGGGACAGCACCCAGGCCCAGAGTTCAGCCCCACAACCAAAAAAAAAAAAAAAAAAAAAGCCCAGGGACAGTGCTCAGGCTGAGCTCAAATCCCAGGACTGGCAAAATAATATTCATCATTGTCATCATCTTTGGGACTCAATCTAAAACTGAACATTTCTTGATTGTTTAGGGTAAAAAATCCAGTTTAAAAAGTGACAAAATTATTATATTATTCCTGAGAATATGCTGTATTTGGCTAAACAATAAATGGTGTGTGAATCCCCAAGACAGCTTTCACCAGAGGCCGTGGCACAGGTGGCCTTAACCTGCTCTCTTCTGTTCATACTTGTATATCCACCATTCGTGGTTTTATTTCTCCTAACAGATGTATTAAAGTAGAACCATAGATTTAAAAAAAGTCTCACAGGGACTTTTCTGCCTGGGCTGGCTTCAAACCGTGATCCTCAATCTCAGCCTTGTGAGAAGCTAGGATTACAAGTGTGAGCCACCAGACCCAGACCCACAGATATATTTTTTTTAACCTGTGTTGTCATTGCTTTGGAAGAGTAGTTTTTCAGAGACCCCTCTCTGCCATTCCTTCTGACCTCATCCATCTTGAACTTTTCTTCAGTAACTTATCTTGGTAAATATTGCACATATGCTCTCCTGTCTGTCTCATTTATTCTAGCATCTGGAGAATGGATGGTATCTCAGTGCAATTGGCACTTACTCACTAGGTACCTCAACCATGGAGGAGTTGTTTTGAGCTAGAGATTGTGGGCTGTCTCCAAGACAACTGTCCAGCAGGAGCTCTGAACAGGTGGAGAAGACAGAACACACAGAAGAATTAGCCTGTCAGCATAGCATGCTGTGAGTTCTTTAACCATTTGGACAATGTGAATTGCTCTTACCTTAATTTTGAGTTCCAGGCCCTTCAAGACACATTTCTGAAATGGCTGGAAGCATAGTACAGCATGCTCACTCTGCCCTATGTCCACAGAACCATCAGTGGGTGAAAATTCCAAGTACTGTAACAGGCTTTTAGGCCCAGAAAGTTCTGCCTGGAAACTAAAGCTGAACTTTCCTGTGTTGATAAGGCTGAATTCACATTGGCTACACTCATTTAATTCCACCTGGAAGATAGAGAGAACAGAACAGTGAATGTAAACCATAGTTTCCTTCTCTGGAGGAAAAGTATCCTTTGGGTGGATGGATGACTTGGTGAGTTGGGCATTAAGCTTAATGTTGTCAGATATTCTGCAAGAGCTACTCAGTGTTGAGTGTGCTTATATCTCAAGTGTAAGTTGATAATTGAATTCTTTCTTGTATGTTTAATATAAGTATTCTTGCCTCTTCCCATGATTTCTACCCACTGAAAAATAAAGTAAGAGAGTCACTCACACTATAACTTTGTGCATTGTAGAGATGGGGCTGTTGGTCTCTGGCATTTGAGACAAAGATTCACCTCATATTTGCTTGATCACCTTCCCTAGTAAAAAATGGAATTGGAGAGAGGCAGCAAGGCCCTCTCACACCTTTACCTCATAGAAATTGGCGATATTGGTCTGGTTGGGTGTCAAGATAGTGATGGTGCCATTCCTGTCCTTGAACCTGACTTCTGCATTCATAGTATAGCCCTCAGCCTTGACATTTAATGTCAGAGGGTGGGCTTTCTTTTTCACATTGCAGATCAAATTGAAGTTCACCTCTCCTTCTTGCGTTGGTGTGAAGAAAATATCAATTGGGAACCTGGTTGTGAACAAGACAGCAGATTAGCTAACTAAGATGACTAGTTAAAATCCGATTAAAAAAAATGAGTCCTTTGAATTGGCAAATATGTCATGAACAAAAATGACTAAAAATGAAGTGGTGCTGTGTAGAACACCGGTCTTGAAGGAAAAAGCAAAGGGACAGCACGCAGGCCCTGTGTTCAAGACCTAGTACTTCCACACATGTTCATACATGAAGATAGTGACAAAAGTACTCTAAATTATAATGAAGTATAAAGATAGTTTTCCAGGGAAAGCTAGATATTGCTCTGTGGATTCACATATCAAGAAGACAGGAAAAGACTACAAAATAATACAAAAAAATATTGAGGACAAGGCCTTAAAATTCTCAACATTCCATAATTCATCAAGAAAACCCTGTGGAGTAAGTAGGTCGAAGGTATTATTGTTCATATCTAAATCTTAGTTGGAAGGGATTTTATAAATGGGACATTCTAAGCAATTCTCCTGGGTAGCAGGCTTTGGGCCCCTGCCACGCTGAGGACACTCATCCAGAGCCCTTAAGTTTTCTTTACCTGGACAGTGGTGCAATCCAGCCTTCCATGGGACATACAACCAGACTGTTGCTGAACCCTTCAGAATACCGAGAGTTGTCGAGGAAGGCAAAGCTGAACCCTTGCTCCTCCTTGTTGATCATCTGCACAGACTCCCTGGCTTCTCTGCCTGTGGAGGAAATAACCACCCTAAGTGGAGGCCTCTTGTTTGCTTGCTGAAGTATCTCAGCAAGCAAAGTATCTACTCCACAGGCAAGTGGAAGCCTTTGTGGAAACCTCTAGTTCTGTTCCTTCCTCGTCTCAACTCCCCAGCCTACTCTTCTTTCTCTTGGCTTTTTATGTGACTTTCCTCCCTTGGGAGACTCCATGTCTTCCCTCTTGAACTTCATTTCATCAATTGTCTGCTCCTGCTGGGTGGCTCTTCTGCCCTGGTCACAGCTTTCCTGAGATTCTGATGACTCTGTTTTCTTCCCTTGTTCCTTCAGACCCAGGGTTGTAATGCCTTCCTGGTTCTGTAAATGAAGGCTTCACCCTCTCTGTCTGGCACCCTAACTCTCCCCATCTCTACAAATCACCGCTGTTTGATCTAAGAGCCTTGCATCTGCTAGGCAAGCCCTCTATTCCTGAGTCATGCCTGTAGCACCCCTCCTCCTCTTTTTTCGTACTTGTTTTTGAGATAGGGTCTCACTTCTTGCCTGGGACTGTGCCAGAACCATAATCCTATTTTTCACTTCCTACGGTTGCTAGAATGACAGGCATAGCCTTTGAGATGGAATCTCATGGGCTTTTCTGCCCTGGCTTGCCTGTCTCTATCTCTCAAGTGGCCAGGATTACAGCCATGAGCCACTGCTGCCTGGCTTTGAATTTTTTTGAATTAGACTTTCAGTATGCCAGGAGTTTCCTGCCCACACATCTCCTGCTAATACATGTCCTGTCATTATTTTCTTTTTCCACTGGCTATTATGCCTCTATTTACTCACATAAAATTTACGATCTTTTTATCCAATATTCTCCCCTCCTCAATCTTTAATTGGGGTTACACTTGTCAGATTTAGCAAATAAAGTCTGTAATATATAACTGTGCTCCAAATATTGCATGGGTCATGTGCACACTAACACACTGTTTATTATTATCTGACACTAGTATTTTGCTGTAAATCCTTCTAACTCTAAACTGTTATTGTAATTGGAAAGTGGCTTAATTTCCCCAGGTTTATGCTTTATTTTAATGCATTCTCAGCTCCCTAATAAGCACCTGGGACACATCAGGGGCTTAATAAGGGTGGTAGAGAAATCTGACCGGAGTGGTACAAATACTCCACAATGTGGGGGTAAAGGAGGCACATGAAGACAGATGGAGCTGTTTTGAGACTGCAAATACACATTCAGTGTAAGCCCTCAGCCATTATTCTCATGCTATATTGCTCATTTATTTGCTCAAAATCTTAACAAATGACACTCCACCTATTTATATGTATCAGTACAAGAAATGTTAGGATATACTACGCATATAATACATACCCAATTTAATGATTTCCTTTGGTGGAAACAAAGAGTGAGAAGATGAGGGGGAGAGATTGAGAGATTATAGAGAGGTAACACTAGGGAATGTCAACTATTATTTATTACTATTATAGTTTATTAATGTGTGGCTTTAAAAGATATTTGATGAAGCTGGGAGGTGGTGGCTCATGCCTATAATCCTAGGTGCTTGGGAGATTGAGAGCTGAAGGATTTTAGTATAAAACTGGTCCTAGCTGAGCTAGGCGCTGGTGGCTCATGCCTGTAATCCTAGTTACTCAGGAGGCTGAGATCTGAGGATCTTGGTTCAAAGCCAGCCTGGGCAGGAAAGTCCATGAGACTCTTATCTCCAATTAACCACCAGAAAACTGGAAGTGGTGCTGTGGTTCAAGTGGTAGAGTGTTAGCCTTGAGCTGAAGAGCTGGCCCCTAGGCCCAGAGTTTAAAACCCACAACCAACCAAAAAAAAAAAAAAAGAAAAAAAAAAGAAAAAGAAAAAAAAGATAAAAACATAAAACAAGTCCCAGCAAAATCAGTTGATCCTCATTTCAACAGAAAAAAGTTGGGTATGGTTGTGCATATCTATCATTACAGCTAAAGTAGGAAATATAAAGAGAAAGATCACAGTCCTGGTTGGCCTGAGGAAAAGGTTAGACTTTATTTCAGACTTAAAAGGGCTAGAGATATAGCTCAAGAAGTAGAATGTCTGCCTAGCAACTAGGAAGCCCCGAGTTTAAACACTAGTGGCTCTTTCTTTCTCTCTCACACACATACACACACATGATATATGATCGAAATTAGATTGAAAAACAGCTGGGTGTTGGTGGCTCATGACTGTAATCCCAGCTATTCAGAAGGCTGAGATCTGAGGATCGAGGTTCAGAGCCAGCCCAGACAGGAAAGTCCATGAGATGCTTATCTCCAATTAACTACCAGAAAACCAGAAGAGGTGCTGTGGCTCAAATGGTAGAGTGCTAGCCTTGAGCAAAAGAGCTCAGAGATAGTGCCAAGGCCCCGAGTTCAAGCCCCATGCCCAACACAAAAAAAGAAAAAAGTGCAAAATGCTTTCTGCTTTTTAACATGTTTCTAGAAAGCACTAGAAGTGCTCTGGAGCTCTTGATGATCTCAGCTGATACCAACTAAATACAAACTAACAGGACAGCCTTACCAATGAGGAGAGAACTGAAGTTGAGGTGTGACTTGTCCAGAGAGATGAGAGGATCAGTAGTTTTGCCCACTAACAGGAAGGGTACTGAGATGTTGTGTTCAGGAATCAAGAAAGTCCACAGAGCTTCCGTGATGTCCAGGTGAGAAGGCGTGAACTGGAACACAATCTAAGAAAACAATTTGGTAAAGGATGATGAGAAGCACTTTTGTTTTCTTACTGGAGTCATGAGAATTGGCCTTCCCAGGTTATTGCTACCTTTCTACAGTCTCTGTAAGAACATGTAGGCATGTCTATAGCAGCAGCCTTGCCATGCTTTTTCTGCTCACATGTCCTTCAAGAGCCTAGCCCATCCTTAGCCTCGGATCTAAGCTGTCATACTTTCTCATGTCTTTGGTTAGAACTGGTTGTATCTTAGCAAGGAGTTGGAATTAATCACCAAATAACAATCTACATATTCGTTAACAGCCTGGCACACAGCCCAACTCAACCTGATTAACAGGGGAACCAAATAATCCTCTCAGAAGTGGCTGACTGAATGGAGAATGGGATGAAAGATGCCAGGAGGGAGAGCTTGGCCATGGAATGCTATAATCCATTTGCTAAGTGAAGTTACAAAATCATTGAAACAGAAATGAACAAGTGGGAAAGAAACTGCTTGATAGAGAGTAGAGTAGATAGCTAAAGAGAAATAGAAAGACTTGGAAGGAAAGTTAAATCTCTACAGCTGCCCCAGGTCCTTTTTTCTTCTGAATTAACTTGAGTGAGTGTCTGAGTTGATCAGTCTAGACTCAATGGAGGGCCAGAGGAATGTGGTCAGCAAGCAATAATGCAGGTGAACATACTCTGTCCATGCCAATACCAGTATGATGCATGGGATGTGGTCTAAGGATGTGTCACATCAGTAACACTACTGCCACCCAAAGACCAGCATGATCTCAGATGATTCTATAACTTATCTCTTCAGGAATTTGGTGGCATCTTTGGTACATTTCTGAGATGTAGTGGGACAGGGGGTCATATCTAGGCAGGACCATGCTTCTGGTGGTCCCAGCTCCTGGATCCTGCCATGCTTAACTAGATTGGCTGCATAGAGACAATATGCAGAGGTCAAAAGCAAGTGGAAAGTATATATAAATGTTTCGTTTGGTTTGGGAAGGGTTAAAAAACATGGATCTCACCACCAGCACATAGCAGGAAGATTAGCATAGAAATGTGGACTTTAGGTTTCTCCAGAAAAGTTTGGGAGAATAGCATCTGCCAGAGAAAAGCTGGATCATCTGGACCTGATGCCTGACATTCCCTATTGTCCTAATTCATTCATTTGGGTGACTTTTCTGAAGGCCTCCGAGTGCACAATTTTTGTTTCACGGATATGTTTCTATCTCTAAGAGTTTCTGCAAAACTTCTCGGGTATAGAACCCACAGACTTGTTTTAGTGAGCGGGTTCATAGGTAAAGCTGACTCCCTCCCTGGTGTCACTGTGGAAACATTAAGGACTAAGTCACAGGACTTGATTCTACTTTCATGTTTTACTCTTTGACCTAAGGAAAAAAAAATTAGTGTCCTCTCACTGTTATCCACCCCTTGAACAAATACAACTCTTAGTTTCTTGAGTTCCCAGATATCTGTGCCTAGTTCCCCTATGCTGCTTGAATATTAACTTTAAAATAGACATAATGGATTTTGATATTATTCACACTCAGCATTTTCTTTCCTTCTCAATGGTGTGTGTGTGTGTGTGTGTGTGTGTGCACGTGTGCGTGCACAAGTGCTCTGGTAACACGCGCGCGCTGGTACTGGGTTTGAACTCAGGATCTGATATTCTTACTCTGCTTTCTTGCTCATGACTGGCATTCTATTACTTGAGCTACAACTCTAGTTTAACTCTAGTACAACTCTACAACTCTGGTTAATTTTTTTTGTCTTTTCTTTTTTGGTACTGGGGATCGAACCCAGGACGTTGCACTTGCTAGGCAAGTGCTTTGCCACTGATCTACATTCCAGCCCTACTCTGGTTCATTGTAGATAGAGTTTCATGGACTTTGCTGCCTGGCTTGACTTTGAACCATAATCCTCAGATCTCGGTCTCTTGAGTAGCTAGGATTATAGGCATGAGCCACTAGAACTGGATCCTTCTCTTACTTAGTTTAGAAGTGCAAATACTAGAGCTCTTGCTTTCTCAATGGCTGGTCAAAGGAGTTCAGGTCTGTCTTGTTCATCAGGATTGTCCAAAGTGCAGGGGGCCCTCAATTGATTGATGTGCCTTTAGGCAGTTCTCAGCAACCCCCCACTCCTTACACTTGTTATGCAAAGATGGTTAGAGTGGTCTGAGGCTGGGTTGAAAGATCCTGATTTATACACACCTCAGCTTTCTTTTCAGGGTGGATGAAGCCCTTTTCTGTCAAGCATGTGAAGGCCGGAATGTTCTGGAAACTTTCAGGTTCTTCAGAGACCCAGGAGAAGGAGTAGGTGCTACTGGTTGGATTCAGGATTGTAAAGGTCCTGGGCAAAGGGAAAAATGATAGTAGAAAGTAAATAGAGAAGAGTGAAAATTAACAAACTTTCCTAGAACTTGTCTATAGTCTAACCTTCCAAGGGAAACCAGAATTGTTCCAAGCTCTTTGTGACTCCAGAAATGAAAATGCCATCTGAGGTGGGATTCAAAGTACAGCTAATGTTCTGGACTCTAGAGTAACAGATGAGGTCAAGGCCTCATCTGTTCCAGTGATGCTCTGTGGTCAAGATGGCAGTCAGGGAATTATACCCTTAGCTATACTCAGCTTTTTCCATTGTCAAACTATGGAGACAGAATTCAGATGCTTTCAAGTAAACTTCAGTCAAACCCCAAGATATCAAGCCTGCTTCTAGAAATCATTCTACCTTGTTTCACTGAATTTTCCCCCTGGACTTTCTAGAAGTATTGTCTGATAGGAATTCAGCCAATTCTGAGAGAGGCAACTCACCGGAGATTCTTTCCTCCTATGCCCACACTGGTGAACTCAATCACCTTGGTGCTTGGATCCAGAGGCCCCACACCAGACCCTCGGAGCTCTGGGTTGCGCCGATGCCCGGTGATATAGTCTGAGTCTTTCAGGTCAAAATGGCATACGGGTAAGGCACTTCGCCCTTTTGCTACTATGGTTGGACCCTGCTGTCCAGGTGGCAGGTTCGGAATCCTGAGAGAATAAAGTTATTTTTATTGATGTTTTATTTTGTAATCTGTCATTGCTACCTTGGTTGGAAATGATTATTTCTATTGGGATGATCTCTGTGGGAGTAGAAAATGAGTTTGTCTCACTTTCTAATATTGCCACCTCAGATGCTTTTGATTCGTCTACCTCACTTGGTAGGTATTTATTAAGTAACTGTTAAATGAGTAAATAGACAGAGTATCAGGATTCCTATGGAAGTAAGAAAGCAAATTACTTCTGCCATCAGTGGTAAAATCTTCCTGCTATACACTTGGCAAATTAAAAAACAAAAACAGAAACAAAATAAGCAGTCTTATGTCTGGGTCCTCTCACAGATAATTATTTAGTGAACTATAAAAAAGAGCCTGGAGGTTGGGTGCCTGAAATCCTAGCTACTCAGGAGGCTGAGATCTGAAGATCTCAGTCTGAAGCCAGACTACACAGGAAAAATCTGTGAGACTCTTATCTCCACTAACCTACAAAAGAAGCTGGAAGTAAAGCTATGGCTCAAGTGGTAGAGTGCTAGTCTTAAACATAAAAGCTCAGGGACAGCACACAGGCCCAGGTCCAGGGCTCGAGTCCCAGGACTGGTTAAAAAAAAAGAGCCTGGAAATCTTAAAAACGTATCCTAAATGCCTTGGAGCAAATGGACATGAGTAGTCTCTCAGTCTTAGGACTAAATAGAGCAAGCCCTAGGCTTAGAGGAATCTCTGTACTGTGACTTCAGGGACTCCAGGAAGCTTTGACAATTCACATGGATCAAAGAATTTCTTAGCAAAATAGGTGTTCTCTTTGGAACTTTCCCCAAAAGTGAGTATCATATCAGGTATGCTCACTGTCAAATGTAGCTATCTTTTATCTTACTTGGCAACTCCTTACTAAGTACCAGCACCACTTCAACCACCTAGCATTTATTGTGATTATTGTGTGTGAGATGTGGGTCTAAGGTTTTTTTTTTTGGGGTCCGGTCGTGGGGCCTGAACTCTGGGCCTGGGTGCTGTTCCTCAGCTCTTCAGCTCAAGGCTAGTGCTCTACCACTTGAGCCACAGCACCACTTCCGGCTTCTTTTTCTGCTTATGTGGTGCTGAGGAATCGAACCAGGGCCTCATGCATGCAAGGCAAGCGCTCTACCACTGAGCCACCTTCCCAGCCTGAGTCTAAGCTCTTAAGGTAAACTCATTCCCAACAATTCTTCAAGGTGGGTATTGTTATTTACATTTTATGTATGAGAAAAATGAGTTTCAGAGATGGCACAAGTTTATCCAAATTCTTACTTGCACAACAATTAAAAAACACCTGGCCACCAACCATTCTGCAGCTTAGTAGAATCCTGTATGTGGTCAGGAAACGGGAAGTGGGTAAGGGAAGAGAGGGTGATGAACAGAACAAAGACCAAATTCTTCCTTTTCCTCCTAAGAATGGCCTCTTTCAATCTTCCCAAAAAGAAAAGTGGCAGCCTGGGGGGCTGTGGAGGAGGTCTCAGGTTGGAAATAATAGTGGCAGGAATGGGGTGGAAGAAGGGATAAGAACCACAGAGCTTCACCCCTGCAAAGATGAAGGCTCTGGAGAATGTGTTTCCTTACTGGCAGAAAAGGTTGCTCTCAAATTCTCCAATGTCCAGTGGGGAGAATTTCACTTTGAGCTTCTGAGTCTTCCCCACAGGCACACTGCCTGAGGAGGGCTCCACAGAGAAAGGAGAAGGAGAACTTTCACTCCAGTGGTCCACACTGTCCAGGGTGCTGCCTGTGCCTTGGCTAAGCTGATCTTTTGGAGTATTACCTAGGATCAGACCAAGAGTGAGTGATATTCTGCAGTCATAATGAGAGGGAAGGTGAGAAGCAGCTAACTCACAAGTTACGTGGTCTTTTCTTTTCTTTTTCTTTTTTAAAAATTTTTATTATGAGAATACCGTACAATTACATGGGCAAGATAATGAGTACATTTCTTATCAAGCATTGTTGCTTCCTCCTTTGTTTCCCCTTCCTATCCCTTCCCATATCCTGCCCCCCCCCAATATCCCCTGCCCACCAAAGTTGTAAGTTTTTTGACATAACCACTTGTACATCTCATTGTTGCAATGGATCCACCTGTATCCCTATTTAAACGATTTGTTTTTTCCCTTCCCCTCCACAAATTAATTACACCAACATCAAATATAGTGAAAGCATCTTTTCTTCTCCTTCCTTCCTTCCTTCCTTCCTTCCTTCCCTCCTTCCTTCCTTCCTTCCTTCCTTCCTTTTTTTTTTTTTGTCGGTCATGGGGCTTGAACTCTGGGCTTGGGCGCTATCCCTGTGCTCTTCAGCTCAAGGTGAGTGCTCTACCGCTTGAGCCACAACACCACTTCCTGTTTTCTGGTGGTTAATTGGAGATAAGAGTCTCACAGATTTTTCTGCCCGGGCTGGCTTTGAACCATGATCCTCAGATCTCAGCCTCCTGAGTAGCTAGGATTACAGGCATGAGCCACCATTGCCCGGCCTTTCTTTCTTTCCTTCCTTCTTTCCTTCCTTCCTTCCGTCCATCCGTCTTGGAGCTTGAACTCAGGGCCTGAATGCTGTCTCTGAGCTTTTTTGCTCAAGGCTAGCCCTCTACCACTTTGAGCCATAGTGCTACTTAACTCACAAGCAGTTGAGGGTCTGGAAACCAGGAGGGAAGAGGCTAACTCAGGTCCATGTAGTTTGATAAACACCACAAATCTCTTTTTCTACTTTTCCTTAGCTACTTTAGGAAATTGTTCTCTAGTTTCTCTATAAGAACAAGACTTTTCTACTAACAAGTCAGAACTTAGATTTTATCTTTCATTGAGTTTACCTTGGTTTTCTGGCATGGCAAAGCTGACCGACTTTGAGGTGTCTTCTGAGGCCCAGTTGAATTCTAACTGTACTTGTCCTAAATTAACCAGATCCAGCCTGTGAATCAATCAGAAATAGATTTCAGAAATGTATTGCAGGCAATTTTTTCCTGCTGCATTTCTTAAAGGTGAGTCACTTTATATCTTTATATTATTATAATATTCCATATTATTATAATAGAATTATATTTAATTCCATATATTTCATTTGAGCCATACCCACTAATCCTCTTTTGAGACAAGGTCTCGTGTTTTGTCTGGGCTGTCACGTAGCCTGGACTATGATCCCCCTACTTATGCCTCCCATATAGCTGAGATGATATAGTTGTGTGCTGCCATGCCCAGTTTATTAATTGAAATGGGTCTTGCTAACTTTTTGGGTAGGTTGGCCTTGAATCATTGTCTTCCTGATCTCTCCCTGTGAGTAGCTAAGCTAGATTATATATTTGCGCCACCATACTTAACTCCAAAAACATTCTTTTGTGTGCTGTTGCTGGAGCTTGACCTCAGGGCCTCACACTCTTGCCTGGCTTTTTTGCTCAAGACTGGCACTCTACTGCTGAGCCATATCTCCACTTCTTGGTGGTTAACTGGAGATAATAATCACATGGACTTTTTTTTTTTGCTGATGTTGGCTTCAGATCAATACCCTCAGATCTCAGCCTCCTAAGTAGTTAGGATTACAGATGTGAGTTTCCAGTTCCTGGCTCTGTCCCACATCTTGATCATTTAGTCTTTAGGTGCTCTTTGCTTCATGCCCGTGGCACTATGTCCCAACTGACAATTCACCTGTTTATATTCATTCCCTTCACCCCTACCTCCAGACTATGAGCTCTCTAAACCATCCTTGAACTCAGCATCTAAGTGTCATTGAGGGTTAAGGTAATATTTTCTCCTTCTCAGCATTGTCTCTGAATTAACTTTCTAGCTTTGGTCCTATGGAAATGTGATAAAGGAGAAAGGTCAGCCATGTTAATAGACAATATTGTTTATAGTAAAAAATGATCTTGAATTCTTGAGTCCCAAGTGGACTTGGAGGAGCCATGATCACCTGGGAAGGAAGTCATAACTCTGGTGCTCTCTGAGTGTGGTGACTCTTGGAACTGAACCTGTTCCCTGCAGGGATCCTGGAAGCTACTTCTATGGTTATAAGAAATAGTGGCTTCTGTTGAGAATATGATTTCTATGCTAGAAAGGATCCTATATCTATGTCCACTAGAGAGGATACCTGAGGGTGTTTCTGGCCAGCTATATAGACTATGGTAGGGATTATTCCCACTGAAGTGGATTGCCTAATACCACCCTCCTGGCAGACTATTTCCTGGTCAATATCTTAATTTCAAGTGTGAACTTCGTGGGTTTGAATGTTTTATTGGACCTCAGATGGCACTCTAGTACATAGTACACAGATGTATTACCTGGACTGCTGTTGTGCACACTGAATAAATGTTCTGACAAATGAATGAGTGAATGATGGGATCAAAGAATTTGATGACTCACTCAAACACTCGGGTCTGATAAACCAGCGTTTCCTTAAAGCATATGTCATTTGTTTGGCAGTGGTATGCGGCGTAATCCACAATGGCACTGACTTGAATCCGAAGTTCTCCGTAGTTTTCTTCTAGTACAGAGTGGGCAGGCTCAGGATCCGTCTCAATTACCTATAACAAAGGAAGTGCTGTACTCAGCAATGCTTAACCAGTTACCTCCACAGTAATAATAGGAGGATGGTATAGCACTTTATCCTATCTATGAAACAGCCACAAACTCAAATTCCAGAATAAAGGATTAAGGCAAACTTCAAGGACTCATAGAATGAAAAAGGGGTAAGTTGAACAACAAAACGTTTCAGAGAACATTAGGATCCCACGGCTATGAAGTCAGATGTATTCCAAAAGAAAAGAGAGAATCCTAAAGGACAGACGTGAAGGAAGTAGAAAACAAATGGAAGGATCAACAAAATTGTTTGAGATCTGAGTGAGACTGAACAAGAACGAGAGAGAAAATGCAAATAAACAGGGTCATAACCAAAAAGGAGGCACTACTATCAACTCTACAGATCTAAACAGCCAGTAAGAAAATATTTAAATGACTTTTTGAAAATACATATGAGAAGTTAGTTGAAAGGAAAATTCCTAGAAACATAATAAAATTTTTGCAAGGACAAATAACTCTGAGGAATCCTATTACTAGTAAATTGAATAGCAGTAAAGCAAAAATAATCTTAAGCTTCATCATTACTAAAGAAACTTGTGTTGTAGCAATAAATAACTAGAGAGGTATGCCTTGTTAGTGGTACAGATAAACTAATAACACAAAATTGTCAATTCTCCCTAAATTGCCTATAGTTGCAATCCAATTCCAATTATGTTTCCATCAGAGTTTTTTTTTTTGTAGGAAATGGGAAATGGATTCCAAAATTATGTATGAATAAGAAAGCAGTAAAAATGACCAAGATATTTTAGAACAAAGGGCATGGAGGAAGGAACTTTCCTCCAGATATCAAGTCTAATTAAGGCAACATAAGGCCAGCTCGGGGGTAGACGAATTGACAGTGGAAGAGAATACCGAGACCTAAATTAACACCTAATGGGAAAAGAAAACCAAAGGACTTGTGATAGTATTTTTTAAGAAAATAAGTGAGAGGACTTGTTTAGCTTATGAAAACTTAAACTAACATTTTTACCAATTAAAATTTTATATATGGTATGTGAAGTAAGGATGGAGGTGGCATATATAGTTGTTGAGAAAAAAGAAAATGAATGAGACACTGAACTTGAGAGCACTAGAAATTCAAGCATGGTAGTCTGAGTCAGATTTGTGCTTGAGGTCTCTACTTACCTTTCGTTTTATAGCCAGAGTCCCAGGTGCAGCTCTGACTGTATCTACCCACTTGACTGTGCGCATGCGGTCATCCCAGTCGGAGACCTGCTCTGCAGGTTGCTGAAACATGATCCTGGAGAGCTTGCACTTGACACTCATTTTCTTCAGGCTGATGGGCAAATCTGACTTCAGGGTCACTACTACATCTTTGGCACAGCCAGCGTGGAGGTGGCCTGTCTAGGAAGAGCCTGGTATTAGTACTTTCAGGAATTCAATCTTGAGGACTCCATATCTGAGATGGGGTTGGAGCCACAGTTTTGGCCAAAAAATACATAATTTAAACCTACATAGATAAGACTGACTTAATTATGTACACATGGTTCTTAAAAATGCAATCATAGTAAAAAGAACAACGAGCATTTATTTATCAAGGACGATTTTAAGCTCTTGTGTAATTCCAGCTATAACCCTAAGAGATATATAACCATTTTGTTGATAATGAAGCTTGTACATTGCTAAAGTCACTGGAAGATCTGTGTCCAAATCCAGGTGGTGTGCTTCCAAAGCCACAGGTCACCCTATATAATCAATATGATCTATAAAAAATGAATGGACAAATGCAGTATACTAGCAGTTTCAGAGTGCATTTCCTAATATCCATAGGGTCCACAAGGGCAAAACTATTTAATCATAATACAAACATGCTATTTGACTTTTTCACTCTAATAGTCTCATGAGTGTATAATAGAGCTTTCTAGAGGTTACATATGATAATATGTCAGTTAGAATGCAAAAGAAGATATATGAGAATCCATATGACTTTGTGACTTCTATTAAATCAGATATTATAGATTTATTTCAAAATGTAAAATAGGCATGGTCTCACATATCTGTAATTCTAGACCTTGGGAAGCTGAATTTGAGGCTACCTGGGCTACATAGGATTTCCAACATTATCATTCAATTAAAAATAGAGCCATTTATATTAGTATGTAATGGGGTCACTATAATGTTTTATTTTAAAACCAATAAAATACATGTTTCAAAAAAATTATTTGAATTTATGATATAGTAAATAGTATCCAAATAAGCAAAAGTTCTTTGTGGGTTCTCAATAATGTTTAAGAGTATGAAGGCCTTCTGAAGCAAAAATGGCTGAGGATTGTTGAAGTATACCAGGCATAAGGGAAATTCAACTTCAGAATGAAATCATTTGTAATTTACCATAAAGACAGGAAGACATACATACACTCACATATATGCCATATACATGACAGTCTCATCATATTTCTGATAGATAAAACACCTCTTCTTCCTCTGGACAGTGAAGGGAAAAGAAAACTTGGTGTTTCCCAAGACATGTGCACATATGTATGTATAGGTGTGCATGTATGTAAATGGATGGTAAGAACCTCATCTTTGTTTTTGTTGAATAACCCTTTGCTAACACAGATGACTATTAGATTATACTATGTCTGAATCATTATAGTTCAAATACAGATAATAGGAGAAATTAACTTCTAAGGTTTTTACAAAGATTAAATGAATTAACTATGGTCTTGGAACTAAGTTTGGCATATAGTATGCCTTCAGTTTATATTAATTATCATTTAGTGTTGCATCTGGACATTCTGGCATTAAAATTTGTCAGGAAGATTAAGATGAACTAAACACTCCTCCAGGAAAAAATAATTATTCCTGACGTCAAAGGTTTAAATGTGACTAAATGGGGTCTCCTGCCCTCCTATTGCCATCCCCTGAGGGTTCTATACTTGGGCAGCATCAGAGGCTGTGTGTGTGTAGTGGAAAAACTGGTATCCCTGCTGCCAGAGGCAAGAATCTTCTATAGCATTGTCCTGACTCTTGTTAAATGTTGAGATTTGCTCGGTAGTTCACAAAATATACATTATAAAATGTTAAAAGAATGGTTGAGAAACTTTTGGCCCAAACAAAGTTAACTAGATTTTAATATTTCAGAAGGTCCTAGGAAAGATGTATCTTGAGACATTTTCTAAATCTCACAGTTGTCCTTGGACCCACCACTCTTCCTTTAGCTTTGTGAACCATTTCTGAAGGATTAATGATCAAAAAGAACACATGTGTGGAGGGTCATGTCTATATTCTGGGAGGAAAAAAGGCTGGGGCCTGTATCATCCATTCAGGCCTCTGCTGAATTCCTCAATCTTGGTCTAGCAACAGTTCTAGCTGGCTACATTCTCTGTTCTTGTCCTCTTAGATCGAAGAGACACGGAGAGTGGTCTGGCACTAGAAATGGTTACTGCTTTCCAGTTTGAGAGACATCCATCCCCTTCCATGTATCCACGGAAACATACTATCAAACTGGGGTTGCCTTAGGCCAAAGGGATTTCAGAATATAGTAAATAGTTTTTACCTACCTGTGGTGAGAAAGTCAGTGTAGCTAAAACAGGCCATTCAAACCGTATCACATTTGCTTTGCTGTGATTAGTGATGGTGAAGCTCACATTATATCCAGTTCCAATATGGCAATACCCAAACTGGATGTGGTCTATCAGAGCAGCTAGGGGTTACAAGTAGAGGGCTGGTAAGTCCTCCCTGGCCTTCTTAAAGGGCCTGCTTCCTTGAGAAGACAGAACTTGATAGACATTGTATCTCATCCCGTGCAACCCTCCCAACTTCAACAATTATATTTTAATTACTGAGTAGAAAGATGCAAATTTATCCAGCTATCCGTTCATCCACCTCCCATCCATCTATCATCCACTCTGGCCCTCATTTCTCTTTATACAAGAGAAAATGTAGATCCAAACAAGCTTTATTTATTTGATAAAACAATTAAAGTTTACGTTGCCAGATAAAGGAGTCCTAGTTAAATCTGAGTCACAGATGAAGAATGAGTAGTTGTTAGGATCAGCATGTCCAATACTTAGTACTACAAATTATTCATAGTGTATCTGAAATTTAAATTTATGGAAAATTCTTGTATACATTTTCTTTTTTTTTCAGTTTTTTTTGGGGGGTCTGGTTGTGGGGCCTGAACTCTGGGTCTAGACACTGTCCCTCAGCTCTTCAGCTCAAGGCTAGTGCTCTACCACTTGAGCCACAGCGCCACTTCCAGCTTTTTTCTTTTTGCTTATGTGGTGCTGAGGAATCGAACCCAGGGCCTTATGCATGCAAGGCAAGCGCATGTATTCTGATTTTCTAAGTCTGGTAATCTTATAACTAACAGTTATAAAATCAGATTTTTTGAACTTGTGTTACTGATAGCTCTTGCTTGATCCTTAAACAAGAGATAGATGATGTCAATATGTAGCTTCAACAGGGCCAAAGCATCAATTATATAAGGAGTGTTGATTTCAACTCATGTTCTACAGACTAGTCTTATAATCCAGGACTATAATTAGGCTCCTGAGAAAACTTTGTGGCTGTGCTTACAATTCATTTTATAGTGATCAACCACATGAGGGTGCTTAGCAGATGCTTTTTGGAATTAACAATGAAATAAATTTATCCTACTCCAAAGAAAATGGAGTAAATGGTCACTAAATGAAAGCCTCCTCATGGCTTGAGACTGAAGAGCAGCATGTCCTAAGCTTTAATATATACACAGATCACTTGGGGATGGAATTAAATGCAGATTTTGATTCAGTAGGTCAGTGTGGATCTGAAATTCACACTTCTATCAAACTCCAGGAGATGCTGATGGTGTATAGTCCTAGGCTGCTCATTGGGTAGCAAGATTGTGCAGAATGACGATACAAACCTAGGCCTTTTCTAACAAGGCCAGCCCACCATTTCTCCTAGATTGTTTCAGATGAAGTAGACAATGCCAATACAAGCCAGTGAAAAGATAGAACAGCTACAAAGAAGCATTCATAGGTTAGGTGCTTATTGCTCACACCTGTAACCCTAGCTATCCAGGAGGCTAAGATCTAAGGATCACATTTTAAAGCCAGCCCAGGCAACAAAGTACACAGGATACTAATCTCTAACCACCCAAAAGCTGAAAGTGGAGTTGTTGCTCAGGTAGTAGAATGCCAGCTTTGGGCAAAAAAGCTAAGGGACAGCACTCAAGCCCTGAGTTCAAATCCAGTTCTGGCATGCACACAGCATTTACTCACAATCTGAACTGGAATTTTAATGTAGAAGCTCCCTAAAGGCAGAGGCTCATTAAGCTTTGAAAATCTAGGGCTCAGGGTAGTGGCTGACATATACACACTGAAGCTCAGTAAGTGCTTACTGAGTGAAAACACATATAAATGGGAGGACTGAGGTGTGACTAAGCCATATTGACAGATTACCTAGTAATGAAGTGGAATTTTCTTCCTAAATTCTCGGGAAGCTACATCCATTACTTACATTTCATTCTTATTTAAAATGATCTGAGCACCAATACTTGCCTCCCTGCTGCATGTCCTACCTGCTATCAAGTCTTCCATGGCACTTTCCTCAGCGATCTCTAGGACCTCAGACACATCTGAGGCCTCTTGGCTGGTGGAAGTCATTAGCCCATGGATGTTGTCCAAGGTGATGTCATCTTCATAGCTCTCACCTATTAGGTGGATAATGGTCTCCTCATACTGGTTGTTGATCACTGACAAATGGATGATACCTGTCATCCTCCCAATCTTCTGGGAGTGAAAAAAGACCTCAAATTCAGCTGTGTCTCCAGGAGCAACAATCAAGGATGCTGTGTGGGCTTTTTTTGCTACAAAGAGAAAGAGAAAAAAGTGATTTAGAAGCTGGGCACTGGAAGATCACACTTGTAATCTTAGCTATTCAGGAGGCTGACATCTGAGGATTGCAGTTTGAAGCCAGTCCAGGGAGGAAGGTCCATGAGACTCTAATCTCCAATGAAAAACCAAAAAGCTGAAAGTTGAGGTATAGCTCAACTGGTAGAGCACCATTCTTGAGCAAAAAGCTAAGGGACAATGCCCATACCCTGAGTTCAAGTCCCAGTATCAGTGCATGCACATGTGCATATACACACTGACTCAGTTTAAAGAAATATGTCTTCGTAAAGACCCTGGCTGAAGAAAAAGTAGTCCCACTATGAGAATGAGCTTTGGCTAGAAACTGGGTACCCAATTCCACCTGTACCCTGAAAAAAACCAGCTACGGAGATCCATTGCTCTGGAGAGGCACCTTCCCTACTTACCTTTCTCACTGGGTTTGTTTTCTTCTGTGATGTAGATATAGGAAGTGGTGGGCCTCCCTTTCAGGGAGAAGACTCCCAGTTGGTCCCGAAGGTCCACATGCAACTAGCAAAAGGAAAAGAGAGTTGAGTGTTGCAGTTACAAAGTACTCATGAATTTTAAGTGTGGGGTGTGATACAATGCTGTGTTTGGGGGCAGGACCTCCCTCCTCCAAGTTATTGTGCCTAGAACTCACTTTTTTAAAATAAGCTTTTTTATTGTGAAAATACTGTACAGAGGGGTTATAATCACATGAGCAAGGTAATGAGTACATTTCTTATCAAGCCTAGCACTCACTTTTTAAAGTTTTGTTTTATAATTATGAGAGAGATATGCTAAATATTAACTTGGAGAGTATAAAAGAAAATTCAGTCAAGTTAGCTCTACCTTATTATTTGAGTTAGGAAATTGAAGGTCCAAAAAATATAGGTGACATTCCAGATCACACAGCTAGCTAGTGTCAAAACTTGGAGAATTCAAGCCCCACTACTAGTAGCAGGGGAAACATTTTACGAAGAAATAAATATTTCCAAACAAAACCAGAGAGAATTAACCACGAGCAAATCTACATTAAAGAAACACATAAGAGTAGTCTCCAATCATGTATTTGCCACAGCAACACAAAATTGGTTGATGATTCACCAGCCTAACACCTTCAAGAATTACCTGGGCAGCAATGGTACCGTTGTTTTTGAGAATGAGAGGTAGTTTCTCTGATTGACCAAGCCGAAGCCTCTTGAAGAGGAGCAAGGGGTTTCCTAATTGGTTATAGAGAATTGGCCGGACCACAGTCACTCGAGGCAGAGTCCCTTCACCAACAATATCAAACACAAGACCTCGGCTCCTGGCCAGGTTGCTGCAGGGAATGGCAAGATGAAGGCTTGTGAGCCTGGTCTGTCAGGAATGACTCCCATATGGAGTATGGGTTACAATCCTGATGTAGGAGTAGGAGCAGAGTGTTACCTGGGCAAGCCTTCCAGTGTGGCCTCAAAGACACACTGGTAGGTCTGCATGGCCTGTGGGGTGAAGAGTACTGTTGCAAAGGCATGTGAGCGACTGCCAACACACATCTTGTTGGGTTCCACATCAAAGATTTCGGTGATGCGGGCAGTAGCCTGGTGAGAGAGCAATACCAGAGATTGTTAGCTGCTTTGTATTTCCATTTCTGCTCATCTTCCCTGCTCTGTTGGAACTCTCCTCCTACCAAGATTGTGGTGGACAAGGACAAACTCAAGGGCCTTCAGAGTCATGGGTCTTGGAAAGAGCAGTCTGGCCAAACCATGAACTTTGACAAAGTTATTCAGCCAGGTATTTTTCCTGCCACTCTACCTCCCCTTCTGTCAAAGAACTTCCAGAAGGCTTTGGCAGCCTGTAATTCCCACTCAGGCACAGTGCAGGGGCTTCCCAGAGCTCTTTCCTTGGCTTTTTGCCTACACTGGAGCCAGCTGGAGCCTCTTTACCTTACTGGAGATGGGCTTAACTACAAGGTTGACATCACAGGAAATCTTGCCCACATTGCTGATCTTGATCCGAGCCTTGGCCTGATGGCCCACCAGGACATTACAGAAGATGAACTTGTTCTCATCCTCCACGTAGAGTCCCCCACTCTGTATGGTCTGCAGGATGTGGTACAGATTGGAGCTGGTACAGATTTGGTGCTCCTCAAAGATCAAGACATTGTTGTCGGTCACAAAGGCTGGGGAATGGGGGGAAGGAAGACCATGAGAAAATGCTAGGTTGCTAGATTCCTGGCAACTGCCCTGGCAAGTTACCACATCTTAGTCAATTGTTTTTTGCCAATAATCAAGGAGGGATGGGATCTGAGGCCTGAGATGAGCCATGGAGAAGGAAGATAGTTGATTTGAGTCTCTAAGGAGCTTATAGCCAATCTCTCTGTGCTTTGTTCAGCTTTTTTTTTAACATTCTGTCTAATGAGCTATCTTCAGTTTAGTCTGGAATCTGGGTCCTCTAGTCTCAGCCTCCTAAGTTGTTGGGATTATAGTCATAAGCTATCCTTTTTCTTGATTTTTTTCTTTCCCTTCCCTTCTTTTCCCTTCCCTTCCCTTCCCCTCTCCTTTCCTCCCCCCCCCCCCCCAATTCTCACTTTTTGGTGTCAGTACTAGGGCTTAAACTCAGGGTCAGAGCACTCTTCCTTAGATTTTTCACTTAAGGCTGGAACTCAACCACTTGAGCCACATTTCCACTTTCATCTTTTTCCTAGTTAATTGGAGATAAGAGTTTCACAGACTTTTCTTCCCAGGTTGGCTTTGAATCATAATTCTCAGATTTCAGCCTCCTGAGTAGCTAGGATTACAAGTGTGAGCCGTGGGCCCTTCATGACTTTTTGATAATAAAAATAACTTGTCTTCTAAAATAAAATGGTGATGGTAGAATATAGATAATACATTTTAGTTTTTTAAAAAATATTTCTATTTGGAAAATCAATAACTGACCAACTGTACTGTTCCTTGACTTCTTGTTTATCTTAAACCAGCACCGAATCTGAGGACATCAGGACTGGGGTGTCATGCAGGGCTCTTTCTGGGTAATATCTTCAACATATTTGTTTACTGTATATACTTTTGTCACAGGAGAGGCATGTACATGAGAAGACTGGGTGTTTCTGGCTCCTGAGCCACATCCCATGTCACCATGATGCTTAGAAAACACCACTCATCTGAGAATTCAGAATCACACTCAGTAAGACTAGAAGTCTGAAGTGGTGAGTCCTCTCCTACTTATGTATATTTGTAAGGCCTTAAGAAGAAATGTGGCTGAAGACACCAGAGGAAATTCTAAGGTCCCAAAGGAAGCAGTCTGGCCTTGTCCTCTGGATATCTTTAGAAGAATTTGTCTGGAGAGGAAGGAGTGTTATAGACCCAGGTCCTAGGGGGCTGTTGACTAATTTTAATGGCAGTACCTGGTAGGCATGCTTCGGCAAGCAGAGTGTAAGGAATACCAGCAGGATATTCTTTAGGTTCTCTGTCAGAGATATCGATGGCTAAATACTCCTCACATTTTCCCACAGGGTCAGCCACACAGTCAACAGTAATGATCTGTTGTCCTCCAGAAGAGACGGTGCCAAACCCAGGGTACACAGTGAACATGCCATGCGTGAACCGCGACTATAGGACAAAGGTGGGAAGGATGGGACAGAGGGAGGCAAAGTGGGTGACAAGAGTCTAAGACTTTCCATGAGAACTGTGAGGTAGGGAGAAAGGGAGATAAATGGGACCTCTCCCCAGAGGCACTCTCTGGGTTCCCAGCCTTCTCCTCCTACAAGGAAAGTGGGTCCAGAGATTCATGGATGAACTCTTAGAACTTCCTTCTCTGAACCTTCCTTCTGACCAGTCATGACTGGACTGAGAGATTAAGGAACCAGATGAACATCTAACCAGCTGATCAAATAACACATGCTCAGGTGGGGATCTTAAAGCAGAGTGCAGGATGGAGTGGTGATTGAGATGATGGGTTTGAATCAGATACTCCTGGCTTAGAATCCAGTTTATTTCTCTATAAAATGAGACAAGGAACCCTAACCCTAGAGAGTTCTGGAGGCTTAAATGAAAGAACATGTGTGACACATCTAGTATAGATTTCATGTGAAAAAACAAGTGATATTCAGATGTCTCTGGAGGATAACTGTAGTATGTATGGAGATCGCAGTGCTCCAAGGTAAGGAAGATTGCCATGGATAGCCCAGTGAAGATCTTCCCTCTTCTTACTCGGTGTCAGGAAGCGGACATGAGGCAAGCTGACATGTGAAGATATCCTTCTTCATGGCATCTCTTGTACTATCCTTGGAAACTAGCATACTGGCCATCTTCCCAAATCCTTAGATGTATTCTGTAGTAATATTGATTTATAAAGTGCTTTATTCTGATAAAGTTCAGCACTAATTCTGGATTTGTTAGAATATCATGAACTTTCCTAAATTCTTATCATGGCTGTTGCAGACATACTGCAGTTGCCTGTAAGATAAGCCCTCTAGTGTGGAGAAGTATGATTGCTAGTCATCTAACAATTCTAATGATGTAGCTTGGTCCTTATCCAGTGAACCTCTACTATAGGCCAGGGGCTGTGCCAAGCATTGAGATTCCCACATAAGCCATCCAGACAGAGATGGACTTATCTCCAGTTTCTTTCTTTCTTTCTTTCTTTCTTTCTTTCCTTCCTTCCTTCTTTCCCTCTTTTCCTTCCTTCTCTTTCTTCTCCTTCCTTCCTTCCCTCCTTCCTTCCTCTCCTCCCTCCTTCCTTCCCTCCTTCCTTTCTCTCTCTTTCTCTCCTTTCTTTCCTTCTCTCTTTCTTTCCTTCTCTCTTTCTCTCTCTCTTTCTTTCCTTCCTTTCTTCCTTCCTTCCTTTCTTTCTTCCTTCCTTCCTTCCTTCCTTCCTTTCTTTCTTTCCTTCTTTCTTTCTTTCTTGTTTGTCCTGGAGCTTAAAGCCAGGGCCTGGCACTATCCCTGAGGTTCTTTCACTTAGGGCTACCAGGACTCTACCACTTGATACTTCTAGACTTTTCTGAGTAGTTTATTGGAAATGAGTCTCATGGGCTTTCCTGCCTGGCTGGCTTTGGATGACAATCCTCAGATCTCAGCCTCTTGTGTAGCTAGGATTATAGGCATGAGCCACCATCACCCAGCTCTTTTTTTTAAATGACTTTGAGACATGATTTGGCTGTATAGTCCAGGCTGGCCTCTAATTTGAGATTATCTCAAATATTGGAGCCTGTAGGCATGAACTGCCATACTTGGTTAAATCATTCTTGATTAAAAATTTTAAAGCATTTTAGGGAGCCCACAGAGGCTTTAAAGCAAAAGAGAGTTTCTGAATTTAAGTTTGTAAAACACTTTAGCTTATAATGAAAGCAAGATTTCAATAATTTAATATTTTTGGCACAGTAGATTTAAATCCTATCATCTTAGGCAGATATTTAGTGGTAAGAGCTAGCTGGCTTTGTTGGGTTTCTATGAATAAGGAAGGCACTCACCTGATTTGAGGTATTTACATCTTTCTGCATTGCTTCCGAGAACTTGGCTGTTTTAGGACCACTGGGCTTGAAGAAGGTCTCACTTTCCCGCGTTCTCCCATGTTTCATGTGGCCAGTTCTGTTTAAAGAAGCAAGAGTATACCCTTAGGCCTTGGTGGAGACATTAGACACCACCTGTCTGCCTGTAAGCTCCTTTCTCCTAGGCAGTGGAGGAGTGGGCCCTTCTTTGTTCCCTAAGGATTATCAGAGTGGCATAGTTAGGTTGGTACACACCAACCAAGATGATTTAATAATTTAAAGGAAACTAAGCATCAATTATACTTGGGAAAATGATTCACTAGGGTATTTAAAATCACCAAAAATAAGTAAAATGGTTTGGATAAGTGTTCCCCAAGGTCCATATATTAAAGGCTGTTTTTCAAGGTGATGCTATTGGAAGGCCCTTAAGTCACTGGAGGTGTGCCCTCAAAGGGGACCTATAATCCCTTTCCCTGTTTATTTTGCTTCCTGCTTTACTATGTGTACTGACCATAAAGTATTGCCTTGCAACAGGTCCAAAACAACAGAGCAAATTGATCATGGACTGGAACCTCCAAATTTGTGAGCCAAATTAACCCTTTTCTCTTTATAATCTGACTAATATATTTAAAAATACTTATGGAAAGTTGGGAAATGATCAAACCATTGTTAATTCCCCCTCCCCCCAGGAATCTGGCAACACTGTGGAAGTCAAATGCACTTAAAGTAAATTGTTTTTGGTGCATTGATGGGGAGCCACCTTTGGGAGGACACAGTTTTGCTGTTGAAACAAGTATTGACGTAGCTGTTGTGATAAATGTCTTTTGAGGGAAAAGACAACAACAGCCTCTTGCAGACCGAAGGCACTGCCTGCTTTCTCATGTCCACCTTTCCAGGGTACCCTTTGCCACCTCCTATCATGAAACAAAGCTACAATTCCTTTTGATTTTGCTTGTTGATATATTAGTTCTTTTATGACTACAGAATGATAGCACAACGACTCGCTAGCAAGTTTCATCATACCGGAAGCACCAGGACAATAGACAAAAGACTATAGTATTTGCTCACTAAAATTTATCCTATATTGACTGCAGATAAAAAAAATGAATGAAGTCTAGAGTCAGAAGATGTAGGTTCAGAACCAAGATGTACTGATAATTTCCTACATAATTATGGATGATTATTCTAGTCTTTTCTAGATTATTCTAGACATTTCTAGACTTCATTGATTGGGTGAATCACTTTAGGGGACTGGGTGAGTTAAAGTGAACTATGTAAGAGCTTTTTGTAGAATTTAATGCACTGAGTCACACAAACTAAGTGAAAGCCTTTATGAGAGTTAATGCCCTGAGTAACAGTTAAGAGTTAAGCCAACATTCATCTTACCCTCTCTTTTGATGCATGGTGCTTTCCCCTGTCAGCCTGTAGAGGGCAAACTTGAAGTCAGTAATGCCTAGGTTTTCTATGGTGAAGGAGCTGCTCCTGCGAGTGCCACAGATCAACGCCCCAAAGTTGATGATGGAGGAAGGGCTGATGCTGAATTTGGAGTACACTGCGTGCACAGAAAACTTAATTGGGATGCTGGCAATGATCTCACCTCCATCTGAAAGACTGGGCTCAATGATCTAGAAAAGGAAGGATGATTGGGAAGATATTAGCCACGGCACAGCTACAGAATTCCCTTGATTATGTTCTTCCTTCCCCACTTTTACCACTGATATGAACCTGGGCCGTTTACTTCACCCTCTATATTATTACATTAACAATACTTTTAGCATACACTGATGATACGGAGCTTGGTATGTAGTAGCCAAGTCACTTTGTCTCCTCTTTTCCTATTCAGCTTTACACTTAACGGAATGCAGATACCTTGTCTTTGATACTCTCTAAAACTTTTTCTATTGTTCTTGCTATTTCTGACCCATTTGTGTCTGCTAATTGAGACCAAACCATGGTGCTCCCTATATGGTTGTCACCCAGTCCATCATCCCTTTGTCCAGGGACCATGAATTAGACCATGTGTCATTCTTTTCAGCAGATCTACAAACCTGCCTCTAAGTCAAGCACTTTCACCTGAGCTCTCTCACCTGACAACGCAAGATGGGCTGGTGCTCGATCTTCACTTCCTTTCTTGCACGAAAATACACTTGAACATTTGTGGCCTTTTCTGAGAGAGTCAATGATCCCTTTCTGGGCTGAATTGAGATCATAGAGTTTATATTGCCTGGCACTATCCCTAAGGACTCCACCGAAAAGCTGAAAGACCAGAATAAAGGGACTGTTAAAAGTCATTATTGGGAACCCAAGGCACCAGAGAGGACCATCTAGGCAGTTCAGGGCTTGCCATGTCTCTAGCCATGCTCAACTACTATGCTAGAAAGGGTCTACTATGCTTTGTCCAGTGGAATGCAAGGTGGAAGAGAGTGATAAAAAGGGAGACACTAATCAAAATGCACTGTACCATAAAGTGGTATGTAGAATTGAAACCCTTTATACAGCTACTTAAAGATGAATAATAAAACAAATATGAACCAGGCCAGAGATTAATGCTTGAGGCAAAGATAGCTATCCTCTATCCTGTAGAAAGTATCCTTGTTCAACAAGGGCATTTGATACGGGAGGAGAACCAACTAAATGAACTCTCACCTGGTTTTCTCTCTCTGTGTCTCTGTCTCTTTTTCTCTCTCTAAGATTGAGCATAGCACACAAGAGGGAATGTGATACAGAAGCCTGAGGAGCTTCAGGGTCAATGCAGGAATGAGACAAGGCAAAGGAAAGGAAGTGGAGTCTATGGCTCAAGGGGTAAGGTGAGTACCACAGATAGGAATGGACTCAGGGGGCTGGGAAGGTGGCTCAGTGGTAGAGCGCTTGCCTCTCATGCCTGAGGCCCTGGGTTCGCATTCCTCAGTACCACATAAGCAAAAAGAAAAAAGCCGGAAGTGTTGCTATGGCTCAAGTGGTAGAGCGCTAGCCTTGAGCTGAAGAGCTGAGGAACAGTGCCAGGCCCAGAGTTCAGGCCCCATGACCAGATCTCCCCCCCAACCCCCCGCAAAAAAAAAAAAAAAGAAAGAAAAGGAATGGACTCAGGTAAGCAGTGGAAGATCTAGAGTAGGTTCAAGGAGCTTTGGTAGAATCAAGGAGCTTAGGTAGAAGTAGAACCCCTGGGGGTTGCTGTCAGGGTTGGGGGTCCTTCTTATTTGTTTTCCAGGCTCTGGAAGACCAGGTGGCTCAATTGTTACGTGGCTGGTGCCTGTACCCCTTCCTGCACATTCCTCAACAAACCCCTAATTTCCTGCTCTAATCAAAGGGTGACTCTGTTCCTTGTAGTGTGACAAAGCTGAGCTGAAGTCTGTCATGGTTTAACCCAAACACAAAATGGGCAAGATTCCATTCAACACTAATTGCAAACTGACAGCGGCTTTCTTCTAAGTTTCCTTGGCTTTTATTTACATTCACTGAATTCAGTTTACAGTTTCATTGCTTCTAATGAATGGTAGTGTTGAAGTGGGGCCTCTTTCTTTTTTTTTTGTTTATGTGGTGTTGGGGAATCGAATCCAGGGCCTCATGCAAGGCAAGCGCTCTACCACTGAGCCACCTTCCCAGCCCCGAGTGGGGCCTCTTTCAATTCAGTGCTCTTTTAGCTGAAATGAAATAATCGTGAACACACTGAGTTTCTCCCAAGTCTGCAATGGGGGCTCCCTTTGTTAGCTGTAAATTTGTATAAAACTTTTATACAAATCACTTGCCTCTGCCAAGGAAGGTCATGTGACCTTGAGAACCCCCCTCCTTGTTCCTCACCCAAGCCACCTTTTCTATTCTGAGGAAGCTCTATTTAAACTTGGATCTGAGTATGAACTGAGCAAATTCTAGTAAGCCACTATTTGGATTAACAGTGGTTCTTAAAATCTGAAAAAAATTGGACAACTTTTCTTTATAGAAAATCTTAAGTAGAACGCTAACTTGTAAAATAGATCAGAGCTAGAAGTAGGGCAGGGCAGTTTGAAGCCAGACCATCCTGAGTCTGGCTCTTAATCTCCTTCTCCTCCACCTCAGGACTCTTTTTATCCTCAGGACTTACTACAGCTCTGCCTGCCTCTCCATTTACTCCCTCCCCTCATCCCCCACACCACTGTGGCTCCAGACACATTCAGAAGCTCTTCAAGGTCCCTGTTTAGTTGTACAGTCAAGCACAATGTAAATTTCTGTGCTCTTAGTAGTTGGAATTCCATTCAAGGGAGTGAGGGAGACAAAAAACAAAGCAAAACAAAACAAAAAAAAGAGATGTTCTTATGATGTCCCCAGATGACAATCTTTTCACCATGAGTGGTTGTGGACAGCCCCATGCCCAGTCGGATTCAGGCTACCTGAACATGATCTCATATTTCCCACGGTTCTTCAGAGAAAGGGGCTGTTTCGCGTCCTCCATGACCCTCAGCGTCCCGAAGTCAAGGCCTCCTTCAGCTCCTGTGAAGCCAGGGATGGGGTGGGGCTGAGTGGGCTTGGGAGCTAGAGCAGGGGACGTCCCATAGAGGTCTATAGTGGAAAGTCTATAGTGACCATTTTAGACATGTTTTCTGAAAACCATGGAGCTTCAACAAACAATAGGTGCTGCCTTTGGTCTCAGTTCATCCGGATACCTCCCTTGGGACTCTTTCCTGGGGTCACAGTCCTTTCAAACCTACCACCAGCTAGAATTCTGGAACTTTAAAAGTTTTTGAACAGTTTACAGTTGTGATATTACATATACGTTTATGTGGCTTTACTTAGCATTAGATTGTAAGTATGCCTTTAAATTGTTAAAACTCCTAAAAAAATGTGATCTTCCATTGTTGGTAGGTATTTAGGTGTTTTTAAAATGTTCACGATTATAAATAATCCTGCAATAAAGAACTTTATACATAAGCTAATGACCTCTAAGCTAACATGGAGCTCTAGTACTCTATGAACCTTGCAGAGAAAGAGACCTATCAGGGAAAGGAGGAGCAAGGACAACCGCATACTCAAGGGAGACACACAATTTAGGTGTTGGGGCAGCATGGGCGACAGAATAAGTGTCCTCGAAGGTACTCAGCCTAATCCCTGAAGCCTGTGAATAAGATACCTTACATGGGAAAGGAAAAGGAAAGATGCTAACCTGCTGCCCTTACATACAGAGACTGTTATGGCTTATACTGGTGGTTCAAAGTAATCACCAGAGTCCTTAAAAGTAGAACAGCTGAAGTGAGAGAACCAGACAGGGGGCCATGTGAGGGGATTTGACCCAACACTGACGGGATGGAGGATGGAGGTCGGGACAGGAACCAAGGAATACACTGACATCTTGATGTTAGCCTAGCAACTCCTGACCTCAGAACTGTAAGATAATAAATTTGTGGGGCTTTGTTAAAATTTTCTTTTTTTGAGTCAGGTTCTTGCTGCATATCTCAGACTGGACTTGAAGTCATGGTACTTCTCATTCAGCCACCTAAGTACTGGGATTATAGTCATGCACCATCATGTCTTAAACCTTTTTCTGAGAGAGGGTTTACTATGTAATCCAGGCTGGACTTGGACTTGTGATCTTTCTTCCTTGGCCTCCTGAATAACTGGGATTACAGGCAGGTACCATGCCTCATGCAATCTGTGTTGTAACAAGCCAAATAGTTTGTGGCAATCTGTATGATAGTGGTAGAAAACTAATGCAGGCAAGAAGACATGTGTTTATGTTTACTACCAACTGCTCAGAGAAGAGGTCTGCAAATTTTATATTTATCACAACACTTCGTTATTCTCCAGTTGGAAAATGACAATCTGTAGTAATGTCACATTGCTCTGGCCTTACATTGCTATACCTCAAATCACCAAAATTGTCTTCTCTCCTACCAACAACTACCACAATCCTAACAAATTAGTGGCATTCTCTACCCAGAAATATAGTAATTAACTACACTACACAAAAATACACAACTTCAAAACACTCTTTCTTTGAAGGAGTCTACAGACCTTTGGGGAAGGTGATGTCCAGAGCAATATCATATGATTCTGCAAAGATCATGATGTTTTCAATTTGTACAACACCAACAAGATTATCTGCATCCAAAATCTACCAGGGAAAGAGAAATTATTCATAAGAGCAAGAACAATGAGCTGCTTAGAGCCTGCAAGATGTAACTGGAAGAGAAAATCTTTCAGGGGAGATTGAAAGAAATATTTCCAAATGTAGTTAGGTATAGGTCTCTTACCATCATTGTTTTGTGGTTTGGTGCTACTTATCATACTCGCTGGGGGGTGTGGGTGTAGACAACAGAGGAATAGGCAGAAGGAGCTGCATTTTCATCTTTACTTTTTATTAGCTTTGTGTGACTATCACTATATTTCTGAAGTGTAGGCTGAGTTGACACGATTAGAAGGTGTTTGGTTGTGACCTCACATGAGCCCTAAACAAGCTGTGGTTTGGCTGGGAGATGATAACAATAGTCATTGAAACACAGAAGTGTTTCTGTGCCCTTAGGTAAATTGCTTTCATAGTGACCTCTCCAAGGGTTCACTCGTTGCCTGCCTCCTGCAGCCCTCATAACAACCCATGGACTCCTCAGTGATCTCAGAAGTTGGCACTGCCAGAGGACTCTGTTCTCAGTGGCAACACTGCCTTTTGGGCTGAAGATATGAAATAGGGATGAGATGGGAGCATGTAACAGAGAGACATGGCATGTGTGCGTGCACACGTGCTTGTGCATGTGTGCACATGTATATATATACTCATTATACACATATTTTGACAACATCACCTCCAACCGAATAGCCTTCTTGACATTGACGGGCTTGGAGGGCTGGAAATGCACTTGTAGGGTAAATTCTTCCTTGGGTGGTATAGTTCCCTGCATCATGGATGTGGTAAAGTCATCACCCAAGTGTTCCAGGCTGGTGATCCGCCAGGCCACAGGCAGGGGCGTGATATTGTGGAGAAGAACTGCCTTGGAATCTTTTCTGCAGAAATGAAAAGAAATTTCACCAGTTTTAAGTAAAAAATTATACTTTTGTGTATATTTTTTGTATATATTTTTTCTTAGCCCTTCTTTCCTGCTGGTTTTCTTGAAGTCTCTTAGTTTATGAAGCTTGGATAGTTTGGATGACTTTGTATATATACATATGTGTGTGTGTGTGTGTGTGTGTGTGTGTGTGTGTATACAAGTTAGCTCAAATTATCCACAAGTACAACAACACCACTGGAAATGTATGGAAAAGTCATAAAAATTCCTCTGTATTTCTTTATCCAGATTCACCATTTTTTCATTTGGTTCTCTTTGCTTTATATTCTCTTTCATAACCCACATCATTTAAAAAACATTTTAAATTAAATTGGAGATCATTGTGCTTTTGACCTATAAATATTGCAGTGCATACTTCCTAAGACCAAGAGCACTTACTAAAATAAAGGGACTATACATAGATCTTGTTATCATTTCATATTCAGATTTCATCTTGGTTCTAATTATTAATTTTTCCCAGTTAAGGATTCAATCCAGGATCATGTATTACATTGAATTCTCATGTATTTAATTTGGGAAAACAACCTGTGACCTACACAGGGTTATGAACTATTCATGTTTGCATGGGACCAAACTTTTCAGGATGCAGAACTTTTCAGTGTTCAAACTAGGCAATTCCGTAGTAAATCAGGAGGATCTGACAATCTTAGAACTGAATGTTCTTTAAATTCCATTCAAGTGCTTGTACCATCTAGAATTCTTACCTGTGTAGCAAAAGTCGGTCAAAATGTAATTGCTTGGGCTCCAGCTCTAGTTCTGGGCGGATCCCCTGGCATTGTAATTTGAAGATAGCTGGCTCTGGGTTCTCCTTGATGCAGCAGACAATGTTGTCTTCAAAGATACCAACGGCAGTAGGGTAGGCCCATACATTTAGCAGCTGATGGAAGATTCACAAGACAATACATTTATACCAAGGATGCCAAGGTCTTGAATTTCCCAAGAAAACCTTGCCCCAGGTCATTGTACCTGCTTCTCATTGGGTTTCAGAATCATGTTCATGGGCTCCAGAAAGTAGGTAGTTGCTTTGGTATCATTCTGAAAACAGAAAAACACTTCTACCTCCATTGGGGAATTGTTCAGGATTGTCAGTGCCTCCATGTTGCCTGGGAACAAGGATGACTTGTACCTGGAAGTGGACAGGAATGGGGATGTGTGCTTGTGAAAAAGGAGCCTGTGAATTGGTACAAGGCAATTCAACAGGACAATATGGCTATGCTGACACATTGGCATGGTGGTTGAGAATGCAAGATGTGTGGCTGTGAACTTACCGTCCACTTCGACATGACCCCAACCTCCACCTTCTCCCAGACAAGCCTTGGTCTCCTTATCTAAGATTAGGGGGACAATATCCTAAAAGATATCACCTAGCCAAGTGTGCTTGATTTTAAGTGAGATCGTACACCTGAAGCTCTTAGGACAGATGGAGAGATCAAATACTCAATGAATGGTAGTTATATTTATTTAAAAGATTATTGAGAAATATGCAAGTATATCCCCAGGAGAGATTATCTTTTGAGTCATCTGCCATTTCCCATTTGTCTTAGAGATGACCTCATTAGCGCCTTTCATCATACTGTCCCAGAATATTATTGCTCTTACATGGATTCAGCTGGCCTTGCTCACTAGTGCCAGATTATTTCTATTACCCAGTACTTTTAGGGAGAGATCCACAGAGTTGAGTACCAGGGTCACTGGAAGACGTTCACTGAATGTTAATGAACAGAAAAGGAGCCAAGGGAGAAGGCACAAGGAAATGATGTACATCATCAGAGCACAGGTCAGGTAAATAGTCTGAAAGTGTTTGGAGTAGGCTATGGTGGTGGATGAAATGAGAGAGAATATAGAGACTACATCAAAATCAGACAGTCAGAAAACTTTGTATGAATAATGGGTGAACTAATAGATAATTACCATCATCAATCATGGTGCTAAAAGTTCATGCATGTTAGTTCCCTGGTTCATTCTTTACAAATTTTTGAGGTAGGCACTGCTATCTTCCCAGTTTCTGATGAGCTCAACGAAGTTCAAAAGAATAAAAAAATTAATATCCACTTGCACTTGATTTTGATTTGGACCACTGTAACCACTGTTGCCTGGCCTTACATTCTAGTAAATTCTTGTGCTATTCTAAATATATACTGCTGCTGTTGCTTCTGCTTCTTCTTGATGTTGTGCTAAGGACCAAATTCAGGGCCTTGCACTTGCTAGGCAAACATTATTCCACTGAGTGAAATCCCCAACCCCACAATGCTTCTCTGACATGTCATCATTTCCAACTCTTGGGAATCCCTACAAACTCTGCCAATCAACCTGACTTTTATGCCTTCCCTTTTGTTGGGCCTTGAAGATCCATCACCAGAAAACCTTTTCACCTTCACTTCCTAGTCTAGCATTTCAGGAAATGAACTGAAGATGATAAGGGAATGGAGGAAAATGATGTCTGATTAAATTCAATCATGGAAATAGAAAACATTTTCTATTTATTACAGTGAACACATCATTGAATGAACACAGCAGAAATCTTGGTTCTGTCTTCCACCTCATCTTGCTATACACATAAGAAATTTGTGCTCACTGAAAGAAACTAAAAGTTTATGATAAGCCTCCTCACCCAGGCCCCCAATTTTGCCTGACAATCTTTATCTGTTCCTCTAATATGCTTTCTCTTTTACAAAAATGCCTTTTATGTCTCCATTTCTTCAACATTTTAAGCTTCTACCTCCAATTCCTTCTACTCTCTGAAAAATGACCTCATATAATTTTGTCAGGGAGACAATAAAGTTTGTACAAGAACCCTCTTACCATTTCAACCAAATCTGTAATCACACCTTCACTTGAGGCCATCTCATCTTCCTCCCTCCTGGTATGAGACAATGGTACCTCCTCCTGGCAAAGGCCAGCACCCTGCGTTGTCCCATGGAGCTTCACCACTGATGGCCCAACCCATCAACCTATTCCTTCTGCTTTTCCTTGGCATACACATATCATGAGAAAAAACTGAACAAATAGCCTTCTTTGGACTTCCATTTTCCTTCACAGTCAAACTCTTCCAAAGAATGATCTTTATAAGCTGAGTGGCAGTGGCTCATCATGCCTGTAATCCTAGCTCCTCAGGAGGCTGAGATCTGAGGATCATGGTTCAAAAAGCTAGCCTGAGTAAGAAAGTCCATGAAACTCTTACCAGCAAAAAGCTGGGAGTAGAGGTGTGACTCATGTGGTAGAGGACCGGTCTTGAGTGAAAAAGCTAAGGGACAATGCCCAGACCCTAAGTTCAAGCTCCAATACTGTTACACAAACCCCCCAAATTATCCTCATACTTTGTCTTCATTTTTCACTATTGAATCATCTTAGCTTGGGCTTCACTGCAAGATTCTCTACAAAGGACTCTTGATAAGCTCCCTGGTGACAGCCATGGTGTTGACCTCTGTGGATGTCTATACCTTCATCTTTATGCCATTTTTTGGTACTTGAAATAGCTGCTGCCATATTTTTTCATGGATCCATGATGCTGACCTTTTTTGATCTTTTTTACCTCCTTTATGGCTTCTCCCCGTATTCTTTGGGGCTCCATTTTGGAGCCTTCTTTTCTTTACACTGTCTCTTCTTGAGCTACCTCATCTTCACCCATGACTTTTGTTGTCTTGAAGGTTTATCTTCCCTTTGTGAACCAACCAATGGATTCCAATCTCTGCTTTATTTGGCTTCTGGAGATATCATCTTAACATCTCAGGTTGGACAGATGCCATAGTCAACTACTCCCTTTACTTTTAAGAAATCCAGTCATTTCTCAGACTTTCCTCTTAGGGAAAGTGGTACTTCATTCATGCAGATGGTTAAGCAGAAGTTTGGACACAAAGAACTAGTTTTTCTGATTTGTGGGTTTTGGGCTAATTGATCCTACAAAAGCTATGTCTACAGAGAAACTCTCCCTGTGATATTCATGAACCCAAATCCAGGAGTCTGAAATCTGCTTAGAAAGAAAAGAGTACTTACTTATCTCTTGTTTTCCCACAAAGCAGTGGCCCAAAGTAAAACTTGTCCATGCTTGTAATAAATGTCTTAAAGATGAATTCATTTGGCTTTATGGACTTCCTCCGTTGAGGGAACACAATTCTGGATGTGGGAGGAAGAGAAGAGGGGACGCTGCTTGAATGCAAGTTCAATGCCATTGTGTGATATCCATGAGCCCAGCACTCCACCTGTTCAACAAAGGGCCCACGTGTCTACAGACAGTAACTGAGGATCTTTGTTGAGGCTTTATTTCCTTTGCATCCCCAAGAAGAGATGTAGTATGGTCATACTGTACATATATATACATGTATACATATATGTATATAGATATAAATAGATGTAATAGATATAGTATGGTCTGAACTTGAGAAAGAAGACTCTTAGAACTGAGTTGGATCTTTTGACCTAATCTGTGCAGTTACAAAAATTCTTAAGAATCTCTTTGGAAAATTACTTCTGGTGGATATTAATTAGCTTCTGATACAATGGAGCCCTTTGGTAAGACCTACAGTAGGAGTTTACTTGTGAACTCTCTCTACCTTTATGTGATTCAGATACTTCACAGTGGTGTCCAGTAGTTCAGAAAAAAAGCTTTCCCACGCAGATTCGCCACATATTCATTTTATACAAGTTATAGCATAAAAATGAAATTGGTCTGCTAGTCAAGAGGTAGAAATAGGAGGTTCGTGGATTTAGACCAGCCCAGGACAAAAAAAAATTAGTGAAATGCTACCTCAAAAATAACTTGGGTATAAGACCACACTAAAGCTACCAGCACGACTATGTTTATTGCAGCACTATTTACTATAGCTAAGATATAGAACCAACCCAGATGCCCCTCAGTAGATGAATGGATCAAGAAAATGTGGTATATATATATATATATATACAATGGAATTCTATGCCTCCATCAGAAAGAATGACATTGCCCCATTTGTTAGGAAATGGAAAGAATTGGAAAAAATTAAGTGAAGTAAGCGAGGCCCAAAGAAACATAGGTCCCATGGTTTCCCTTATTTGCAATATCTAGTATATGTCTGAGTCAAGCAGAAAAGGTCAGATAAGGTGATGTTAGGGAAATGAACCCTAAGATATGTATTCAAATGTTTTTTTTTCTTTCATGCGATTGTTTCTAACATATTTATAAGATTATTTCTTTGTTGCTTTGTATGTCCCTCCCTCACAGTATAATCCCTGCTTTCACTGTATTTGATGTCAGTATAATTTGTGGAGGGGGAGGGGAAAAACAAATCGTTTAAATAGGGATACAGGTGGACCCATTGCAACAATGAGATGTACAAGTCGTTATGTAGAAAATGAACTTTACAACTTTGGTGGGAGGGGGGAGTGGGGAGGATTGGGTGGGGGGCAGGGGGAAGGTGGGAAGGGATGGGAAGGGGAAACAAAGGAGGTACAATGTTTGATAAGAAATGTAGTCATTATCTTGCCCATGTAATTGTAACCCCTCTGTACAGTATTTTCACAATAAAAAAATAACTTGGGTATGGTGGTATATGCCTATGGCTCCAAATGGAAGTAGGAAGATAATGGTTTGAGGCAAACCTGGGCAATGTGATTTACAAGATACTACCTGAAAAACAAACTAAGAATGAAAGGATTAGAAATGTCGCTAACAGAATGCTCACCTGAGCAAGGCCTTGAATTTGATTTCCAGTACCAAAAATAAAAAGGAAGGGCAAAAAAAGGCTGTTTGTTCGATAAATAAGCAAATCTAGGTATGTACCAGTGTCTCACAACTGGAAATCCTAGCTACTCAGGAAACTAAGAATCTGAAGGATTGTGGCTTAAAGTCAGCCCAGGCAGAAAAGTTTGTTAGACTTCATCTCCAAAATCACCAGCAAAAAGCATGGCTAGAGACATGGGCTGAATGGGTAGAATTCTAGCCTAGTAACCATGAGGCCCTGAGTTCAAACCCTGATATTGGGGTAAAAAGCAAACTGACTGGTTAGAGGAAGAACCTTTTCATACTTATTCTATCTCATCTCAGCCTAGGAATACCTTGTGGTATCTTGTCATCCCTATGGCTTTGGGTCAAGGTCTAAGACCTTTATCTCAACCAATCAATAATCTGGGTTTAGTGGTACGCTCCTGTAATCCTAGCTACATAGGAGGGGTAGGTAGAATTGCAGTCTGAGGTCTGTCCTGGGCAAAAATACAAGAGCTTACCTGAAAAATAACTAAAACAAAAGGTGTAGAGGGGTGGCAAAAGAACTACCATGTTCAGAATATGAGAGAAACCAAAATATACCTGTTGACTTTTGAAATAGATGAATATACTTACCTTGGGTCTTGGCAAATGTAGGGGTAAGTGCAGATACCCCTGCAGTAAAGCTGGTACTGGCGACGAGTTCCAAGGATCTCAAAGTTAAATGTTTGGTCAAAGTTTCCAAGGTCTGAAGAAGAGAAATGTACTCGTAATGTCACCTCTCCATTGGCTGGCACGATCCATCGGAAGTGATTCAGTCTGAAAGAACCACATAGGCTCTTAAAGTGACAGTACTTGTTTCTGGTCATGAGGGATCAGGAGGGCTGCCTGGGACAGGTTCTGTCCTGCTAGGGTTAGGCATGGCGGGTCCTAGGGCCCTACAGGCAAGACGGTCATATTCCCCACTGGGAATGTGACAGTTGTACCCCCAACTTGGGCCTTTAGTATCCCTCCTCCCTGGCCACTGGGGGCCCACCTGGTAAGCTTCTCTTGGGAATGCTGGCCACTTAAGTTGTTCTGGTCCATGTCTGACAGTGGGGCCCCGCTCCCTGTACTTCCCCCAGTATTGATTTTCTTGAAGACCATGCGACGTTTGTCCTTTGAAAGCTCACGGGTTGGTTCTACTTTTTCTTTCAGCTTCATTTTGCCTCCCTTAGCTGAAGCGGTCTGTTCTTCTTGGGTCTTAATTAAAAATGAACACAAGATTGTGAATACTCATAAATCTACACTGAAGACAGAAATGCCTGCAGTGTGCCCATAGGCAGGTGGGGGTGCTGTAGAGTGTGGAGGCTGGGACAGAGAAGGGCCTGCCTCATGGGGCAGTGACAAAAGCCAGTGTTTTTCTGAGAGATCAATTCTGGAAGAGGAGACCAAAACCCCTTAGAGCAAACTGGAAGTTGGCAGGAACTTTTAGGTTGAATTTCAACTCCTGGAAGTTCCTTATAATAGCCAGCTGGTCTGCCAGCTTCCCTAGTATTACTTAGGCTACTTGTTCACTTGGCTTTCAGTGCTCAATGTTTTGCTGGCATAGCCTATTCCCCATCTTCCTTCTCTCTGCTCTTTGTTCTTAGGATTTATATAGCATTTACCTATCTATCTAGCTATTTATTTATTTTTAAATCTCTTACTAGTTGGGTACTGTGGCTCATGCCTGTAATCCTAGCTACTCAGGAGGCTTGAGATCTGAGGAATTGAGGTTTGAAGCCAGGCCAGGCAGATAAGTCTGTGAGCCTCTCATTTCCAATTAACTACCAAAAAGCTAGAAGTATAAGTGTGGCTCAAGTGGTAGAATACCAGCCTTGGGAAAAAAAATCTAAGGGTCAGTGACCAGGCCCTGAGTTCAAGTTCCAGTCCCAGAACAAAGAAACAAACAAACAAGTCTCTTACTATTCAGGGAAGAAGAAATAAGCACATTTGTTTAATTAAATAACTTCCCATTTTCCTATTGTGATTTCCATGATTCTCAATCTATTTTTCCTATTTTTTGTCCTTTATCATTTCTACTTTAAAAATGATTAAGAAAAGCTTTCAAAGTTGGAAGTCTTTTACAGTAAGAACTAGCATTAATGGTTTTATCTATTTATCTATTGAGTTTTCTTCTGAACCACTAGAATGAATGTCACAGATGGTAATCTTTGCTTCTAAATACTTTTGCCTGCATATCCTGTACTACCACAATTGTATCATTCCACCTAAGATGTGACTTGGGCCCAGTGGCTCACAGCTATAACCCTAGCTATTCAGAAGGTGGCAATCACAAGGATGAAAGTTGAAGGCCAGCTTGGGCAAGAAAATTAGTAAGCCTCCCATCTTAACAAAAAATTGCTGGGCATGGTGGTACATGCTTGGCATCCTAGCTATGAGGAAATTATGAATAGGAGGCTCACAATCTGCTTTGGCTTGGATGACAGGCATGAACTAGTACGCTTAGCTTCTTTCATTGAGGCAGAGGATCAGTGGACTTTTCTGCCCATGGCTGTAGAACCATGATCTTTCTAATTTCAGTTTCCCATAAACTAGAATGTGAGCCACCATGCTATGGATTGAGAAGAGTCTTGAGAACTTTTCTACTTGGGCTGAGCTCAATCCACAATCCTTCTGATTTTGGTCTCTCAAGTAGCTTGGAATACTAGCCACAGGCCATTGGCACTTCGCTAAAATTTATTTTAATATATTTTTAGACAAAGTGATAAAAAGTGACTCTGCCCAAAATACCTAACCTCCTTGGTAATTTTAATTTTTTGGTTGTTGTTATAAAGGTGATATACAGAGGGGTTACAACATAGGTCAGGTAAAGAGTACATTTCTTTTTGGACAATGTTACTTGCTTGGTAATCTCTTGAACAATTTACCCTTTTCCTGATTTTTTTCCTTTTTCAGTTACTGAGGTTTCAATTCAAGGCCTTGTGCTGGGTAGGAAGGCACTCTACCACTTTAAGTTATGTCTCTAACATATATTTATCATTTTAAAAGAGCTAATTTTTTGCCTAATTTTTTTCTGCAGTTGGGCTTTGAAGTAATGTGACAGATTCCCTAGATTATCCCCCGTTTCTTAGAAAGGTTGAAAGTGGAGCTGTCACGTTCAGTCTCCTCTTGGGTAATAAGATGGTCAGATATATGGTAAGTGTGACTTGGGGCCCTTGGTCAGAAGCCTCATTGCTTCTAGGGAACCAGTACTTCACAACAGACTTAGCATTGGGCCACATCTGGGTATGTGTATGCCCTTCTTTCCCTGCTTCCCTGCCCTCTGAAATGGTGCTGAAGCCAGGAGAACCAGATGCTTTACCTTGGATGTGGTTGTGCTAGATGCAGGTTCTATATCTGTTTCTAGCTCTTTTTTCTCCTCTATCAGGGAGAAGTCATCAGATAGTGGGAGCACGAACACAAAGTGTTTGAGAACATCTGTGGGGGGCAAGGGTGGCCGCTTCACAGGGTAAGAGATGATTGAGAACAGGGCAGGAGGTAGGGTGGGTGGTCCAGAAGACCCCAGGCCCAAGATGTCCAGGATCTAAAAAAAAAAAAAAGAAAAGAAAAAGGCCTGAGTTAATTTCCCATGAAGAGGACAGACAAACCTTAATCTTTTCTTGAGTGAGAAAGGCTCATGTCCCCTCCTTTCTCCTAGAATTCTTAGAGGAGATACTCTTGCAACTTTGGGTATAAAGGTCCTCTGATCTAGCTCTGTAAGGACTTTCCACTCCCTAAACCCTAGACCAGGCTACTTCTCTCAGATTTTAATCTCTACTGTGATTGTTTAACTGTCTTTCTTTGTGACTAGACTTCAAATTCCATTAGGACAGGAAGCAGGCTAGTCTAGTACATGGACTAGCACTTAACCAATCAGTTTAACTGAAACAGAGAGACTCTCAAGGCTGTGATGTCTGTGTATAGTGTTCTTCTATCCATTTTTTAGACCCTACATTAACTTTTCCTTTTTTTTTTGCTTTAATGTTCTTTCTTTCCAAAGGTAACAGAAAGGATGGGTGCAAGTTAAATATAGAAAAGCACAGTGCACATATACACACAATCAACAAACAAACAAACAATGCCAGCTACCTCAAGGGCAAAGGTGCTAAAATTTTAGTAGCAACTTTCTTTCCAGTTTGTAGAGGTCTTTAGAATAAATATATGATGCCTAGATTAATTATTGTTATTAAAGGGAATGGGAACTCTGATGGGCCAAGTGGCACAGTAGGACTAACAAGTCACCGTCTTTGTGTTTCCCTCCTATGGGACAGAGAGCTAAAGGATTTAATGTGGAGCTGGAGTTCCCTCCCAGTTGTGTGATTTACTGCTTAAATTATCTAAACCCAGAGGTTCAAGCAACAGTTTAATCTGACTGGAAAGGATGTTCTTGGCTATAGGTCTTTAAAAAAAAAACTCCCGCATGTATTTCTGAACAAAAATTCATGCTCTAAGGCTGGCCTTAGGTGAGCGTGATTGGAGTTGGCATTGAGTGTCCTTCAACTGTTTTCTTCCCTTGGCCCCACACTGGACCACTATGGCATGACATGTGTATGGTCACATCACATTGGTCTGCCTACCATCCCTTGCCAGCCTGTCCCTGCCAACAATCTCTCAAGTCTTTGTTCCTATAAAATTGAACCTAGTTCCTGATAAATTAAACCAGAGGTCAGATAACTGTACTCTATGCCCAAATCTGGTTTTCCTTTTTAAAAATAAATAAAGAGTATGAGAGGGGTTGACACTGTTCAAAAAGTACACTCATTACCTGTATTTTGTTACTGCAACCCCTCTGTATATCATGTTTATAATAAAAAAATTTAAAAAAAAATAAAGGTACACACCTTTATTAAAGGTACACACGCAGGTGCGTGAGCATGTGCATGTCTGCCTGCCAGTTACCTTAATGCTCTTGCCCAGATTTCTTGCTCATTGCTGGTGCTCTATCACTTGAGCCATGTTTCTAGCCTGGCTTTTTGCTAGTAAACTGGACATAGAGTGTCTCAAGATTTTTCTGTCTAGGCTGGCTTTGAACTACAATCCTCCAGGTCTCAGCATCCTGAGTAGCTAGGATTACAGGCGTGAACCACTGTCCCTCCACACTTAGGTGGAACAGGGCTGTGCTTATTTGGCTACATCTTGTTGGTGGGTAGCTTTCATCATTTTGAGGCTGAGCTCAGTTCTGATGAAGACTGCACAGCATATAGCCTGAAATCCTGAAGTCTGGGTTTTTGGTCCTTCACAGAAAAACACTGTCCTTTGACAAAAGCATAGAACTCTCACTCAAACCTCCACCAAAGGTGGATGTTGCATATGCAAGATATGAGTGAAAGGCTATCTAATAATCGGTTAATTCTTGTTGATGTGGGAGGCTTGTGGGATAGAGATTTTGGAGTACACCAGTCTATTGCTTGACCCTCAACACACACTTGCCTTGCCATCCTATTGTACAGAGTTGTCGCTAAAGATTAAATGGACAACTGCCAGAAGCTGGTGGCTCACGCCTGTAGCCCTAGTTATTTAGGAGGATCAAGGCTGGAAGCCAAATGAGGCAGCAAAGTCTATAAGACTCCATCTCCAATTACCCAGCAAAATGTAGAGCTTGGAGCCATAGCTCAAGTGACAGAACACCACCTGAACAAAGCAAGTAAGCTAAGCAAGCATGTGGCCTTTAGTCTGGTACTGGCCAAAAAGAAAAAAAAGCCCACTGAACAAATGATTTTTCTTCTTATATAAGGAGAGATAGAATAATTTTTAGATGGATGGAGCTTTTTATGGATTTTCTTTTGCCAAAGGCTAAAAAGTCCCTTTAGCATTTATTGTCTTATATCCAAAGGGGGGCATCAACAATGAGTCAAATTAAGGGGATATAGCTTTTTCAATAGAAGGCAACATTTTAATGATGGCTATCACAGTCTGGCCTCCACTGTTACTCTTCCTGAAGGATAGGCTGTACCTGGTCTCCTTTGGGAAGGCGGCCATTCTCCAGGGCCTGCTTCCAGCTGGAGCCATCGAAGTCCGGAGTCTGGATGTTGATGAATGGCACCCCAAGGTCCTTCTTCCCCTCATGGTCCTCTTCCATTTCTCCCTCCACATCACTCCGGTCTTCCATGGCCCGAAGCTTCTCCAGGCGCTCCCTCTCGGCCTTTTCCCTTTCCAGGCGCTCCTTCTCAGCCCGCTCCTTCTCCAAGCGTTCCCTCTCCCGGTCCTTGCGGCCCCGACGCCCACTGGAGGGGGCCTGGCGCTGGTCATCAGCGTCATGGGACACTTCTTCCATCCCTGCAGGAGGCAGCTGAATTCCTTGCTTCCGGTCCCAGTATGTGAGGATGGTCTGGATGTCCTTTAAACACAACTCATAGAGTTTAAACTTCTGGGCCAACTGCCTGTCACTTTCCTTTAGGAAGTCCCCTTCGCTGTCCTCTTGATCCTGAACATAAGGAAATCCTGGTGTATTGAGATCTCCTGTGAGCTTCTTTTTCTTGCTGGGCTCTTCCTTCTCGGCAACTGCTTGTTCCCTCACAGAAACTTTCCTTTCTACTGACTCTACCTTGATATCGAGTTTGGTGGTTGTTGGACCCTAGAAGGCAAAACACACAAACCATGCTTGAAATGGTTTACCAAGAGTGAACAATCTGCATATAGGAACCTCAGGGGGACATTTTATTTCACAAGGTCTCAAAATTCAGGTTTCTCTTGGTGCAAAGGTTGTGCCTAAGAATCAAGGCCATCCATGTGTCTATATCTGCCCTGTTGTAGATCTGCCTGGGCCCTGGCACTGTTCATTTTGAGAAAGGTTCACAAGGATGTTAACAGGCAATCCTGGCCAAGAGCTGCTGGTCTAAAGAACCAACAGGAGAAGGACTGGCAAACTGGAGTTTTGAAGACCTGCTTTCGTTTGTCCTGGAGAAAGCTAGGGAGCATCGTGGTTGCTCAAGTGACAGTCACCTGAGCAGAGAGCAAAAGAGGAAAAGCTAGAGGTTCTCACTTAGACATTCTAGCAGTTTCCAGAATCAATAATCAATGTACTAATTATTTTGTGTTTTTTTTTTTCAAATTAAAAATTGAACTTGGGTAATTGCAAGTTACGGTTACTTGAATTCTCCCTCCTGGCTCCATGAGCAGGGCCACACAGCAGGAGTCTGTGCAATCCTCCCTGGGCAGTCCCTTTTGTTCTCATCTGAGAGTTCACATCCTTCCTGCAGATGTGCATCCTCAACTTGTGCCCAGTCTTGCATGCTCAGACCTGCACTCTTTCTGATTGGGTCTCATGGATGTTAATGCTTCTGCTCATGTATATACTGATCTGTTGTCATGTCCTCTCACTCTTCTCCTTGGATTAGCCCCATCTTGTCTAGAAGTCTGGCTTTAGATTTACCCTTAGATATCACAGGGCTGAAGCAGCTATGCCCATACCAGCTTCTCACACCTCTCAGCTACAGTTTTTTTTCCTTATCACAGTGGGAAGATATGACTGCTAAGCTTGGCAGGCTGATAGACTTTCAGGCCTTGTATGCAAGGATAGGCTTATGTTGGAGTATCTTTCTGGACTGATGTCAAGGAGCACACTGGTCTCCATGGACTTCAGGGCTTCCTAGAGACAAATCTTTAATACCAGCCTATTTTTTAGTGTCATCCAGGAATTAAATTTAGTAACAACCAGAATAGGGACTGATGACAAAGGCTGTAATGGATAAGATACTACTGAGTGGGGCCCTGGAACTTTAACTTTGTTTCTGAACCATGAATGGGGTTTATCTCTCTGGCCCTCACTGGGTGAATGGGATGTCAAGCCGTGTGGTCAGGGAAAACACAAGGCTAGCAATTATGATACATTGGATACTTAGCATTGCTGGGTCTGGTCCTTGTACCTTCTGCTTTACCACTAAAATCCATCCAAACATGGTTGGCCAGTTTTCTGGTTAATGGAAGATGCTGGATTGGTTGGTAGGTTACAGTGGCTACCCCTCTGCTTCTGCATTTGGCAAGGAGCAGAGAAGGATGTTACCTGCTTGTTTTGTGGTGGTGGTGGTTTCTTCATGGGAGGCTCCTCCTTCATGAGGCCTTGCTTGGGCTTTTTGTTCTTCCGTCTCAGCTCATCTTCTTCCTTTTGTCGCTCCAGCTCCTGCTGTAGCTTCTTTTCTTGTATCTCCCTGGCTAGCCTCTCAAGTTCCCTTCATCAGAGAGAAGAAACAGAATTAGGAAACTTCAGCTTTAGCCTTTGCCCTCCTGGGAGGGACTCTGGGCAGAACTTTCATGGGCATGGAGAGAAAGAACAAAAGTAAGAAGGAAGTAAAGGAAGGAAGAGAAAAGAAGGAAAGGAAGGAAAGAAGAAAGGGGCCATATATATCTTTGGATGATCACTTAGTAAATCTCTTGGTTATGTTTGCCTAGACAGATATTTAATCTGTATTTATTTGGATCTTCTTTCATGGAAGAGAAGAAAAAGGGCTAGAAATAAGCTTGATCCTTGAAAAACAACTTTTAAAGATGTCTCTAGTATTAGCACAGAGGTAGCTCCACCTCTTATAGTCACATCTGCTGTTCAGACAACAGACAATGATATTTTGGATATCAGTTCTTATCATGGCTAGTTTGGAGCCATGATGCTGGGTCTGAAAGTCACGTTCTTCTCCTCTCCCTCCTTCCCTGACTGCTGTATATTTAACATGACCTAGGTACCAAAGATGAGCTCCATGTATGAACAAATGATGAACAAGCGATGGGTACCATGTATGAATAAGAAGTGAGCCAGCACTTCTGAAAATACCTAACCCATATCTCCTTTCATTTCTAGGAATCTCCAGTTGTTCCTGGTTACTGTGGTTCTTTGCTCACTGAGGCAAACTCATTAATCTATGTGGGGTGTGCGTGTGTGTGTGTGTGTGTGTGTGTGTGTGCGCATGTGCACATGCACACATCTCTGTGAAAGAGGAAAGGAGGGAGAGAGAAAGCAAGCAAGAGATAATTGATGAACTTTTTGTCCTTTTCTTTTGGCAGTACTGGGGGTTTGGACTGTGAGCCTTATGCTTGCTTGGCAGGTGCTCTACAACTTTAGGTATTTTTGAGTACTGTCTCATGTTTTTGCCCGTGTCTAGTCTTGAACTGTGTCTCATGTTTTTGCCCATGGCTGGCCTTGAACTGTGATTTTCCTGATTTCTGCCTCCAGAACAGCTGGAATTATAGGTGTTCACCATTTAACTTGGCTTTGATCTGCATTTTCTAAGTCTACCATGAGGTCAATGCCTGAAAGCAGAAGCTGTGTTGAGAAAGAAGAGTTTCCTTTGGTATCCCAAATCTAGGCTTGTCATGCCTCCAGAGACATGGCTGCTGCTACAGTGGCCCAAGCAGGAGAAGGGCTGATGGCATGCTATCAGGGTTTTGGGGAATATAAAGACTCTTTTGGAGTCAGTGAGAGTAATCTGGAGGTTGGGGGAGAGGAGAAAATGGGGTTACCTTGTAGGGGCGTGAAATTCCAATGTTGGAAATTCCAAGGAGTGGGATGCTTGAAGATCTCAGGGACAAAGAGACTTATGTACCATGGCTCATGTGTAATGATAGCCCACCTGTATGTCTGAGACAGCCTGAGCTGGCATCCCCACGTCTCTGGAGTTTTTGATGTAGACAGGTCTAGTTGTTCCCATGAGGTGCCCAGTGAGAGGCTGTCTGCTGCTGGGAAGTCTGCCCTGGGTCTCAGTGGGCACTGCTCAGAATGAAGACCACAGGTAGAGGCAGCCAGACCTCGGGGGATGGGCAGTGCCACAAAAGGCCAAGAGGGGGTCTTAGGAAGTGAGAAAATGAACTGAATTCTGGGAGAAGCCATCATACCCATGCCACGAGAGTGTCCTAGGTGTGGATACCTAGGAGCACAGGTAATAAGCCCCTCCCTGTGTGCACTTCACAGGGAAGACAGCAGGCTAGAAGCTGCACCCCACCGGTCCCAAATACCCCCAGTAGAAGGAAGAAGAGACATGATGTATTTTCCTAGTCTTGCAGGGAGGTGGGTCTCTGGGTACTCACCTCTTTTTCCTTTCTCGGAGAACCTGCCGCACCTCCCTGTCAAAGGCTAGCTTCTCCTCCTCTGTCAAGGCATCATATTCTTCCTCATCCATGTTTTGGAGACGTGACTTCTCTCTCTCCAGAGCTTCCTTGCGTTTGCGGTCTACGAGGGGAGCAGAGCGGAGAGGGAAGTTAAGGCTGTCAGCCTAGCCAGGCTGTGACAGCAAGAGGTAGCAAGTAAACAGCTGTCATTCCTAATCCTTGCTGGGATTTTTTTATTCCCATTACTAAAGGTGGTTCCATCTGTGGTCAGCTGATTATGATCTGTTTTTACATCCTAACCCCAGAACCCATGGATGTATTTGCTATAGCAGAAGATTGTTTGCAGATGTGATTAAACTCATGTCTGAATGTTTGTGTTCTTCCAAATTCATATGTGGATTATCCAGTAGAGTAGCTGGAGCAGAGGCTTCTCAGAGGCAGGGCTCTGCTATCCAGGGATAGTATTACCACCATCAAACCACAATCCTCAGATCTCAGGTCTATTTCCAAGTTGAGAATTTCAGTAACATTACTCTATGTTGTTGTAGGTATCTTTTTAAAACTCAAATTTTTTAATCACTGATTTTTTCATAGATGCAATGACAGAAGACAAGACTTCTGAAATTTCTGAGCTTTTTTTTTGTGCCAGTCCTGGGATTTTAACTGAGGATCTGGGGGACATCTCTGAGTTGTTTTTTAAAAAATTTTTATTGCTCAAGGCTAGTGCTCTACAACTTGAGACACAACTACACTTCTGGCTTTTTGGTGGTTAACTGGTGATAAGAATCTCATAGACTTTCCTGCCCAAGGTGGCTTCAGACTATGATCTGTAGATCTCAGTCTCCTGACTAAACTAGGATTATAGTCATGAGCCACCAGCACTCAGCACTCTCTGAGCTTCTTTTCTTCTCATCTGTGAAACAGGCACAATGATCTTAACAGGGTTACTATGAAGATTTCAATCCAAGGTATACAAAACATTTCCTGTAATGTCAAACATTAGAATGCAGATTTTTTTAAAGTTCATTGGTCCCTATGGTATCCAAAGAAATGCAGTTGGCTTACACCAAATCAGCAAGCAAAGCATCCTTGGAGTCAGGATAGCCCATAGCATGTGCTCCTCTGGCCAGTGTAATAAAAGAGATGATGGTGTGTGATGTGTTTGGAGAGAAAGAGGAAGGTGTGTGCTGTCAGATAACTGAGTTCCACTCATTATCTACCCTCTTAACTGGTTGCTTCTGTTTCAGGGCCTTCATACCCCAAAGGAGTCATGTGAACCCCTGGCTGCCTTCCAGGGTAGGGGTAAGGCATCAATGAAACAGTAAGTGTAAAAATGTCACCTCTGCCCAGTAGATAATCACATCAGAGAAACACATTTGAAAGCCTAAGTTCCTGTGGAAAGACCTGTTAGGACTTGGGAAGGGTAACTAGGGAGTTGAGAGTCCTTGCCTTCTTGTTCCTTTTTTGCCTTCTCCTGGGCCTTCATGGTTGTGTAATCCTGGGCCATATTGAGAAAATATATATGTTCCCGGCTGCCGATGGCCTTTAGCAGGCAGAGAAGGGTGGCAGGCGCATTCCGAGCAAACAGTGTATCCAAGCTATCAAACACCACTCCTCGATAGCAGTCACTCAGCTGAAATTGGAGAAAGCAAGACAGTTACTGTCAGGAAATAAAAGAGAAGAATAAAAAATATCTATTCTAGTGAGATGCTGGTGGCTCACGACTGCAATCCTAGCAATTCAGGAGGCTGAGATCTGAGGACTGTGGTTTGAAGTCAGTTTGAGCAGGAAAAGTTCATGAGACTTATGTCAGCAAAAATCTTAACCAGTGAAAATCTGGAAGTGGAGCTATAGCTCAAATGTGAGAGCACCAGCCAAAAGTCTAAAAGCTAAAGGACAGTGCTCAGATCTTGAGTTCAAGTCCCCAAAATGGTGCCAAAAATACCTATTCATCCATATTTTTATGGCACATAATTATAGAGCAAAAAATTGATTCTGTCTCTGTAGAATAAAGGAAAAAAGTAAGGGTCTGGGAAGATCGAAGAGGCAGGAAAATGAAAGATGTTCCCCCACATACAACAGGTAACAAGAGCAGCAGGAGCAGATAGGTCCTCCTCTTAGTGATTTCAGTGCCTTGAAGTGCAGTGATTCTAATGATATTAATCACTGCAGAATAATTTTCAATGCACTGTGGGCTTATTCAAAGTGGGGTCCAGAGACTGGTGACCAATGGCCAGGAAGGTTGTTCTAATAAAAGGAGATACTTGTATTAGAACACAAATCAGTTATATTACTAAACACTGTTCCAGCTGGCTTTTATTTAAATATGTAATGTATAATCTTTTCCCTCTGGCTCTGAGTTTGTCTGAGTTCTAGGGCTTGAACTCAGAGTCTGGGTGATGTCCCTAAGCTTCTGTGCTCAAGGCTAGTGCTCTTCTGTACTTCTGGCTTTTTTTGGTGTTTCATTGGAGATAAGATTTTAAGACTTTTCTTGCCTGGGCTGGCTTTGAACCATGATCCTCAGCTCTCAGCCTCCTGAGTAGCTAGGATTAAAGGTGTGATTGACCAGCACCTGGCTACTCTCTAGCTCTGGGTCTGGGTCAATGACTGTTGGTGGTGAAAACATTCATCTTTCGTCTTCAAGGCCTCTGGGTCTGAGCTGCTGTGGATGGCAGATGGCCCAAAACACCAAACACAGGATGGGACCATGTGTGAATGCTCAGTGGGCTGTTCTGTGCTGGTGGTGTGGATATACCTGTATTCGCTCTGACAGGATCTGTATGAAAAGTTCATCAGGGAGCACGCAGCTCATCAGACCAGTCTCCCCTCCAATACTGGCACTGACACTGAGCCTGCGCTGTGTAGGTCCCAAGAGGAGAGGGCTGGAGGAAATCTGTTACGTGAGAGAAAAGTCAGGAGTCAGAATCCATCTTTGTGTACAACATCTGCATCTACAAGCCATGTGACTCCAGGAAGACCATCTAATCTGTCCCTGCTTCTCATCTGAGTGACAGCAACTGCATTGCAAAATGGAAGATTCCAATTTCCTTACAGTGTTGCTGGCAGCTTCAAATAGGAATATTATGGGAGGTACTTTCTGTCCTGACTTCAGCTGTGTGTGTTTGTACCTTTATTGACCCAACAGGAAGCTAGTGCTGGTACTGGGGCTTGAACTGGCTCCCTATTGGTGTACTAAAAGTTAAGTCATACTTTCACCTCTGGCTTTTTGCTTGGTCTGGCTTCAAACTGTAATTCTCAGTTTTTAGCCTCCTAAGTTGTTTAGGATTATAGGCATGAGCCACTGCTGCCTACCTAGTTAAATTCTCCTTTAACTGCACTCAATTCTTCCCTTCCTATATTCTCTAGGAATCTCATCCCCTCTTGGGTTGACTGTTATTTTATAATTCTTGAGGGACTCCTTCCTTATAGACCTGTTTATGCCTTTACTTCCTTTCTTGACCTTGGATTTGTTCCTCCAACAAATACTCTGTTTTAATTAATCAATTTATTTGTGTGCCAGAACTGGGGCTTGAATTTAGAACTTTGTGTTCACACTTGGCTTTTTTTTTTTTGCTCAATTTTGGCATTCCACCACTTGAGCCATAGCTCCACTCCCAGCTTTTTGCTGGTTAATTGGACTCTTTGGTTAATAAGACTCATGGACCTTTTTGCCTGGGCTAGCTTCAAAGCATGATTCTTAGATCTTAGACTCCTAAATAGCTAGGATTACAGGCGTGAGACACCAATGCCCAGATAACGACTCTTTTTTGCCCTTCTTTTCAAAGATCTTAAAGTCTACCCTCACTTGATTTTACTTTCTACTCATGACCATGAGTTACTCTTGCTTCTCTGTTACTGCCTTTAGCACAGACTAGTTGACCAAGATTGTTCTTTAAGTCTATTGGTGACTTCTTCTATTGGTGACTTTCCAACATTTTTGCAGCCTGACATAACAGTGATATTCCTTTAGGTTGAACATAGGAAATTGTTGTTAGGGAGTTCTAAAATATTGAATACTGGCCATTTCCTATGGTTCAACTTAATTTTTTTCTATTCTCCTCTCTTATAACTAATCTCATCTAATTATAGATATTTACAAGTGTGGTCACCTCCTTCATCAGACTTCATCAATGCAACTTGAGAGCAAAGGCCTTGCTGTCTTTATCTTTATGCATTGCCAGCACCCAACCCAGTGCCAATGAAGTGAAAAGGAATTACTGGGTTCCAGCTGGGTGAGCACTAATTTCAGAAGGAGTTGTGTAGGGACAGTGCTTAGTCTGACCTGGTAAAGGATACCTACAGAGACAAAGGGTGCTGGCCTGGCTGAACGGAGCTGAAAGATGAAGGATCCATGCCACCCCATGGGGAAGCTGGTTTGTACCTGTGATGTTTCGGATTGGTGCTGGTGATGCTGTTTCTGTGACCCAGAGCCATGGCTGTCCGGTTTGCCTTTGGAGAGCATGAGGCTCCCACGCACAGTCTTAGTAGGTTTAATGTCCAGGGTGGCCAAGGTTATATCTGAGGTAGGTTTGCCCAAGTTCTCACTACTCAGTCGTGGTGTTTGTCCTACAATGTTTTGGTTCAGAGAAGTTTCCTGGGCTATTAGGATAAAGTGAGTTTTTATTACAAGTTATCTTAGAAAATGCCAGTGGGGATGCCACACTGAGACCTCAAAACCTAGTGGGCTGATCTAGATTGGAAGAAGGAGCTCTGCCCATTGCAGACTGAATGATGGAAGATTGGCCAATAGGGACTGAGTTGGTCTGTGCTTACTTTCTCTTCCAGCCTAGAGGGTAGTGATTTCTTTCTTTCTTCTTTCTCTCTAGATTGTAATAATCTCAAAAGTTGTTGGTATACTAAAATGCTGCCTTGGAAACCCAACACCTGACTTCCCAAGATTTTAGACAGACCTTTTTAGATTTGATAGCTAGGTTAGGGCCACTTTTACCCTTCCCCCAGCAGAACCACCCACATAACAAGCTAAGTAATAAGCATGTGACTGTTAGCAAATACACCTTCAAGATTAGTTTCTTCTTTCCTCTCCTAGCTCTACTTCTAATTCAAATACAATCCTTCCAAAAGTCTAATTATTTAAAAGGTATAGAATTAGGAATTATGTTGTGATTGTTTACATGAAGAAGATCCACTTCTGAACAGGTATATTGATCATATTCAGCATGTTTCCCATTGAACAGTTGCTTTCCCGCCTACTAGGTCCTCTCATTATCCAATGGAGCCAGGATCCTTGAGTTTTGGTAGCTGGCTATATACCATGTTTCATTACTAGGGGACCTAGAAGCTCAGTTCATTTCCTCTCTAGCAATCTGCCTTGACCACAAAACATCAGGAAGAATGAAGTCTTACCAATCTCTTCTGCTTCTCTCATGGACTGTTCTATTGCAGCCCGGATGCAGAGCTCACGGGCACGGATGCCAGGGCCACTGTTGCTATCTGACATAGCTTCCAGGATAACAGAGTCAATGTTCAAGCAGGCTGCACTGTAATACTTGGCTATGCTGACAGCATTGACTGTCTTTCCTGTAAAAAAAACACCAGGCACTGAGTTTTATGGTCCTCATTTGTTCAATGTCTTAAACAGAAGTCTCCAGAATCCCTTATAATGTGACCTACCCTCAGAAGCACCTATTATTACTATACTATAATTAGGGATGATAATCTATAAAAGAGATGTTGCTAGCTACATAGTAGTATATACCCATCCCAATAACTTGGAAGACAGAGGCAGGAACATTGAGCAGCATTGTAAACTTGAGGCCAGCCTAGTGAGTCCCTGGCTCAACAAAAAGGACACTCTTATTACCATTCTATAGACAAGGACACTTGATCACATACAACTTTAGCAATCTTTCCAGAGGCACAATGCTATCAATGGAAGTAACAGAGTGTGATGGGTCTTTTTGGCTTTGGGGACATGCTTATAATCTCTGCTGTGCTGGTTCCTAAATGAAATGATTGGTATCTTCCCTGACCACCCAGGTAACATTTTTATCCTGGAAGCTATGAGTTTATATAGGAGACATGGCGCCCTTGGTCACCTACCTGACATGGGTGTTCCATGGATGATAATGGCGATGCCTTTCCGGCTCTTGGCCATGCGACCTTCTGCAGAAATATCAATGCCCAGGTGGCGAGCAATTGCCTTGTTCACAGGGTTGTTTTCTACCTCCCCTACCTCTTCCACGGAGTGGCTCTCAACGCTCTGAATCTTGTCAGCTGCAAATTAAAAATAAAGGTGTATGGTCGGGTGCCGGTAGCTCATGTCTGTAATCCTAGCTATTCAGGAGGCTGAGATCTGAGGATCACAGTTCAAAGCCAGCCTGGGCAGGAAAGTCTATGAGTCTCTTATCTCCAATAAACTACTCAGAAAACCAGAAGTGATGCGGTGGCTCAAGTGGTAGAGCATTCACTTTGAGCTGAAGAGCTGAGGGACCACGCCCAGGCAGAGTTCAAGCCCCAAGATCAACAAAAAAAGAGAAAGTATGTGTGTGTTCATGTACGTGCATGAGCAAACATGTATGTGCATGTGAATAGTCTCAGAATTTACATGGTACTGATGAAAGCAGAAATTTGAGTTTTTTTGGTGCTAGTCCCTGGGCTTGAACTCAGGATCTAGGTACTGTCTCTTAACTGTTTAGCTTGAGTCTGGCACTCTATCACTTGAGCCACATTCTACTTTTAACCTTTTGGTGGTTAATTAGAGCTAAGAGTCTCATGGACTTTCCTGGCTGGAGTGGCTTCACACCATGATCCTAAGATCTCAGCCTTCTGAGTAGCTGGATTACAGGTGTGAGCCACCACAGTGCCCTGCTCTCAACTCTTTTTTCTAGAATGAAGAAAAAGAATGTTATAGCGGTACCTATCTATATTATATAACAATGTTTCTTTGGCTAATAATTTGTCCATTCCTATTGAAATTTAAAAAGATAGATATTCTTTAGTTCCAATTTTATATGTCTCTAAATATTCCCCAGTCTGCTGGACTTGCAGCAGTAAAGGTTCAAGTCTTGAAATGAATGCTTAGTCTAGTTAAAATGTAAATAATTATGACAAGAAGAATATATCATATACTATACTTAGCACAGAGTAAGCAAGTGGGTCAGGGCTTCCTAAGAGGACATGGCTGGTGGGCAAGGCAGGGGTGATGAGCTGCCTAGGGATCCCAGAGAGAACTTTTTTTTGTTGGTCATGGGGCTTGAACTCAGGGTGCTGTGCTTGAGCTTTTCTGCCCAAGGTTAGTGCTCTACCACTTTGGGTCACAGTGCTACTTCTGGGTTTCCAAGTGGTTAATTGGAGATAAGAGTCTTACAGAATTTCCTGTCTGGCAGACTTTAAACTACGATCCTCAGATCTCAGCCTCCTGAGTAGCTAGGATTACACTCATGAGCCACCAGTGCCTGGCCAGAGGGGATATTTGATAGAGAAAGTTGATGAATCATTGAATTTGAGTTTGATTTTTTCCATTTCTTTCTATTAAAAAACAATCTCTAAACATTAAAATGCTCAATTACTTGGAAACAACACTCTTTCCAGGCTTTCCTCATCCTCATCTTCATCTGGGTAGATTCTGGGGTCCAAGGGATTGTGCCGCTCTTCTATGTTGGATGTGAGAGAGATCCCTCGGCTGAGCGATGTCCTCTTCGTGCTAGCAGAGGTTCCCTGATCTGATATGGTTATATCTTCCTCTTCTGCCAAGGAGCAAAGGATGAAAACAAATGGGGGAGAGTTGGGAGGGGAAAAGGGAGATGGGGCCCAAACAGAAAGACAAAGGAAGAAGAGAATCATAGTATCGGCTACCATGGTGCTGGACTGTTCAATCCCACCAAACAAGGCCTGCAGTTAGCTGGCTGTCTAAAAGTTTCTCTGCACATAAGTGTTTTTTTACATTTTAACATTGATTTAAATATCAAAATTTCACATTTGATCAGAAAATTTGGAGAATTAAGAAGAGTCAAGAATTACAAAGTTCAAGGGAAGGGAAATAACAAAATGGTGAGACAAAGGACCAAGGGTGAACCAATGTAACAGTGATACTCACAGGACACTGTGTTGGAAATGAACTGCACAATGCGGGGACAGGAGGAGAATTGAGGGGGATGGAAAGTGGGAAGGGTAACATTGTTTGACAAGAAATGTCATAATAAAAGAAATGTACTCATTACTTTCCTTATGAAACTGTAACCCTCTGTATATCACCTTTACAATAGAATAAAATATTATTAAAAAAGAATTATAAAGTTCAGTTGTAAAAAGATATTTGAGATAGACCAATGGGAACAGGACTTGCAGCTGAATTTTATAATACCACATAGGAGAACTGCAATGTCTCAGAGTTTTAGTTAATTAATTAATTAAGATTGTTTTCTTTTTCTTTTTTAAAACCAGTACCAGGCTTACATTCAGGGTCTATTACTCTCACTTGGCTTTTTTTTCTTTTCTTTTCTTTTTTTCTTGTCAGGCATGCTAACATTTGAGTCATATCTCTAGTCCAGCTTTTTTTTTGCTGGTTAATTGCAGATAGATGCTCACTGATTCTTTTTGGAGAGGCTGGCCTTAAACACAAATCCCTGATCTCCTTGGATTACAGGCATGAGCTACCATACCAAACTTATTTTTTAAATTTCAAGAAATTTAAAAAATTTTAAATTTGGATCACACTGTACACACCAGTCAGACTATTGCATGAACCTTTCTCACACCAGTGTTATCACCACCTGCCATTGAGTGCCTCACTCTCCTCATTGTCCCCTCTTGTGCAGCATCTCAGTGGGCGCTGGGGCCAGACACACTTTTTGTTTATAAATGGGATTTTAGCCTGCGAGCCTGAGAATGGTAAGTATGTGCTTTGGGGGCTGGGAATGTGGCTCAGTGGTAGAGTGCTTGCCTAGCATGCATGAAGCCCTGGGTTTGATTCCTCAGTACCACATAAACAGAAAAAGCCAGAAGTGGTGCTGTGGCTCAAGAGGTAGAGCATGAGCCTTGATCAAAAGAAGCTCAGGGACAGTGCTCAGCCTGAGGACTGGCAAAAAAAAAAAAAGAAAAGAAAAGAAAAAAAAAGAATGTGCCTTGGGGCATGAGGGAAGCTGAAAAAGATTGTCCATAGTGAGTGGATATTCAGTGGACGGGGGGCAGAACCCATTGACTGGGCTCCCTCCAGACCTACCAGCCCTAACTCCAGATCACTTTCCGTTAGACCAATGAAAGACAAAACCATAACCATGGGGTGTATGAACCATAAAAGCAATAAGAAACTTCCCAGATCTCACAGGTTATTTATTTATTGCTAGTCCTGGGGTCTGAACTCAGGGCCTAGGTGCTGTTCTTTAGCTGTTTTACTCAAAGATAGCACTTTACCACTTGAGCCACAGCTTTACTTCTGGCCTTTTGGGTAGTTAATTGCAGATTTCAGGCTCATGGACTTTCCTTCCCTGGGCTGGCTTCAAACTGTGATCTTCAGATCTCAGCCTCCTGAGTAGCTAGGATTGCAGGTGTGAGCCATCAGCACCTGCCAATTCACAGATCCTTTATATACGAAGTCCCTAATAAAGATTATAAATAAGATGCATAAGGTACCTGGTACTTGACAGGAACTCAAAAAGTAGATGGTTCCACAGCAGAAGTAATTTAAAGGGGTCAAGGCAGTTGCTGAAGCCAAGTGAATGTCAGGTTGAGCTCTTACCAGTTTCCTGTGCCAGATTCTCCAAATATTTCGCCTTCATCTGCTCTTCTTTTGACTTCTTCACCTCCTTAAAGTACTCGTAGACTTCTGGGGGCAGCTTCTCCCCTGGGGTGCGGGGAGGCAGCAGTAGGGTATTGTAGGAATCATAGCCCTTTAGTTGTCGCAAGATCTATTCAAGGCAAGAACAGGAACTGCTGTTGGTCTCACTGGAACTTTCTGCTCTTCTCACTGATCTCATACAAATCCCTGTTCTTACCTGAGGCTGAGGTTTTCTGAAATGCTTTCTGGATTCTACAGGGTGGTTCCCCTTTTGGAGAGGTCTTTTTAAAAAGTAAAGCTGAATACTGAGCTTATAGGGATTTAAGATCTTTATTTTCCTTAGATCTGCCTAGGCATTTCACACGCAGAATTTTTTTTTCTTATTTAAAAAGTAATGTCTAGTGGTTTTCTTTTCTTTTTTCCAGTAACAAAAGTGTGGAAATTCCATTATCCATTTTGTTTGACATGTTCTTAAAAAATTCAGTCATGCATTTCTTGATGACAGGAACATGTCCTGAAAAAATGTGTTATTAGGTGATTTCATTATACTAATACCACAGAGTAGGTTTACACAGATGAAGAAGATTATGGTGTCACTAGGTGATACAGTCTTATAGGACCACTATCATATACAGAGTTCATTGTCAACTGAATGTTGTTATGTAGCACATGATGGTATGGCATTGGAGCAATATTATACTAAGTAAGCCTTTTTTTTTGAATAAATGGAGAATCTAGGGAAAACCAGGTAAAGTGGTGTTAAGTGTCTTTGTGTGCTATGTGTTAGGGAAGCCAGAAAAAATATGGGATGCCCAGTTAAATTTTAATTTCAAGTAAGCACAAAAATAAATTGTAGTATAAAAATGTTCCATGCAGGCCAGGCGCCGGTGGCTTATGCCTGTAATCCTAGCTACTCAGGAGGCTGAGAGGCTGAGAGGCTGAGGATCATGGCTCAAAGCCAGCCTGGGCAAGAAAGTCCGTGAAACTCTTATCTCCAATAAACCACCAGAAAACTGGAAGTGGCACTGTAGCTCAAGTGGTAGAGCGCTTGCCTTAAGCTGAAGAGCTGAGGGACAGCACTTAGGCCCAGAGTTCAAGTCTCATGACTGACCAAAAAAAAAAAAAATGTTCCGGGGCTGGGAAGGTGGCTCAGTGGTAGAGTGCTTACCTTGCATGCCTGAGGCCCTGGGTTCAATTCCGCAGCACCACATAAGCAAAATGAAAAAAGCCGTAAGTGGCGCTATGGCTCAAGTGGTAGAGCGCTAGCCTTGAGCTGAAGAGCTGAGGGACAGCGCCCAGGCCCAGAGTTCAGACCCTATGACCGGACCCCCCCCCCAAAAAAAATGTTCCATGCACTATGTGGGGATATTTGTACTTTTTTTTTTTTGTCGGTCGTGGGGCTTGAACTGATATTTGTACTTGTAATGAGTAAGCATTTCTCTAGAATTCAAATTTAATTGGGAAAGATGTTTTTCCCTCTCTGATCTAGCAATCCTAGTGGGCATGTACATTTATAAAACCTAGTAAAATAAAGTTATAGAAATCATGGTACTTCTACAGTATGATTTATTGGTGTGACAGTCTGTGTTCTTATGGTAACTCTTACGTTACCAATTTTAGTTATTTGAAAGCCCTGGTAAGAAGTTCATTCTAAAATTATGTGGAAGAACCAAAAGAATTAAAACATTACTGAAGCTGAGTGCAGAGTGGTACATGCCTTTAATCCTAGCTACTTAGATGCTGAGATCTGAAGACTGCATTTGAAGCCAGCCTAAGTCTGAGCAGGAAAGTCTATGAGGCTCTTATCTTTAATTGACCACCACAAAGCCAGAAGTAAAGCTGGGCTCAAGTAGTAGAGTGCCAGCATTGAGCAAAAAAGCTAAGGGACAGTGCCCAGGGACTGAGTTCAAGCCTTTGTACTAGCATAAGACAACAACGACATAACAAACCAAAAGAATAAAGGGAGAAGACTGCCTTACCAGATACCAGGACTTATGAAATGGCAGTGAAAGGTAGGGTGGTACTGAAGTTGGGGCAGATAAATTGATCAGTGAAATAGGGGACAGAGCTACAAATTGGAGACCCATTTGTATGTGGAAATGTATGACAAAGGTGGTACAGAAGATCAACAGGGAAAGGAAGAAATATTCCCAAGGCTGGTGGTGTAGGGGTGCAAATTCCTGACCAACATGTGTCAATGTTGGCAACTCTGAATGGCCAACCCTGTTCTAGCTCTCCTGGTATGATTAGCCAAAGTCTCTCATGTAGGCTCATCACCCATATGTATTTTTTCTTTCTGCCTAACGCTGGTTTCTTATTCCTCATGGCTGTTTTCCTTATGAGTATTCAGTAGGTCTTCCATGTCCAAATCTCAGACTTACAGGTTATGATTTCCATGCAAGTGGGACTCATCGGTTTGCTCAGGAAGCAGAGAAGGAATTGGTAAATTGACAAGAAAGAGCTGGTTATGGAGGAGGGGACAGAGGAAAGCTGTCCATGAGGAGAGAGTGAGCCATGAACAAGGAGGGGCTCAATGTGTAGAGAGAATGGGAGAATGACCTGGGTTCCTGCTCACCTTCTCTTCCAAGATATATTGTTGGTCAAATTCTAAGGAGTAAAACTCAATTGGAAAATTACAGGGATTCTTCACAATCACGTCTGCCTCCTCTCCGGTTGCAAAAGGCAGCAATGGCCCCAGTTCTAGAACTGAAGGACAGAATTCCAGGCGTGGTTCCAGACCTTGTCCATTTGCAAGAAGAGTAAGCCTTTGAGAACTCTGGCCAATCTGGAAAACTAGAGTTTGGCTGTAGAATTTCTGGAAAATATGGAAACAAAATAAAAACTTGAATTTTAAAAAATGCTGTATTTCATGTAAAACTGAAAGCTATTAAGAGGGGACAAAATCCTATATAGATGAAAAAACACAAACTTTTCTAATAAAGTGGCACATGTATAAGCTCTACCACCAGTATTTAAATGGTGGGCTATTCAGTGATTTCTCTGGGCTGCTGATGTTGATGGAGATACAGATGTGTGTGCTTATTGGTTTCAGGACCAACTAATTACTCCAGTAGAGCCAGGCAGTTCTCTCAATTAGTGGGAACAATTTTTAAAAATTACTATTGACAATTTCGGTTGTAGGTTGTAATAACTTATCTGAAGCTGCCAGGGTAAGATACTTTCAAATTCAGATTTTTAACAAGTTAAACACAGAACATATATTCTGTGTTACTAATGCTTTTAGCATTGTACCGGGGAGGTTCCTGTAATCAAACACATTGGTGTTTCTGCAGCTGCAATGTTTGACTCTGAAAACCAAATAAGATTTAGTCTATGTCAGTTCATATGATATTTTTCTGCCAAATAGATTTTGATAGGAAACTTATGAAATGCTCCCTTTCCCAACAGTTTTTTTTTAATTTTTATTTTTTTATTGTAAAGATACTATACAGAGGGTTACAGTTACATGAGTGAGGTAATGAGTATACTTCCTCTTGAACATTGTTACCCCCTCCATTGTTTTCCCCCTACCATCCCTTCCCTCCCTCCCTTCCCCGAGGTTCTTTTTTTTTTTTTTTTTGATTGTGATTAAGTGATTACATAATTTCCGGAAATTCACAGTATTGTGGAATAATGATGCTCATTTAAAGTCACAAGTTCATTCTAACTTTCCTGGAGCAAATTGTCTATCACAGTCTGTAATATATAACGGTGCTCACATGTTATATACCATATATGTGATCAGCAGCATGGGGATATTTAGTAGTGGTTCAACCAGATGAGTGGGAGTTCTTTGTCCAACAGTTTTTTTTTGAAACTTAATGGATATCAGAACTGCTATAAGGGATTTTTGATATGGAATAGCATTAGTTTTTATTTTATCAGTGAGCAAACTGAGGCTTAGGAGCCTAAGTGATTTTTCTGAAAGACATATAACCTATATGTGCAGAGGTAGAAGACCTTCACTAGTCAAGGTGGTTGATAAGAACTGATTTGTCAGCTAGACCTACTAATTTCAGGCCATTAATCCACACAGCAACTCTATGAACTAGAAGCACTTGAGCAGCCATATTCAAAAGAGCAAGGCACAGATTGTTCATAGTTTTCCTTGAGACTCTAGGAAACATGAGTCTTAGCAAGGCTCAGAGATCTGGAGAATCTAAGTTCTTTTCACGCTCACCTCTTCTTTTGGCATGAATTTCACCTGCACATTGGACCTCTCACCAGGATCCAAGATTCCAGAAGTAGGTTGGATCTCAAAGATCCGTGTCTTTGGTTTTAATTCGGCACGCAGTTTCCGTCTTAAGTATTTTGGCATGTGTTTCTCCAGCTGGTTAAAAAACTTGAACAATTAACCTGAGTGTGGTGGCTCAAGCCTGTAATCCTAGCTACTATGGAGGCTGAGATTGGGAAGATCCTTGTTTGAGGCAAGAAAAAAATCCTGAGAATCCATCTTAACCAATGAAATGCTAGGCAGGATAGCTATGTGGGAAGTGTAAATAGGAGGATGATCATCCAGGATGACCCAAACAAAAAGGCTTGAGGGCATGGCTCAAATGGTTGAGAGCCTACTTTGCAAGCTCAAGGCTTTGAGTCCAAACCCCAGGACTACAAAAAAAGAGGACAATTAGAAAATCTTCTATAGAAAATGGACTTATTCCATTCTCTTCTTATACAACCTACATTTTCTGAGTACTTCCAGGGTGTCAGGGATGGGATGGGTAGATACCAGAGGTACCAAGACTAATAGCATTTTCCCTGATAGCAAGGCCTGTCAGAACTATGAGTCCTGGATTAAGGGTCTAGGCAATGGTTCCCAATGCATGTGTTTGCATAGATACTCATATGAACAGAGGATGGGCCTAGAATTACTGCTCTAACTGAGTGGAGGAGAAAAGGGTATCAACAGCCATAACACATTTACCTTATTAACAGGCTTCTGGGTCTGGATAAACCATTCACAAGGAACTTGCAGATGATTGGAGAGTTGAATAGTTTCTACCATGCACTGTCCACACTGAATTGTGGCAAACTCCACTTTTCCACAAGACAATGACATAGTTGGAATGGTCACATTGGCTCGGAGAATGATGTAAACTGTTGGCCCTCCAACCACCTGGAGTGGACATGAAGTTGCTGTTACCATGTGGCATGTGGTTGAGGGGGATGGATCAGGATTCAGACATAAGAAATGGATCATCAGGTTGGGGGGAAGTGATCAACAGGCAGAGCTGGAAAGCGGAAGCACGGGCCAGTGGGGTAGCTTACCTTAATGGGGAGAATAATTTCTTTGTTTCCCACAGGAAGATTGGCCCCTTGGGGGTCGAATCTCATTTCAAATGTTTCTGTTTCACAATAAGGTAGATTCTTTACACGATCTAGTTCAGTACTGAAGCCTAGATCAACAAATAAAATTTCTTTTGTGAGAAGGTGAAACAAGAGCTGACTGGGGCAGTGTGATCACTCAAAGTATCACTGAATGACCCAACAACTCCATTTGTGATTCCAGAAGTATGAATGCCACTGAGGCAGGGCTTAGTAGATGGATGTCTTCCTTGTTGGAAATGACAAAAATGACAAAATGACAGGAGAGGCATCCCTGGACTGGTTACCTGTATCATGAAGGACATGCTTTTCTGCATGGAAGGACACTGGAAAGTGACTGGTGTTGGTGATCTTGATGATGTGGGTTCGGACATCACCAAGGACAATGTGGCCAAAGTCCAGGATATACTCTGGTAGGTGAATTCTAAAACAGTTAACAGGTTCTTCTTACTAGTCACTTTCAAATCTGGAAAGCTACTTGTGTATTTCTTTATAGCCATACCCAGTCTCCTCTATCCATAGTCCTTACCCCTTTCTCAGGATATTTACTTTAGGAAAGTTGTAAAATGAGAGTGTGAGTTTCCCCCAATCTATTATGCACAATTGTGTTCTCCAGCGTGCAGAGTAGCTCAAGTTTTTTTCACTAGAACGGACACTAGAAATAACATAGTTTCTTCAGAAATTCACACCATGTTTTAGCCATCATCTCTTTAATGGGCCTGAAATAGGGCCTGTCTATTAGATACAGCTAGAATACTGATTTAGAAGTCAGAACTGCCTGGTTGGGTTAATGGTAGGGAACGGCAGACAACATGGATGAGTGGGTTTCCTTTTTAGATGTTCAATTTCAGGGGACACTCTATTCTTCTTGTTCTATTACACTCTAAAATAAACACAACACCTGAAGGGCATGGTACCTGGCTAGTCTGCGGTGACCTTTATGGCTGAAGCACGTGTCATCTGTAGAATTAATTGTTTTTTGACGATCTAGGGCAAACTCTTGGACTATCAGTCGCTCTACTTCCATCTGGAGATGAGCACTTAACTAGAAGGAAAAATCAAGCAAATTGTTGTAGAATATGCTCAGTGGGGATGATGTGATCCATAGGGGATGAAAATTGCCTATTCTGGGGAGTGAAAAAAAAATGTGTATTTTAGGAGGGCTCCATTCTGAACTGGCCCTCCTCTTGGCTAACTCCATACATTTCCTAGGGAATCTCACTGTTTCCTGTGAGTGCAGTGACTGTCACTTTCTCTAACCTATCTTTCGCCCTCAGCCCCAGAAGTGGCTCTGACTCCTTTGTTGGATGATGCACAGAAATCTCATGCTCAGTAATGGAGCATCTGAATTCATTCTCCTTTTTCTGACAACTTCTTGCTTCTCTCCCTGCACTGTTTCAAGTGTCAGTGTTCCCCTGCTTATCTTGTCATCCAAGGGAGATATATATAGTAGTCATCCCTACCTCATTCCCTATCCAGTTAATCTGGGTCTATGACAGTTCCACCTCTGGAATATTCCTTGAACCCACCCAATTCTCTCCATCATCACTATCAGCATTGTTCACACATTTAGTATCTTACCTAGAATCATCCCACCAGCTTAAAAAAAAACAAAACCCACAACTTACCATATCTACTCTCATCCCAGAGCTTCACAGAGCAACCAGATGTATCTTCTAAAGATGAAATGCCTCTTGTTAAGGCATGTCAGTGGCCCTTAATTGGCTCTCAAGGTGTCTACTTATTTTAGTTTCATCTTTCCTTCCTTTCCTCTTTCTGTTCTTTTCCTTAGCTATCTTTTCCCTTCTGTTCCCCAAAGACACCATGCCCCTGTGAATCTCTGCACATGCAATCTTTCTGTACACATTCTGTGTAGGGAGAAGCTAGTTTTTACCTCAGTAGATTCATCATCAGGCACTTCCTCAATAATATCAAAGTGATCGATAATGTCATATTTGTTGTACTCTCTTTCTATATTTTTTTTTGCTTGATCCAAGTAGGTCGCATACCTTTCATTGCCTTTGGAAATTGGAAGGAGAAGAGAATCAGCATAGTTAGAAAAACATGAATTATCTCCCAAACACCAACTCTCAGCTCAGGGTAAAATAAGAAGGGAAGGGAATTTTTGTTAATACTTTACCTGTCATGCTTTCTCTGCTTTAAAGGATGCAGTAATTTGTGAACACATTAAATATACATCTGAGGTCATGCTGAGTTTCATGAGGTTGTACTTGAGTGAATTACTATCTGGGTTTCAATAACTTGGAGGCTTACTTGGGGCATTCATGATTTTAACCCTGAAGCCCTGGAGCCCCTCAAAGCTGGACACATCAGGATAGCTGCCAATCTTTATGTTAGTTTTCCTTTTTGTTGTTGTTTTCCCTTGTGGGGCTTGAACTGTGGGCCTGGGTGCTGTCCTTGAGCTCTTTAGCTCAACCCCAAATGCTTTGAAAATTGAGAAATAACACAGCAGAGGATTAAAGTTCCCAAGAAAAATAATGTGAGTAGCCCTTGGCTGAGGAGTTATTGTAAGGCAGAGCAGTACCTCGGAGGTTCCTGGGGAGGTCGAGGCAGATTCGGGGAAAGATGCCCTCTCCACTCAGTGTGATATTTTCTGGGTCCAGGTGGGCGATCTGTATCTGGAAGCTCCTTTGAAAGACTTCAGGTATTCCAGGTAAGTAGTAAACTTTCAACACATGCTCTTGATTTGAACTGATAAAACCCTGTGCAGGAGAAAGCCCAGATAGCACTTTATAATTTACAAATGGACTTCTCCTCGTGGTGGGTGGCAGACTGGGTAATCTCAGGGGCTGTAGTGCTGGTATTCTCTAGCATCCTCTCACTACCCCCCACCCCCACCCAAGATCTGCTCCTAAGACCCTGTGAAAATATGTGAACAGATTTCATAAAACAAGAATCACAAAGAACAGTAAAAACAATAACAGCAACAACAAACCCCCCAAAAACTGCACCTTCAGGTCATCAGGGAAATGCAAATTAAGATCACAGTAAAAAAAAAACCCTATCCCACAAGATTGGTAAAAATTTACCAAGTTTTGGTGAGAATATATCTCACAGGCACCTTTCATACACCTCTGGTGGGATGTCACTAGAAATAAGGATAAAGAAAGCCACTTATTGATTGATTGATTATAGCACTGGGGATTGACTTCAGGGTCCTCCAGCTTATTAGGCAAGTACTCTACTATTTGAGTGCCATTCCCAGTGCTTTTTTTTTTTTTTTTTGTATAAGGTCTGTTTAACTTTTTCCTGAGCTGGCTTTGAATCTCGATTCTCCTAATGTAGTCATGTGCTACCATGCCTGGTCAAGTAAAGCACTTTTGCACCATACTATAAAGTTGAACCATGTTCATAGCCTATGACCTGGCAACTCTACTCCTGGGAAAATACTCTAGGAAAATTTCCAGAAGACATGTAGGGGAAAATTCACAGCAGGATTATTTCTAAAAACAAATTATTGAAGGGAAAATCCAAAAGTGTTTTCTTAGGAAAAAGCAAATTTATTTTAAGAAGGGTTGGAAAAGGGATATTATTCAGTAGTAAAAAAACAACTATAGCTACCATACAGCAACAATACAGATGAATCTTAGAAACACAATATTAGGTGACAAAGGAAAATTGCACAGGTTACATTTAATGATGTTATTTATAAACTAAAGCTCCAAGCAAAGCACAATCTCATAGAACAAAACTTCCACAAGGCAAATCTGTTTTCTGTCTCTCCAGTGCTAAAAAATGCTAGAAAAAATAGGTATTTAGAAATGGATAAATTTGTGCTTTAGGACACCTACATGAAATGAAACTATTTTTAAAACAATATTCAGTTACTGGTCATAAGTAAGCAGAAACATGAGATGAGAAAGGAACCAAGGGGCTTTCAGCCTGGACAGGACACTGCATGCACTTCAGTGATAAGCAAAGGCAAACGTACTGGTGCCAGTCTAGATTTAAAAATGGAAGGCTCTGCTTTGGGTGTCTCTGAGGCAAACACAATGATAGATTTCTCTTCTATACACAGAATATGATATAGTAAAGCCTTAAAAATTATGAATCAAGTGAAAAAATAAATCCTAGATCAGTAATCAGAAAATAAAAGAATCACACAGTTAAAATTACCATAGGAAGCAAATCTGACTATCATCTGAAACCTGGGAAAAATAATAGCAAAGTTCCAGTTATATAACTGCTTCATAAGCTTCTCCTCCTCCTCCTCCTCCTCCTCCTCCTCCTCCCCCCCCTCCCCCCTTCTTCTCCTTCTGTTCCTCCTCCCCTTCCTTCTACTCCCCCTCTTCTTTCTTCTCTTCCTCTTCCTCCTCTGACTCCTCTAGCTACCATGTAGCTGTGAATAGAGACATGAACCACTCTGAACTTGTATGCTGAGTTGGACATCTTACTATTTTTCTTGGGATAACCTCAAACTGTGATCTTTCCAATCTCTGCCTCTTAAATAGATTTACAGTGCACACCAGAGGAGAGAAGCTCTCAGGAATCACAAGGGAAATATGAAGACATTAGTGAAAATACAACTTAAAATTTTGTATTTTAAGACAGTCTTGCAATGTAGCCAAGGCTGGCTTCAAACTCACACAGCCCTCCCACCTCAGCCTTCTAAATGCTGGGATTATAGACCTGCCTCACTATATCTGGCTAAAATAAGGTTTCTTCTTTAAAAAATACAATTATATTTAAATAGTTGTACAAAAGAGTTTCAACTCAACATGTTAGTCTGAACACAGTGCATCTTTATTCATAGGTGGTCTTTCTGGTTCCTTTGATATATCTCTGGTACTTGGAAAATGGTTAATATTGTACTTGACAAGTAGTTGTTTAATAAATGAGTGGCCTAGATTTATTTTTATTCCTTCTTAGGTTTTGTTTTTTAAAGTCTTCATTTAAAAAATCACATCACAGTCTTGGAAGTGAATGCTCCACTCATGCCCACCCAGGTGTGTACATACCAGACCTATGTGTTCACTTACCTTGAGAGGCAGAATGAGTGGCACCCCAGGGAGGAGGTTGTCTGGTGAGGACTTGTAGTTATTGAGAACCTTGTACTCGAAGCCAACTTTCCCAGTGTTTTTCAGTGTGATTCGACGCTCTGTGGTATGGTCAAATAGCTAGAGGGGAGAAGAAGGCCTCTGTCACCAACTTGGGAGCTCCTGCTGTTGCCCTGATGAAGGGGAACCAATAGGCATGCCTCACAGACACAGGTTCTACTTTTTGTGAGTCAGACACTGGTCAGTGCCATGTCAGTACCATACCAAGTAGCAGGAAAACCACTGGTCTCAAGATATCTGGGTCATGTCATAGCCTCATTACTAGTATAGCTTAGCTCCAGCCATGAATATGCATCTAATCTCTGTGCCTCAGTTTCCTCACCCCAGGAACTTACATAGAGAAACTTGAAGCTAAGCTTTCTATACTAAGAAGATGCCTTCAGGATGTTATTCTGAAGGAAAAACAGAGGATATGAGTACAGAATGCTCTGGGATGGATTTTTCCCTTTACATAGGGAACCAAAGGTGTATTAGACCAGTCATGTTTTTTTTTTTCCCCCTGAGATTTTCAGCAGCAAGTTGAGTGGGTCTAATAGCCCCTTAGGAGAAGGGGCAAGGACTTGGAGATGAGCCAAAATGATTGCCCAGGGGACCCCAGAGATAAAAAAGGAAGGATATTCCTACTTAGTCAACACATGAAGAGGGTTTCAATTGGTGTCGGGTGAATTTGAATTTATAAACACAATACACACAACTCATGAAGAATCTCATTTTCCTTATTTTTCTACCATATTTGGTCTCTGAGTACATAATATGACATCTAATTGGAAAGAGTTGTACTGACAGAATTTACAATGACCCTCTTCCACAATTACAAACAATGTAATATTATGGCAAGGAGTGCATATAACTAAATGCCAAAAAGATGTAAAGAGAAAGCTAGCTTCGAGATGGAGCTGAGCTGGTTTTTTTTTTTTTTTTTTTTTTTTTTTTTTTTGGGTCCGGTCGTGGGGCCTGAACTCTGGGCCTGGGCGCTGTCCCTCAGCTCTTCAGCTCAAGGCTAGAGCTCTACCGCTTGAGCCACAGCACCACTTCCGGCTTTTTTCTTTTTGCTTATGTGGTGCTGAGGAATCGAACCCAGGGCCTCAAGCATGCAAGGCAAGCGCTCTACCACTGAGCCACCTTCCCAGCCCCTGAGCTGGGTTCTTACAGGATGAATAGGTTTGGGGGTGGCTGATGGGGGATGAGAGGATAATGTGAAGAGGAAGTGTGAAGGAAGAAAGGACTGGGACCAGTGGGTAACCAGCTTGTCCACAATCAAAAGAATGGGAAGGAATGGGTGAATTATGAACAATGAAATTCTTGTGTCAGGAGTTAATAGAGTGGCTCAGGACATGCTCACCCAGATGGAGCAACTTAGCCCTGATCTGTGGATGAAGAGAAAGTAACTGGTGATGACTGATTGAGAGACATCAATGAAATAACCACAACCTCCTAGTGAGACAGATATTGCCAGTCCATTCCTATAATTTAGGTTTGGAGAAATTACGTAAGAAAAAAAGAGAATAGCAAGCACAGTCTTTCTCATTATGACAATACCTTTGCAAATCTGGGATTAACTGGTCTGGGACTGATGGGATAAACACAATTTTGGGAAAATTTATCTGGCAATAATGCTTAAATGCATTGCAACCTTTGTTTGCAAAGAGTCTTTTACAGATCCAGCAGCATTGGCATCACCTGGCGACATGTTAGACATGAAGACTGGCCCTACTGAATCAGAATCAGCACGTGAACATGTTGATTTGTATGCACCATACAACTAGGGACACAATAATTTCAGCATGGCTTTGATAAGGCCCTCATTACAGTGGTAAGGGGTTAGGAATCAGACTAGGATCCCAGTGAGTGAATTAGCCAATACTGGATGCTGCAAGGGAGAGGGCAGCAGAAAAGCTTTGGAGACTGGAAACTGAAGGATGGGATGGAAAGATCACTCTGATGAAAGAAACGGATTGGTTAACCCAGGCTTCTGGGTTGAGACTTGAATGTCAACTATGCTGGAGTTTCAGAAGATGGTGAGAAAATCAGATGAAACATTTGGCAAACAGCTGGCAGCAAAGCTGATCAGGATGGTGGAATCAGATTAGAGGTGGAGGACAGGAGAGATGGACTGGGATGATCAGGATGGCTCAAGACTCAGTTAAGGACAAGGACTATGGTGCATGTTTAAGGCAAACCCCAGAAAATCTCCCCCGATGCTTTGCAGTACCTGTAATCCATAGTTCATATCCTTGGTGTCAAAGGAATAGCTGACCAGGGATGCCTCTCCCTTCAGTGTTATTTCATAGGTGGGTCCTCCTTCCACTTCACACATAACTTTTGCCTGGGCAACTATATCACAATGTCCATAGAAGGTAAAAAATATCTTCTGGCTGCTGTGTGGCCACAGGATACCATAGAGGGGCAAAATGTCAAACACCTGCAGAGAAAGTCATCCTACCTGAAAAAGGTGATCAGGATAATGGCTTACAGGAGGCAAGCTAAGGTCATGTCAATTGACAGTCAAGTTCCTGACTTGTTTGACTCCATAAGAGGTTATTAACTCACTAGGTAAAAAAGCATCTCATGGTAAACAGTGGTCACAGTGCTCTGGTGAGATGCATGTTTGACCTAGGGCTGGGTGCTTGGTCAGCACCAGCCAGTATGAGATGATTTTCAGGAACTACATACAAGGTATTACTTACTTCTTCTATCCCAATGGAAAGCATGTCCTCTAGTTCCAAGTTCCATAGGAGTTCCCGAAATTCTGCTTGGCTCTGGTTTTTATTTGTATCAGTAGGACCATTTTTCATTCTCTAGAAATTAAAGATGTGAGGAGAAGTGAGTGGTCATGAGTCATGGATCATTGAGGTCTCCTCATTACTACCAGAAAAAGGAAGTATGTTGCATAAGATTATAGAAACAGTACATTATTTCCTAGGTAATCAAACAATTGTCAGAATGAACATATGTGGATATTTACTAACAGCAAAACTCTGGAAGCAAACTGATTGTCCATCAATAGATCACTTTAAATAATATTTACATGGTCCTCTATCTATGAAGGATGATGTGCCTTATGGACACCCATATTATTAAATGAAGAAGCACCTCCATTTATGTAGAATTACATAGGCCTTGTGTCTGAAGGTGTTAGTGGGTGTAGTTCATTCCGAGATTTACATATCTAGATATCTATTTGTTGTTTTGTAAACAATTTCAGTTTTTTATATGAATAATGAGATTTGGAAGAGTTTTTTGCTCTTCAGCTCAAGGCTAGCGCTCTACCACTTGAGCCACAGCACCACTTCCGGCTTTTTTGCTTTTTGCTTATGTGGTGCTAGTGAATCGAACCCAGGGCCTCAGGCATGCAAGGCAAGCGCTCTACCACTGAGCCACCTTCCCAGCCCCCAATCTTGAATTTTCTATGTCAAGTAATTTTGAAAATTGGAAAAGAATTAACAACTAAAAGACAAGTGTGTTATATACTCACAGATATTCATCCTAAAAAACTTGAAAAGTTACAGAAACTCCACAGGAATGAAAATGAATCTATCAATCATTCAGTAAATATATGTAGAGTATGTCTGTAGACTATATAGATCTATCTATAGATCTATCTATCTATATATCTACATTTATATTCTGATTTTGCAGATGACATGTCATCTTCCCATGTTACAGAATCTTCACATGTGGGTACATATATATATATATGTTTAAAATATTCAAATTTAAAATATTCCAAAAGGGATATCATAAAAAGAAACAGGATTCCAAGCTCTACTCCCTGGTTCTTCAGTTGTTCCTCTCAGGGTAACTGTCTAGTTCAGATATACTTTGTGTAGTTACTATTCATTTGACTAATATTAATTGATGACTTACTATAAATAATTCTGGGTCCCTGGAGATAAAACAATGTTCAAAGTAGAAACTCTCATGAAGCTTATATTCCATGTATAAGCAAAAATATCTATGTGATTATTTAAGACGAAATAAAGTGCAGTGGTCTAGAGCAAGCTAGAGCCGCCCAGTATGCCAACATCATTGCTGGACAGATATACTGGACAGGGTTGTTGGGAGAAGTAAAAGAGTTAACTTCAACAGTGCTTAGAATAGTGCAAAGCATATACATGTATGTATTGTTTTTTCATATACTTTTTTATCTTGACGTGCATATACCCCACTCTATGCCATCTTTTTTATGTAGTATTTTTCACTTGATCTGTCAGATAGGTACCATATTAGTACATAGAGAACTTAGTATTGACTTGTACAGATGTAATTTAGTTTATTCAATTAGTCTTCTATTGGTGGAATGATGTTGTTTTCAGTTGTTCTTGCTTCTATAAAGTATGGGATATTGTTTTAATACAAGTATTTTTCTTTGCAAATCACTGTCTCTGATAGCTTCTATAGGCCATCATTCTAGAAGAAGAATGTAAGGGTATGCATTTTTACATTCTTGTCATCTTCCCTTTATGATAGAATCACTGAGGAAAAAAATTCTTCCTTTAGTAGCTGCTATCAATTGTCTTTTCTGCTTTAGAGATCTCTGTCCAGGCTCCTCACTGAGGTGGTGGATCCTGGGAGATGTGATTGGGAAGTCATCTAGACCAAGCTACGTTGCCTCATCCCAGCTCAACCCCAGCACTGCTCCTAGCTCTGACTTTGTTTTGGGAAGGACCCTCTACTTGCCACCCCAGGGCAAAGGAATCATACATCTGAGATCAAGGTGGTTGCTTTAGTTTTCTTGAGCTCTTTTTCTTCAGGTCTAGCATCGTCATTTATCAGTATAGTCCTGTAGAGTTTAATAAAATGGAGTCACTCATTTGGTAGCCATCACTACTACCCAGTCTTATTTGTTAACCCTCCCTCCTGCCCCCTCCCTCTTTCCCTCTGCCACACCTCAAAGGAAGGGGAAGTCACACTTAAAGGATATCTTTCTCTTTTGAGCTGACCTTTTGGTCAGCTGGCAGTTCTCCATTGTGTACTGCCCCTAAATGTGCTGTGTAGGCTACTAAACTGGGCAGTTTTTGTTAAAGCCCAATACTTTCCTGGAGCTGATATCAAGCTTATGTCTGATCTGCAGAAAATCCCAGGAAGCTCCAACCATTGGACGTACCCCCAGAGCTCAATGTCACATTTCATACTTAATTGGAGCATTATAAGGACAAAAATGTTGGATGGATTTTCGTATTGGTTTCCACTTGTTAACTGGGACTTAATCTGGCTGCAGGTCTTGGCCCAGGGGATGGGGTGAGGTGAAAGGAGGGTTCAAGATCCCTTGGTTTAGGGCTCTGTGCCTTCCTAAGAGTACAGGCAACTCTCCACTTCCCACCTACAAAGACTAATTGAGACACTTGACTAGTAAATAGTTTGACTCTAAACAGATGAGGAATGGGTACTGGAAGGTAGGAGAGATTAGAGAGAAGCATGCTATTAAAGAAAACTCTATTCTGGGGTGGTGTTTGCACTTACTTAATAGAATCACTCAAATCCATATCTGGGGTGTTTCCCATTGCGACTGCTGGCCAGCTAGTGGTTACTGATGTTGCTGGGACCGACCCTAAGTGGGACATGGGGTTACTGAAGTGCTTCTTCTGCCATGGCACAAACCTGAAAAAAGGTATTGGGGAGGGGCGTGACACAGGTGCACATTAACTTCTGCAAATCAGAGCCCATGAGCTCTCACTTTCAAAGGCTACCTTACAATTCCTAGACAAGGCAGATTTAGAAACCCTACCCTGTACCTCCCCTTGGACTTGACTTGGTTAAGTCCCAGCTAAGGTTATCATTTGCTCCTAAAAATTTCATGATCAGCCATCCAAGTCTGGGTTGAGTCTCAGAGTCCTCTGAATACCCACCGGCCTCTGGAGCCTCTCCTCTCATACTTGTCTTTCCCAGGTGGACCCATTGCAACAATGAGATGTACAAGACGTTATGTCAAAAAACGAACTTTACAACTTTGGCCTGAGGGGTGGGGGTTGGGAAGGGGAGGGATGGGAAGCGATGAGAAGGGGAAACAAAGGAGGCAACAATGCTTGAGAAGAAATGTACTCATTACCTTGCCCATGTAATTGTAATCCCTCTGTACGGTATTTTTACACACACACACACACACACACACACACACACACACACATACACAAAGACTGACAGCTCACTGAGTCACTGAGCACTGGTATCTGATTCAGTGCCTGGCCTGAGGACAATTAGGCCTGCCTAAGGATGATGGGATCTGCTGCCATCATTGGGCTGATGGTTGGGCTGAGATAAGGTGCATCTGAGTCACTTCCTGTCAGTCCTGGAAGCGCAGATTTGGATTTTTGGCACAACCTTGCATCATATGATGTGTCTTCAGTTCCCTGTAAGTGCTTAGAAAACTGCCACCAAAAAGTTTTCCACAGTGGATGTCCCATTTTACACTATCATATATACATTATCATACCTGAAGTATATGAGTTATTATTGGTCCATATCCTTACTCATTCTGGTATTCTTTGTTATGTTTTAGTCATTCAATGATTATATGGTATAATAACATACTGTATATTAATTGATGGATTTATTTTATTTTCTGAGATGATCTTGCCTAGACTATTGAACTCACTATCTTCCTACCACCACTTCCCAAGTGCTGGGTTCATAGGCTTAAGCCACCATGACAACTACATGGACTTAGTTTAAAAGGAAATTTTATATCATTACTACAAATGAAAACCCATTGTTTCCTACCATTGAAAAAAATAAATGGAAAATAACCATGTTATTTTCTTGCCTAGTGAAGGAACTAAACTGAGCCTTCCTTCCTCATTATTAAGATGGTGCTAGTACCATCTGAGGCTGAACTTCCTACACCTAGAGAACTATGCATGCTTGGAGGGCTGGATCCTGCATGTTCCTTTTTTTTTTTGGTTGGGTGTAGGGCCTGGGTGCTGTTTCTTAGCTCTTCAACTCAAGGATAACGCTCTACCACTTGAGCCACAATGTCACTTCTGGTTCTCTGAGTGGTTTTTTGGAGATAAGAGTCACATGGAGTTTGCTGCCTGGGCTGGCTTTGAACCTTGATCCTCAGATCTCAGCCTCCTGAGTAGCTAGGATTACAGGTGTGAGCCACCAATGCCCAGCTTCTTTTTATTAAAACTGTTTTTTTTTTGTTTTTTCACTGACACTGAGCTACATCTCAACCCAGGAAGTTTCTTCTTTACATCCCCAATGCACAGAATCTAATACACAGAGAATGAGCTCAATAGATGTTGAATGAGTGAATAAATGTATATATGAGTGTTTGGGTGGGTGAATGAGAATAGTTGAGCAGCATACAGATAATCTGACTGTTCTACACAAGCACCTCTATCTGCATGGCCTTAAAGAAGTAAGAAAAAGTTCTTTTCATCCTTTCCAGACCATAGGTCTCTAGATAGTGGCCAAAGCCACATCATTCTGGGAAGAGGACTTCTAGCGGGTGGGTGCTGGAAAAATCTTCTGGGAAACTTGTTGCAATAAATCTTTTTAAAACTTTGTGGGCAAATTCTGATCTGAGAGGCCTCAAGACGGGCCCAGGAATCAGTTTTAAGTCTTCCCAGGTGCTTCTGTTGGACAGCAAGATTGGTAAGTCACTGTGACAGCCCAGGACAGAGCTGATAATTAATGTGGGGTTTGCACTGTAGCTGTACCAGCTAGGGACAGTGAGAATAGCAAAGGACAATTCTGAGCCCTTATTAAATCACCCCAGGTCTGCAGAGATGCCTGGGGGACATCACTGCACATATAACAGTACTCTCTAATCCACCATTTGTACCCCCTGGGGTGATGTGTGGAATGAAGAGAGAGCATGTGGGACCATTTGTCAAGGAAAAGGACAACGCTGTGCAGTATCTGCCCACATGAGGAAAAACAACACCTTAGCTGACACTGATACCTGGACAACTGGGAAAGGGTAGGTCCTTTGGAAACAGAGAGAAGGTTAACACAGCCCTTCTTGATGATAGGCAAAGCTACAGGAGACAGGGAGACTTTTGTCAGAACAGAAGCCTTAACTTACTAAAATTGGAAAACCTGATTAAAAAAAAGAAAAGAATATCAGCTGAGTACCAGTGGATCATGCCTGTAATCCCATCTAGTCAGGAGGCTGTGATCCGAGGACCTTGGTTTGAAGCCTGCCCAGGTAGAAAAGATTGTGAGACTCATATCTCCAATTAACCACCAAGAAGCCAAGGTGGAAAAGCTAAGGGACAGTGCCCAGGCCTTGAGTTCAAGTCCTAGTACCAGCACACACATACACCCAAAAAAAGACAACCAAGTCTTTTTTTGTTTGTTTATTTTGGATCAGATTTCATTTTGCCTCCAGACATAGGTGATTACTTTCTTTCTATGCTGACCTGAACACAATTAGATCCCATTATTTCAAAAAGAGAGTGCATAGCAAAAAGGAAAATCAATATTGCTCCTAATCCAGAGCTAATATCAGAATCCCAGGAGGAACCAGTAGAGGACATCCCTTGGACTGTGACAACATTGCACAAATGTCAAATCCATGCTGACCAGCAGTTCTGGCCTGTGCTCAGCAGTCTTCCTCTTTCTGTTTTATTTTGAACTCTTTGGTAAGGATCAATAGAAAACCATTTGTGCTGCAAATTAAAATTAAAAAGTACACTACACTCCTTTCCCGTTTCCCCCTCACTGCAAACAGAATTGCGCCAAAATAAAAACCTGGAGAACAAGTTTACAGGTGAGTTATTAGTGTGTGCCAGCGTTCATTGTGTGTTTGCAAATGGGAACATTCACTTAAGGGACAGAGCCCAGGCTCCAAATTCAAGCCCCGGTAGCAGCATGCACACACATGTGTGTACATGCACGCATGCGCGTGTGCTTGCACACACATGTAAATTGGAAGCCATAACACAAGAAAATAGAATGCATTGTTTAGAACATTTCCAAATTATAATCTAGGTAGGAAAAATGAGACACCTATGACCTTGCCCTTGAAATGATCTTCCACAAGTTTCGCTATGAGGTGAGTGTGGTGAGTCCTTTGCTATGAAGGACTGTGACCAGAATCCACCAGAAGCACTCTTGACAGTTATCTATGTGTAATGGTCACTTCTAGTAAAGCTCCAGAAGGTGTCCCCACTGCTACATGCTCTTAGAAAGGCCACCAAATATCAGCAAGCTGTAAAATTGTCCTTAAAATCTGATCAGCTTCAAAACTCTTGAGAAATACTTTCAAAGCAGGAAGGTTTTACAAGTCAATATTTTTTGGAATGTCTGACCTCCCATAGACTTAGCTTGCTTTGGAGGAATTTTAATTAATATAAACATGGAGATACATCAAACAAACTTTTTATGAATCCTATCACTAAAAGAAGCAGACACAACCCAGGTTCAGATATGCACTCATACTTTCCACTGATTTCTTTCAAAGCCAGCTTAACTCTCACTGAATCTCCAAAAGCTTGATGCTCTCTGCTGATATTAAAGGTGGTGGAAAATATTTTAAAAAGAATGAATCCATAATAAGGTGATTAGGGTTCTTTTATAACAACATGAAAGCAGGACAAAAAGTTGTGTAACATTCAAAATCGAAATGATAAACAGTCTAACTCATTTATCTATGGAGTAACAGAGCCTGTACTTCAGACATTTGGACTAAAATGAATTGCAAATAGAAGCAAATTACATGGTCCCAATATGGGGGAGACTTTTAACTTCAATACAAAGTAGGCTAAGGGCCTACCTCTTCCCTGTTCTGTCTCTCTTTGCCTTTGGTCACATAGGTGCTACAAAGACTACAAAGTGCTACAAGGCCCTCTTTGTCTCTGGAAGATCAGATTTGCTCTCTCTTTGGTCCCTGAGGCTAATCTCATCTCCTGGTTAGGTAAATTAGCAGACTTCTCCTAGCAGGGAGGGAGAGTCTTGGTAGATGGGCTTTAGGAGGCCTAAAAGACCCCAGAGAATTCTAGAAACATAGAGTATAAAGTAGCCCATGTTCTCTTTTACAGGGAATCTTAATTTACCAACAATGACCTATTTGTAAAAGGGGTAATGAGACATGGACATTCATTTTATTATTATTGTTATACCATACACATATGTTATACCACATTTGTGTATATCATGTAATTTTACACCAAAAAGAGAGCGGTATCAAGGCACATGTGAAGTGAGAAAGATCCACTGTGGCTAATGAAGTCATTACTGACCTAGAGAGGCTGTTGCAGTTAAGTGGAGGTCAGAAGCCATTGGGTGAAACAGGGTTGGGCAGTCAATAGGAATGATAAGTGTGGTCCACTTTGTTAGTTTCCTGTTACAGAGTTGTTGTTTAACACAACCAGAGAACCAAGAGAAGGGCTTTCTAAGTCATGATGCCTTCATTCTGATGACAAAGGGACAGTGAGCATGATGCTGAGGTTGTTGATAAAGCGTCAGATAGGAGGCTTGGTCCTGAAAAGCGGAAGATGCTACAAAATTGTGAGTTACAAAAAAAGCGAGGGGCTCTTCTTTTGCCAGAGGCAAAAGAAATGAACTGATGAAACTCAGCATGAAGAAAAGCCATTGTCCATGAGCTAAAGCCAGGGGGAGGGAAACCAGAGGGAAGACAACCACCAACCAAGAGC